TTATTAACACATCTCTCTTAAATGTCACTTGTAACGTTCGAAAAGTCAAGAAAATCTAAACAAAAATAAAAATAAAAATAGAAAAATAAATAAAAATAAAAATAATAATAATAATAATAATAATAATAATAATAATAATAATAATAATAAAGATAAGAATCAGTAAATTTTATATTATTATTATTATATTGCTAAAGGGTTATACTAATTATCTATATAATGTGTTGAGTGCTTGTGAATTCTGTTCGCAAATTAAGTGGCACTTAATTAATACATAACGCGAACGATGCAAGTGACCATATATTGATCATTCAATGAACAAAGCGAAAATCACTATGTTTGTATATGTGTGTGGGAATGTCGATGTTATAACGCTCTCTGCACTGATAATAAACCCTAAATCTTATTTTTCCTTTTTTTTTTAATTTTTAACCATTTTTTTCAAATTTAAATTTTTTTAAAAAATTCCAATGCATTTTTTTTTTAATAAATATTTTTTTAATATTTTACATTTATTTAAATATTTTAATTTTTGTAATGAAAATTTTTCGTAAACTATACAGTGTAATTTTTGGTAAATATTAAAATATATTTTTTACAATATTTAGTTTAAACTTTAAAGCGTATTTCATTTCAAATTTTTCATTGGTTTTTAATTTACGAAACAAGATATTGAATATGTCGCATTAATAACTGAGTAAATTATTAAAAAAAAAAAAAAAAAAAAAAGAAAACGTTTTTCATTCATCATGTATAGAATTCTGTATAACTGCAATTCTCCATTTATGGAGCTTAACGATTAATTAAAGCCTCTCACGATAAAAGAATTTAATTATTGGATTCGAAGAATTTCAAATCTAGACTGAGATTCGAGGCACAATTTTTTTTTTCTCTTCTTTTTTTTTCAATGTTCTAACGATCGATGTTGTAAATTTAAAAATGAAAACTGAAAAGATTTCTTAATATTATAATTGTTCATGTGGGAATTTTTTTTTTCTTTACTAATTAATTATTAATTTTACATATTATTATTATTGTAAAAATAATACTAATTAAATATTAAGAGAGGTATAAATAATTTTTTGTATTTAATAGTGTCAGTAGTGTAAGTCATTAATTATTAATTTTACATATTATTATTGTAAAAATAATACTAATTAAATTTTTAAATAAATAATTTTTTGTATTTAATAGTGTCAGTAGTGTAAGTCAATTTTTAGTAAGACACTTTTTTTAAATTGTAATTTTTTTGTTAAAATTATATTTTCCGAATTTAAAATTAGTAATAACAGTCAGATGATGTCTTAAATTTTTTCACTCAGTAGTAATAGTCATTTACAGACAGACAATATGTAATTCTTTTATAAAATTATTACAAATTACAAAAAAATAATTTTCAATAAAGTGTAAAATAAAAAAATGTTTTTCAACAATTTTCTTTTTTTTTTTTTAATAATAATTTTGATTAAGTTTTTTTTTCAAAATAAAAAAAATTTTACACGACATTAACTTTTTTAGGTGAACTATAATAAAAAAATTTAAATACATTTATAATTTTATGTTGCAAAAGTCCAAGAAACGACCTTGCAAGCTTTAAAACCTTGAAGTTTGAAAACGATAAAAAAAAAATCTCTTTGCCAAGTTATAAGCTTAAGTTGAAAATATAGGTAAATGTTTATATATATATATAAAGAACTTGGAATAAGTATGAGTGACAAACAAAAGCGTGCAAACTCAACAGCAGGATTATGCATCTGTGTTTCGATAGAATTACGTGGTCGTTGGCAATACACAAAACCCTTATCAAATTGCATGGCTTGTTTCGTGCTCAACGGATCAGAGGGTTAATGCCTGTAACCCACCTCTCTTCTTATATTACGTGAAAACGTCAACGTTTCACTTGTTTGACGAATATTGCCTCATATCGATTCTCTTGCTTGAGTTGTTATGTTACTATTAAACATTTCAAACATCTGTTTACTTTCATTTCTAAAATAAAATATAGTTTATTTACTTAGAGACTAAAAAAAAAAGAAAAATTCTCGAGAAATAGTTACTAAAATTCGACAAAAAAATAGTTTGACTGAAAATGATTTATTTACAAATATTTGTCTGACTATAACTCCCTTTTACTACTCAAAAACTTTTTTAAAAAAATAAGACTGAAATATATTTTTTTAATTCTAATTTTAAAACAAACTGTCTGATTGAAAATAACTTTGACTACTGATACAAATATTTTTTTCCCAAAAATTCAAAAGTGTCTGACTAAATTTTTTCTTTTACTACTGAAACTAAAGTGAACTTGTGAAATTAAAAAAAAATATATTAAAAATATAAAAATCACATGTCTGACTATATGTGTATTTTACTACTGATTTTGAAGATAAAAAAAATTGTCCGACTAAAACTGTCTTTTACTACTTATAATAAGAATAATACTTCATAATAAGAATTAAAATAACTGTTTGAAACTCACTTTTACGTTTAATATCAAAATTTTTAAACGAAATTTTTTTTTCTAATTTAATTTTTTTTGTCAATTATTAAAAATTCCCAATGACAATAAATGTATATTACATTTATAAATATAATTATTTTATGAATATCCAACTCTATTGTCGATACGGGCCTTATGAAAAATTACATTTCCGTTTTTTTTTTATTATCCTTTTCGAATTCAATTTGCTAAATGGAGTCTGAAAACGAAATATATACGTTTTGCAATCTTTCCAAATTGAAATTCAATATACATTGGATTTGTAATAAAAAAAAGAACAAACTATTTTGTATATAATTAAATTTCAATTTTCCACAAAAAAAAAGTTAATAAATAAACACGTCCCGAATTCCTGATTTTATAGAAATTGTATTTATGTAAAAAAAAAAAAATTGCAAAAAATTTTGATTTTATAAACAAATTATCTAAAGAAAGGAAAAACGTTTTTTTTTTTAATATTGTAAACAATATTTCAATATTTTTATTTAACTCTAAATTTCTTGTTTTGTAATTTTTTTTTTTTCGTTTCTTTCAATATTTTACTGGGGTTCCAATATTATTTTCCTACACACTCATTGAAAATCAATCACTTTATTGTTTCACTAACAACCTGATAATAAACGTGTTGAAAAAAAAATTATATGCAAAATGTGATATAAATTGATATTTATTTTGCAATTAGATTTTCATTACTAGAATTATTAATTTAATTTCATATTTGGAACAAAATTGAAATATTTTAATTTTGAAAATATAATTTTAATTTTGAAAATTTTTAATTATAAATTTTATTTATAAAAACAGTATTAATTTTATTAAAACTACTGTTATTGATATTGATCACTTGATGAGAATTTTCTTCTAATAATTTGATTACATAAAATAATTTCTATGATTTTATTTACTACTTTTGTAATTTAATTTTTAATTTCCAATTTTTAATATTACGATTAGTTGATAAAAAAAAATCAGAAACAAATTGTTGAATATAATAGTAACATTTTTTTTTTATAAGATAAATTTTTTTGCAGTGATAAAAGTGTTTTAGCAAATAGATGATAGATACCTAATTATATTATAAATTAAAAAGTAGAAATCTAGAATAAATTGGGACAAAATAGATCATAATTTTGTTGTCACACTTGATTAGCAAACATATTAATTAAGCATTCAAAAACAATTATTCCTATTACGTTAATGAAACCGTCATATTTGTCATTAGCCCTTCTCACTCCTTGTTATATTTGGACAGTTCTGGAATGTCTTTGTCATTTTGAAGAATGACTACGTCTATGGATAAACAATCAATCCTTTGGAATATCATATAAAACAATAAATGTTTTTTCAATCTGTTTGGTGTATTGAAAATAAATGTTGTATTATATAATTAAAATTTCAATTCCAATTAGCACCTCTTATTTACAAATTTTCAAATTAAATATATGTTATGTAAAATTTTCAATATTATAATTCCATATCCGTTTATAAATAAGACAGATATTATTTTTACTTAATTATTAATTAAATAATATATTATTAATAAATAATATTATTATTAAATAATATTTTTTTAAATAAATAAATTTTCTATTTTTTAAAAAAATTCTTTTACTATTTTTTCGCAATATATATATAAAAAAACAAAAATCCTGTGATTCTGTAAAACACGTGCTAATAAAATTTGAAACAATTTTTGAAAAAAAATAAAAAGAGGTTCTAAATGTGATGTAAATTTTTATTTTTGCTATATCCGCAACTATTGCATGTGCACAGCATGGCTAACAAAAAGCTTTTGCTGTCGTAATAAATTTAACGCCTAGAGTGCCATTAGTGTGCTGTGCATATAGAGAGAGTATATATATAAAAAATAACCTTAATCTTATTTCACATTGTTAACCGTTTCAAAGTCTTCGTTAGCACCAAAGTTTATATTGCATTCTCCCTTCGAGATACTCGATTATAAAAAATTTCAAACGTGTCATTTTCATTAGAAAAAATAGAAAAAAAAAATTCAAACCTGAAAGAAATTTTAAATATTAAAAAATTAAAAGTTTTGTTATTTATATATACATAAATTAAAAAATAGTTTTGAGTAATTTTTAATTTTTTTCCAGTCATATATTAAATTTGATTTTTGAAGTAAAAAAAAATTGTTTTTGCTTTTAATAACGATTTTTTCTTTTTTGAGTATCTCGAAGTGTGCTTATCTTTTGCTGAGTAAGAGAGAGAGAGAGAGAGAGAGAAAGAGATTCATAAGTGAAGAGAAACGTCGCTGGAAAACGAGCTACGAAATGCGTTGAAAGAGATACTTATAAACATTTTAAAAAAATCGTTCTCTCGACGCCCTTTTCATTTTATGAAACTGACTCGGAAAATGAAATTTAACCCTCTCTAGTCAGCGATTTAGATTGCAAGTTGTTTTTTTTCTGTGTTTCTTTTTTTTTTTTTTTTGTCGTTTCTAACCAACTTCAAAGATTTAGCCATTTTTGCTCTGTTACAGGAACCTTGACCGTTAACGTGAGTGTACTGCTCTTAAGTCTCGCATCACCTGACGAGTCCAGTTTGGTAATTTACATTTTAAATATATATTTTTTCAATTTTTACCAATTTTTTTTTTTTACTAATTTTTATTTCTAATTTTTTTCTAATTTTTTTTTTTCTTTGACATTTTATTTTTGTTCACATTCAAATGTTTTTTTTATGCACTTTTTTTTTTAAGTTCGTTTTTTCGCCCTGAAATATTATAATGCATTTCTTTGAGATTTTCAGTGCTTTGAAATTGTCCACTCTAATATCTCTGGGAAATCTTGTATTCAAATTTTAAACATTTTTAGAGTGTCTTAAATTATACAAGCATTGCTCCTGTAATATCATAATATTCAAATTTTCTATTCATATTTCCAAGAGTATACCAATTTCTACAATTTTAATATTTTTTTTTTTTTAGATAAAATAACAGAATTAAATTTTAGATTTTTTTTCTAAATTAGTTAAAAAAATAATTAGGTAATTATTAATTGGGATTATTATCTTTCTATATTGATAAAAAGATTTCGCCGCAGCTGCCGCCGCTGTTTCAGAAATTTTGACCTAGGAGGGGGGGAGTCCCCCCTCCTAAATTTTGAGGTTATGTTCGTTTCTAGACTCTGAATATAGCCGCAAGTCCCCTCCCCCGCCAGAAATTACTTAAATTTTGAGGTTATGTTCGTTTCAAGGCTCTGAATATAGCCGCAAGTCCCACCTCCCTCCTCTCATTTCCCCTCCTCCGCCAAAAATGACCTAAATTTTGAGGTTATGTTCGTTTTAAGTCTCTGAATATAGCCGCAAGTCCCCTCCCTTCCTCCGCCAGAAATTACTTAAATTTTGAGGTTATGTTCGTTTCAAGGCTCTGAATATAGACGCAAGTTCCCCCTCCCTCCTCTCATTTCCCCTCCTCCGCCAAAAATGACCTAAATTTTGAGGTTATGTTTGTTTTAAGACTCTGAATAAAGCAGTAAGTCCTTCCCCCTTCCCTCATCTCTCTCCGTATTTCCCGCCAAAATTGACTTGAATTTAAAGGTTATGTTCGTTTCAAGACTTTTTAATAATTTATTGGTTTTTAAGCAATTTCATTTGAAATTATTTTCAAAAATAATTTCTTAATGTCGATTTTAATTCATTTAATTATTTATTTATTATTAATTTAATTAATTTATTAATTAAAGTTTAATAATTTTAATTTTAATAACATTTATTCAGATTTCAATGAATTTGTAATAATAATTCTTTGAAATAGGTGGTTCATTTGGAAAAAAAAGATCAATGGAAAATTTAAAAAAAATGATTAAAACAGGGGGGTTGATATAATATTTTTTAAAATAATTTTTATTTATTAATAAAAGTGTAAATTAGATATAGAATTGGATAATTTTCGTTTCAATTGAAAACAATGAAAAACCAGTTCATTTGTGTGGTTCATATATTATATCTTTTTGGATGCTGTGTGGGAAATGTATAGGTGCAAATTGGAGATTACATTTAAGTTCAAAACCATGCACATTGAATCTCACTTAATGCCATGACAGATATGTCACAGCAGATAAGCAGATTTGTAAAATGTGTGGGCAATCTGGGCACGTGAGATCGAAGAGCCAGCGTATAATCCAACGATAACATGGCTTAACTAGAATAGTGAACTGGTTCGCATTTTAAACCATATTTGATACAATAAATCGAAAGAGAAGCTTCGGCAGGATCAATGGAGAAATTTCATTTTATATATATTTATTTGTCAAACTTTTTAGCAAACAATATAATTCACAAAAACAAAAGAAACATGAGAAAATTTCTTAACACATTTTTCCAAGAAATTCTATATTTCAAAAGAACCTTTTGGATAAATTGCAATTTTATTGCTATTAAATAGTGCAAAAAGAACAAAAAAAAAAATTACAAAAAATTACAAAAAAAGCAAAAACATGATTTAAAATGTTTTATCAATTTTTCATAATTTTATTTCCTTTTTTCTGTACTCTTATTTTGGTAAATAGTCTGACTAAATCGGTCTCTTACTACTCGTGTAAAAATTTAAATATTTGTCTGACTAAATACGATTTTTACTACTGATTTGTAATAATTGGATTTGTCTGACTAAACCAGCTTTTTACTACTAATGTAAAATTAAAAATATTTGTCTGACTAAATACGATTTTTACTACTGATTTGTAATAATTTTATTTGTCTGACTAAACCAGCTTTTTACTACTAATGTAAAATCATAAATATTTGTCTGACTAAATACGATTTTTACTACTGATTTGTAATAATTTGATTTGTCTGCCAAAAACAAACTTTTATTAAACTTATAATAAATTTTTCAAAAATAGAAATCTAATCTGCTGACAATTTGTAATTTCAATTTTTTTTCGTCTGACTGAAAGAGACTTTTACTACTTGTTCTAAATATAAAGCAATTTGTCTGATTGCTACATTCTTTTACTACTGAAACTAAAAATAAAACGATGCGTCTCATCAAAACTGTCTTTAACTACTTATTTTAAATATAAATATTAAATTATAATTATATAATTATATATTATAAATAAATAAATTAATTAATTAATTAATTATTTAATTAATAATAATAATAATAATAATAATAATAATAATAATAAATATATTTTACTACCGATTCTAAACTAATTTTTTTTCTTCTTAAATGTTTGTTTTGATCTTTTATGAATTTTTTTAAAAGTATCTTTTCACATACGGCTTGACAAATATGAAACTTTTAACTAAATTAATCTTGTTAAGAGTTCCTCTTGAAAATGCATGACTAGTAGAGCATATATAACGCTCATAATGCAAATATGTTTGTTTCAACTGGAAGTCAAGTACTCCATTAGGTGTAGAAATGTCTGTAGTTTATATCACATTTATGAAATTCACAATCGAGCTTTTCGACAAGTTTCAAGTTTGCGATGCTCTTATATGGAAAATATTATTGTATATACATATGTATATTATGTACCATTGTTAAACAAAAATATAATCTTCTTTTTTCGAATTATTTCCAATTATAAATTAATCGATAATAACAATTTCAATCATCATAGGTCAATAATTAGTACTAAATTTTGAAAATCTCAAACAATGGACACTGAAATTTTCATTATTTGATCAATTAAATTTTATTATTTCAATTGTAATAATTATTGGTACTCCAATATGGATTAATTCCACACTTCACTTTTTGTCCTCATAAAAATTATTCAAAATTAATAGTTTTTTCTTTTGTATTTTATGTATTTTTATATAATTTTTTTTTTTGCTTCACGATAAGTAGAATCTAATTTAAAATATTAAAAAAGGCCTTTTCTAAATAAATTGATATAGAGAAATTGGTATTCTGAATATATATTTATTCATGTATTTTTCATGTCAATTAGTACTAAATTTTGAAAATCTCAAACAATGGACACTGAAATTTTCATTATTTGATCAATTAAATTTTATTATTTCAATTGTAATAATTATTGGTAAATTTCTTCAATATGGATTAATTCCACATTTCACGTTTTGTCATCATAAAAATTATTCAAAATTAATAGTCTTTTTTTGGATTTTGTATTTTTATATCCTAATCTTTTTTGCTTGACGATAAGTAGAATTTAATTAAAAATATTTAAAAAGGCCTTTTCTAAATAAATTGATATAGAGAAATTGGTATTCTGAATATATATTTATTCAGGTATTTTTCATGAAATACGTAAATATATATATATATATATGCAAATAATTTGTTTGTTTATTTTTTTTTTTAGAAATACGAGGTGGAGTTTCTTTTGCAGCAGCAGTGGTACGATCCACGATTGCGTTACAGTAACAGATCACGTTACGAATTTCTGAACGCAATCCACCATCACAACGATATCTGGCTCCCAGACACGTACTTCATCATGCACGGAGATTTCAAGGATCCCCTTATACCGGTCCACTTTGCCCTGCGAATCTATCGCAATGGCACTGTCAACTATCTAATGCGGTATTCATATGATGATTTCGTTATACATTCTTTTTCATTCTTATTTGGAATGAGAAAAAAAAAAAAATTATATTCTAACGTCTATTGCATATTTTATGATATAATTTAAATATTTATAGAGAAAATAAAGTAAAATACTGCTTCACACTGATAGTAAAAAATATTTTTAATTATTTTACTATTGATGAGAAAAATTGCAAAAAAAAAAAAAAATGTCTGAATGAAATTTGCTTCTACCACTGATATTACAAATTACTTGTCTGACTTAAACTTTCTTTTACTACTGATACAATATTTTACTCAATTAGAACATTAACTACTCTACTTGTCTGACTAATACAGGTTTTTACTACTAATATTAAATTTAAAAAAATTTTGATTAAAAAATTAGAATAATTTGAATTTTTTGTCTGACTGAAACGAACTTTTACTACTGATACAATATTTTACTCAATTAGAAGATTAACGACTCGACTTGTCTGACTAATACAGGTTTTTACTACTAATATTAAATTCAAAAAATTTTTGATTAAAAAATTAGAATACTTTGAAATTTTTTGTCTGACTGAAACGAACTTTTACTACTAGTTCTAAATATAAAGCGATATGTCTGGCTAGAATTTTTTTTCACTACTAATTTTAAAAATTATTTGTCTTACTTAAATCCTCTTTTACTACTTCAACAATATTTCATCAAAATTTGATAGTGTCTGACTAAATAAGCCCGTTTACTACTAACAGTAAATTAAAAATAATATTTCTGACAGAATAAAATTAGTATTTTTCATAAAATATATTTGTGCGAATTTTCGAAGAGTGATAGAGGCTTTTACTACTGACTTTAAATATAAAACAATACATCTGACTAAAACTGTCTTTTAATAATATGAAAATTACCTGTCTGACTAAAAATGCGTTTTACTACTGATAGAAAAAAAAAATAATAAAAAGGTCTGACTTTAAATGACTTGTACTACTGATTACAAATAATTGAAAATGCCACTGTAAAAACTAGCCGTCTTAAAAGTACAAAAAACGTCTTATTTTAAGACACATTTGGTGTCTTAGACGCGAAAAACGTCTTAAAACAAGAGGTTTTTTGCACTTTTAAGACGGACAGTTTTTACAGTGGTCTGACTGAAAATTTCTCCTACTACTGAGACTAATAATAAAAATTTTTGTTCGACAATTTTTTATACAAATAACTCTCTAAATCTGAATTAGTAAAAATGTTTACTAATTTAAATTAGTGACTCACTTTTTGCTTCTGAATTAGTAAAATTTTACTAATTATTAGTAACTTTTACTAACAATTAGTAAAATTTAACTAATTCAGAAGCAAAAAGTGAGTCACTAAATGAAATTCGATGCTCTTAAAAAAATTTAACTAATTCAGAAGCAAAAAGTGAGTCACTAATTCAAATTAGTAAACATTTTTACTAATTCAGATTTAGAGAGAATAAAAATATTATTTTAAATAAATTTATATATTTTGTACAAATAATCGAAAAATATTATTTTAAAAAGATATATATTGTAATTTGAATAATATTTGAGTAGACATAAAAAAAGAAGAGGGAAAAATATGAACCAAAAAAAAAAATAAATATGTCATTGACATCAGGACAGATAAGGATCTTTATTACGTTTTCCAGAGTATATAGATAGGGTCAGTTTTGGTCAGCCAACAACTGGAAATAGCACATTCACAGTTAACTTGAGCGAGTTAAATCAATATCCGCCACTAGCTTTACAAAAAAACCACATTGGTTTTACATGCCAAATATATTTCACTTCATGCTTATATGAATATGAAATTATTTTTACATTATCAATTGTCAAATTTCAACCTACTATATTTAAAAAACACATTTTTTTTCTTCTATTAATCAAAAAGTGTGAATTAAATTTTTTTTTTTTCAAGAAAAATTAGGATCGAAAAAAAATATATTTTCTTTCTAAGAAAGAAATGGATCTTAGTTTGAAAAAAAAGAAAACATTATACTTTAATGATAAATTATATGTTTTTAGGCGCCATCTAATCCTCTCCTGTCAGGGTAGACTTAACATTTTCCCATTCGATGACCCATTGTGTTCATTCGCTATCGAGAGCAGTAAGTATTTTTTGTCGAAAAAATCTTTTTTCATTCTCTATTATTTTTTTCTTTTTTTCTTGGTAATTCCCTTTTTTTTCTTTATATTTCTTATTTGTTCAATCTTTGCTTTGTTACTGAATTCTGTTTTTTTTTAAATTCCTGTTTTTAAATTCTTGTTTTTAAAAATGTTTGAAAATGTATAAAAAATAATCACTAAAAGAAAAAAAGAATTTTTTTCGTTATAGCCTTTTTTTTGCTTAGAACTATTTGAGAAAAATTGACGTAGAACACTGTACATTGGAGATGCACCAGATAAAACACCACCTTAGTACTTTGTAAGAATATTTTAAAAAAGAGCCTTTTGTTCTTTCTTTCCTTGCTCTTGTCAAGAATTACATGAAATTTTTCACTAAATACCTGGGAAGCCAGGGAAAACTCTATTCATTAAAAAATCAAATGAAATTTTTTACAAAGAATTTTCCTTTGAGATATATATATATATATATATATATATATAATATATTTATAATTTATATTAAAGATTTTCTCTGTTCTAATTATAAGAAAAAGAAAAGGTTACATTTTTAGCCGTAAGTGTAATTTCCAAAAAAATCAAAGCAAAAATTTTCTTACTGATTTTTTAAAATGTCTTTTACTACTGATTCTAAAAATAGAACGATTTGTCTGACTATAATTAACTTTTACTACTTACACATAAAGCTTTAAGGATATTTAAAAATGTCTGACTAAACATGTTCTTTGCTACTGATATTGAATTAAAATGATTTGTCTGACTGTAATTGACTTTTACTACTGATAAATCACATAATGTGTTTTGTCTGACAAAAATTGGTTTCTACTACTGATTTTATACTTTGAGTTTTTTTTGTCTGTCTATAATTAAAATTTTACTGTTTACTTAATTGAAACATTTTTTCTCACCAAAATTGTTTTTTGACTACTGAAATTTACATCTTATTCTGAATAATTATTCTAAATACTACCAATTATTAAGTCTGATTTAAATTCTCTTTTACTACTGACAGAAAAAAAAATGAAAGAATAAAAAATTATTTTACTATTACTACTAATTTTGTGTTAGTTCAAAATAATGAACAAATTTTTTTTTCTAAATCATAAAAATAAAATAAAAAATAAATGTAAAAATAGAAAAAATAAATAAAAAAATAATTTACTTTCTAATAATAAGACATTTTTCTTTTAGTATCCTATGAGCAAACGGCTATTACATACGTTTGGAAGAACGACGAGGGCACGTTACGGAAAAGCCCCAGTCTAACGACACTGAATGCATACCTTATTCAAAATCAGACAATCACATGTCCCATCAAAGCCAGTTGGAGAGGTAAGCTGAAAATTAAACCTCAAAAAAAAAATTTATATATTCTCTTTATTTCAAATACACTCACTTGCACTTGCAATTGACTTGAAAATTTTGCTTCAAAAAAATTTTTTTTTTTTTTTTTGCCAATTTACACTATTTAAAGCAAGTGATATATTTTTCAAAATAGTTTTCAAAATTTTCTCAATTGATTAAAAAAAAAAAATAAATTTTTTTGGTCATACTTTTAATATTTTTTTTTTGTACTTTTATTAGAGAAAACTAGACATATGTGACTAATCTATTTTTATACAATACATATATATTCTTAGTTTAGATATATATATAAAAAATTGTTTGATAAAGTTCAATAACCCCTGGTTTGACCCATTGTGGAGTTCTGATTATATATTTTTTTTTTTGTATTGATCTCTAATAGATTATTATTTATTACTTCTGACATGAAATATCTCGACTGCTCCTATATATTATGAATTGATGGAAATCGATATTTATATATTGAGAAATTTACATTGAAAAAAAAGAGGGACTAATTTGCATTCACCGAATTACTTCTCATATTTTTATAATATTAATTTTTTATTTTTCTCCACTCGTTTATTTATTATTAAATTTCTACATTTTTCTTAGCAAAAAAAAAGGGTAATTTATTATTTTAATTTTTCTAATTTTTTTTTTGGAGAAAATAATTTTCAAATAATAATATAAATTTTTTATATCGCAAATAAGATGAAAAGAGATTCTTAAATATAATATATATATATATTTAGAAAAAAAAGTGTTTTATACTCTCTAAATCTGAATTAGTAAAAATGTTTACTAATTTAAATTAGTTTTTTGCTTTTGAATTAGTAAAATTTTACTAATTATTAGTAACTTTTACTAAAAATTAGTAAAAATTTAACTAATTCTCAAGCAAAAAACTAATTTAAATTAGTAAACATTTTTACTAATTCAGATTTAGAGAGTTATTGTCGAGATAATGACTTGAATTTCGTTGTGAAAAAATAATTTTTTGTCAAGGTAAGTTTGCATCCTGTTTGTTTTTGTTTTTGGGTAAAGGATGAAATTGTTGTTTCTTCCCTTTTTTTCTATGACCTTTTTTTTTTTTTTGTTTTTTGTGCGTGGCTTTTTTTTTGCTCTCGCTGGTGAAGCGAAATAATCTTTTTTATCCCAAGTAATTCCTTATATACCTCACATTTAATGCACCTTATATTCACAAGATTACAAGTAAAACTGAAACTTAATTTTCCAAGTTACGCCTCTGGAGAAGGGAAACTTTTCATTTTTTGATTCAACAAAGATGCAAACTACATTTTCTCTTATATATTATGCATGTTTCATGTTTTCCCCAAGAGAAAATGAGATTTGTATAAAAAAAAAAGAAATGTAATTATAGAGGTTTTTTTTATCCAAAAAATTTTCTGCTAATTTCATTAAAGATTTACAATATCCTGCTGGAAATTTAAGTTTCAGAAAAAATTGTTTTTTTTGATAATGAAAGTACATATTAATAGAAAATTTTAAACAATAAGAATAGGATTCAATAGATAATATTTTTTAATTTATGATTGAAAAATTGTTATTAATATATTTTTACTATATATTTTTTTTATTATTAATTCTATATTTTAATTATAAAATTTAATTATATATATTTTTATTATATATTATTTTACTTGATTTATTATTACTTTCATTACCAAGTGACATATACTGCATGGTACAACACGCACACGAACCCAACAATTTTTCTACACGGTCGAGAGTAATCTAGTTTATTATTAGCCTTTTATTAAAAAAAAAAAAAAATATTTATTAAAAAAAAAATTGTTATTAAAAAATTTATTTATTTATATAAAAAATCATTTTTTTTTAATTTAATAAATTGATATACTAAAATTTAATTATAATTTTTTTTTCTCCTTTTTCAAGGTTTTAATTACAATAACAATATATAATTTCCAAATGCAATTTATTAAACATTATAATTATAATTAAATAACTTTATTTTTTATTGAGAATATTTAAAAATTAGTTGATAATTGAAAAAAAAATGATCGTATTGAAGAATTGTTAAAAAAAAAAATACACGAATTTGCAAGAAAGCATTTAAATGTCGCATTATATTGGCAAGAAAAAAAGTGCATGTCAAGGCAAGGTCTTTTTTATGAACGTAGAATGGTTTGCAATATTAGTTCCTTAGACATTGGCAACCTTGGTCCCTGTCTCGCTTCTGAATTTGTCCGCTGTGGTTCGCTTCAAGGTCGAATCATATGGGTTCAATTTCAGAGTCAATTTTTTTTTTTCTTTTTTTTTTCATCAATTCAACAAAATTGATACGATAGATATACAATTTTCAAAAAAAAAAAAAAATTAAAAATAGTAAATTTTTAATATTTTAGTTGAAAAATAATTTAATTATTAATAAGGACATAATTTTATAAAGTATTTTGTTAAAAAGAAAACAGAAATATTAAAAAAAATTAATGAATTGCAAATGTGCAATTTGTACAGTCAACGGATTAAAATTTGAATAACGATGCAATTATTCAGACAAGTCAATAGCAAACAAAATTGTTTACATCTCGTTAGCGGTTGTAATTGATCTTTGCAGTTAAAACGTGCCCGTCAGTTTTTGTTATATAATACAGATTACCATTGTTATTACATATTCTCTTTAATATGTCAAAAAAAAAATAATAATATTCAGAGAATTAAAACTTTTTTTTATATAATATATTATAAATAATTACAATCGAATTACAATAATAATTTAGAAACACTAAAGAAATTAAATTTGATAACACTTTTTTTAGCACTATAAATTTTAATATATATATATATATATATACTAAACTGCATATCTGATAAAGGAAGTTTATGATTTATTCATTATGTTAAAAGTAGAATAGGTACTTGCCGCACGCTTTTAGATAAAAATTCCAAAAATAAAAAGATCAAAAATTACCACCCCACGATATTATGCAATTTATTCATGAGTTTTAGCTTCCTGAGGAAAGATAAATATATATACATGTGTACATTTCCTGGCTAAATTAATCACAATTGTTTGTAAAATAATATTATAGAAAAAAAAATCTTCACATTTTTTTATATCGATTTATCTATAATGTTTTGCACGTGTGACTATATATATATATGAATTCATTGCACGGCTTTTGAAAGGAAAAAAAAAAATTTAGAAATCGTTTTTTTTTATTTCAAAATAGAAAAATAATATTCAAGTCCATGTGAGTTTAATTATTTAATATTATAGTGGAAATACGGTTTTCGCATGTTACAATTTTTTTTTTTTAATTTTTCAAGAAGCAACCACGGCGGAGTGTTTGCGTGCATAATTTTTGAAATAATCGGCGATCGGTAATCATCAAATTATTAAAAAAAAACCAAAAATACTTAATTTTATTACTAAAAAAAAAATGTGCTTTGAAAAAAAGTTTTAATTAATTAATATAAAAGTTTATTAGAATTATTACTAAAATTTAATTCTAAATTTTATTACTTTATATGCAATATAAAAAAAAATTAAAATATAAATTTTTTAAAATTTGACGTCATATAATTTTGTAAACATTTATCACATATACAATATTCAAAATGCAATACACAGTATTACTCTATTCTTTACACAATTTAATTTGTACGACAAATTATGTTTCTATTTACTTTTTCCATTTCTAATATATACATATTACATATTATTCTTTATATCATTTTTTTAACCCAATATCTTTAATGGAACAAGTGTTAACTATAAAATATCTCTAGTGATAAAAATATTTTATTTATTAAAATCTAATCCATTGGAGAATGTCGCGTTAAACTGTAATTTTTTTTTTGTTTAAAACACGGAATTGTTCACATTTTTTCACCAATTTTTGTTTTTTTTTTTTAAATTTTGACTTATAATCTATTTTTTCTTATGTTTAATTTTTCAGTCTCTTCTGAAGAGGATCCTTTTTCAATATATTACGGTAATATTAATTTTTTTTCTATTGAATCAAGAAAAAAAAATGTCACTTTTTTTCATTTTAAAATGATTTTTAAAATAATGTATTGGTATTTAATTATTATAGTCAAATCAGAAAGAATTATTTATTTAAAAAAAAAAAAAAAAACTGTCAATAATTATAATTTGCTTGATTTATCCTTCATATCCTTTTCCTACGATTAGAGTAGCAGTAAATACTGTAGATAAGCATTGACTTTAGAAATATTGTATTATTTTACTATTTTTCTCAAAAAAAAAAGAGAGAGAAAAAAAAACAATTACCGATCGCTGACGTGAGAAATAAAACAACGCAAGATGAGTGAATTAATAAACAAATAATAATAACCATAGTGAAAACGGAAAGAAGTGAGAAACATAAGCAGATGAAATAGATAAAATATTAAAATAGTGTGCACACAAAAAGTAGAAATATTAGAAAAAAAAGAACTCTTGAAGTTTTTTTTTTTAATTTAGTTTTGTGAAAATGAGAATTTAAAGGATTTACCACATTTTTGTGAGAGGAGAAATTAGTAGGGGGAAAAAAAAATGAAAATTAAACGATAATGGATAAAGAAAGATAGAAAACACAAAAAAAAAAAAAACAAAACAAAAAAAGCGGAAGCCGGAAGCAGATCGAGGCTGTTCTGTTGCAGACAGACAGCTGATGGCTGATTACGAGGACGAGTTCGATGATTTTGGGGACACTAGGTGCTCACTGTGCCAGCGCAGATTTGAAGAACAAGGTAAACGCATCAAGGCACTCCTACAAGTGTTTTAAAAGTTTGATCGAGAACCAACCAAGGACCCAAAGAGAGACAGGACCAAGTTAACCAAATCGTGAGATCAGCCACGACCCCTTTTTTGTTTTAGTTTTTTTTTTTTTTTTTTTTTTTTTTGTAATAATTTATATTTTTTGTCGATTAAAAATTTAAAAAAAATTCTATTCGTTATAAGTATAGTATTTTTCTGCTTTCAAATTAAGGAAACATTTTTTCCATCACTAACAAGAAAAATATTAAATATTATTATTATAAAAAAAAAATGTCAGAAACGAAATATAACTCTTAGATTTTTTTTTATTTATATAAATATCAGAAGTCGATTTTTCTTTACTAGTGATAATAAATAAAATTGATTAAAAGCATTTGTCTGAACAGTCTTTTACTACTGAAAATTATTGTCTGACTATAATTGTCTTTCATTACTGATTTTGAATATACAGTCTGACTATATTATAATTTTACTACTGACATTACAGTTATGTCTGACTAGAAATGTCTTTTACTACTGATACAATATATTGAAAAAAATTCAATTAATTAAAACTGTCTGACTACTGCAATCTTTTATCACTGATTGCAAATATAAAATCGTCTGACTATAATTGTCCTTTACTACTAATTTTTTTTATCTATTTTGTCTGACTTTAACGGCCTTTCTCTACTTTTGAAAAATTTTAGAAAAAATCGTACTAAAAATATTTCTATATAATAAATGTAAAATTTGTCCGACTAATACTATTTTTTACTACTGATGAAATATTTTAGACACACGGGAAACAAGAGACTACTTTATTTATTAAAACGTATAAATGTATTATACTCTCTAAATCTGAATTAGTAAAAATGTTTATTAATTTGAATTAGTGACTCATTTTTTTCTTCTGAATTAGTAAAATTTTACTAATTATTAGTAACTTTTACTAACAATTAGTAAAATTTAACTAATTCTAAAGCAAAAAACTAATTTAAATTAGTAAACATTTTTACTAATTCAGATTTAGAGAGTAGAAATAATATTAATTATAGTAATAAAAAAATTACTAATCTGGTATATATATGAGGCATTCTTTGTCAACTTAAGCCCCCTTCTGCCTAAAAATAGTTTAAATATGGAAAATCAGGCATAGGCTTATTACTTCAATAAAAACAAATACTTTTCGATGTCGTGTGGCGTTTGTGAAAATTCAAAATGGCGGATCAAATATGGCGACTAACTTTTATAAAATTAGTTAAATTCACTTGGAAATTGCTACTCGGGGGTTTTTGGGGTCGCTGATTGCGAATCCGATGATAGTTTTCAAATTCAAAATGGCGGATCCAATATGGCGACTAAATTTTATGAAATTAATTAAATTCACTTGAAAATTGCTACTCGGAGGTTTTTGGGATCGCTGATTACGAATCCGATGATAGTTTTCAAATTTAAAATGGCGAATCCAATATGGCGTCAAAATGCCATAAAATTAATTAAATTCACTTGAAAATTGACACTCGGGGGTTTTTGGGGTTGCTGATTACGAATCTGATGTTAATCTAGAAGTAATAGACATTTTTGCTTGAGAAACCATTTGCTATCAATTCAGTCGCCATATTGGACCCGCCATTTTGAATTTTTGAAAACTATTTTTGGGCAGAAGGGGGCTTCAGTTGACAAATAATGCCTCATATATATATTTTTTTTTATATTAAGAGTTGTAATAATTTCTATAAATATATTTTTTATTTAAATTTTAACATAGTAAGATTAAAAAAAAATTTTATTAATGAACCGTTTCCTTAATTTGATCTAGCAAATAAAAAAAGCTTGCTTTATAATCTGCTTGAAAATTGAAAAACCATAACTAACCATTATTAAAAAAAAAAAAAAAAATCTACTCTTTAGAATTATTCAATTTTGGCTGAAACTATATATTATTAATTTCATTCATTACATGCAGAAAAACTTCTTTCAATACAAAAATAGTTTTATTTTTCATTTTTGGGGAAAAAAAAAATTCCTCTTTGATATCATATTTATAGAAAATTAGATAAAATATTTAGATTCTCATATACATATTTCCCTTTTGAAAGATGATAATCTTGTTCAATATTATAGTTAAAAAATAAAATCTGTCTATACCTCGAGTTTATATATATATCTATATATATATATATTTTATATCCTCGTAGATCTAGTTTCAAAGAAGCTTGCTCAGTAGCAAAAGATGGGAATTTTTTTTTTTTCTTTTTCTAAATAACTGTGTGATGTATCTGAATTTTTTTTTTTGCAATATTATAGGATATATAATCAAGTGCGCTTTCCATCGTAATAATATTTTCTCCAATGTGTTTGCGAAAAAAATACACATATTATAATAAACGAAGCATGAATGCACTTTTATATTAATGTTTGTAGAGAATATTTTCCCGTCCTCGTTATATAAATATATATATTTGTGCGTGTATTTGTGTTTTTGTCAAAGTAAAGTCTATTGATGTTCGTGAAAAAATAAATCATAGATGAAATTTTGTTTTCTTTTTCTTTTGAGAAATTAAATATTAGAATAAATTAATTAGAAATCATTGAGCGATAAATAGGAAAATTAAAATATTAACAGCATCGACAAAAAAAAATTATTATTTTTATAATAATATTAATATTATAATTATTTATTGACTATTATTATTATTATTTTATTACCTTGACTATTATCAAATAAACATTTTTTTGACCCAAATATTTTTCAATGAGGGTTTATTCGAATTTAGGTACAAAAGAAATTCTTTTCATCTTATTAGAATATTTTTTTTTTTTTATATAGTTTAGAATCGTTGACTTATAAAGACGAAATAAAATTATTTTTAGAAACACTTTTGTTGTACAAAAACAAGAGATATTTTTTTTTTAAACATAAATGAGGGCGTTAATTATAAAAAAAAATGTGTAAAATTTTTCTCGAAAAAAATTCCTATTTTCTTTTTATAGTTTTTTTTTTTGTATTTACTTTTTTTTTATTTTAATCGATAGTTTTTTTGTATTTTAATCGAATTTCGAGGCTTGGAGGGAAAGAAGACTTTTTTCTAGACAGATATTAGAATATTTTGTGAGGTACATTTGCTTTTCTCTATCTATTCAGTATTTTGAAAAGTAAACTCAAGCACAGATAACGTGATATTAGGTACATATATACATGAATTTTTTTTTATCTATAAAAAAGTTTTTTTTTTTTCTTTTAAAAAATATATATGTACATCATACATGAAATTCTAATCTGGGTCAGCGTACTATTTTAGAGTTCTCTCAAACTAGAATTTTTAAATTAAACAGTAATATTTTTTTTCAACACTTATTAAGAAACATTTTTTTTTTTTCATAAAATAATAAAAATTAAATACAATATATAATAAAAAAAATAAATATAAATCATTTCGTGTGTATTAGAATTTTTTTTTTTTTGACATTTATCATGTTTGTGCGGCTTATTTTCCAAATGCTTTGCATATTATATCAATAGCTTCGCTTAAAAACCTGACTTAATTATTTATTTATAACTCAATTTTCATAAATTGGTATCTCAATTTCTCTCTATATCTATATATAGAATTATTATTAGTAATTTGTATGGAAATTCGCTTAGTAATGATTAATGTAGTTCCTACTGCCTCTCAAAACCAATCAGTGATATAATCTGTGTTTGGTCAGACAGGTAAGGATAGAAATTCATTATAAATATTATATTATAAATTCGGAATTTCTATAAATATATACATTTATAATTTACAATTTTAAAAATATACAAATAAAATCGGAAATCACAATTGAAACTTGACAAAAATTCAAATATGAAATAAAGAATCAAAATTATCAAATCTATGAAAAAAAAATATATAGAGAAAAAATTCTAAAAAAAAAAATACCAAAAAATAAAAATAAATTCTAAAATTATAAACAGTCTTTTGAAACCTAAATATGAAAATTTAATTAGACAAAAAATTTGATGCGTTATAAATTTATCATTTTTTTTTTTAAATGTCTTTTCAATGAATATTTTTAATTTTTAAAATTAATGTTTAAATAAATCTTCATTCGTGCATTTAATGGTTACTTTATTAAAAGGCCTCTCAAAACAGAATTATTATATATGTACCAGATTTTTGGAGGATATGGAGGCTGGTTTTTTTTTTTTTTTTAATTTTGTTAAATACCACACATCGTTATATGCCCCGGGGGAAATTAAATGTGGCGCCTTGACCCGAAATTTTAGTATATATATATATGAACTAGGGCGATTTAATAAAGATTCACGTGAAAAACTCACATTTTTCCTAGTGAAAAATTCTTTTATTTTTAAAAACTAAACTTTCTTTTCTTTAATTTACAATCATTTATTTTCATTCATAATTTTTCTACTTTTTTCCTAATTTCATGAAAAAAAAAAAAATTTAATGATTATTATATAATTAATTTTTCTCACAAGAATATTATTTCAGAAAAAAAAAATTCAAATCATTTCCAAAAAATTGACTAAAAACAAAATTAATTTCAGTAATTTGGTGATTTTGTAAAGGTTCTTTCTGCAAGTGACTAATACTGATTATGTTTCTAACTTTTAATAAATTAGCCAGTAGTTAATTGTAAAAATTAATCGATATACTGCTTGAAATGAAAAAAAAAATCAATTCAAAAATAGATTTCTCATAAATGTGAATAAAAAAAAAATGTCTTGGGGAATTTTTGTGAAAAAAATTTTTTTTTTTGTTTTAAAGATGCAAATAAATTTTCAAGACATTTTTTTCTTTCATAAATCATAATGCCCTGCTTAATTTTAAAGATTTTTAAAAAATGAAGATAGAAGTAAATTTAAATTTTGAATCTCATAGGTAACTATAGCTGCCTGAAGGTGGACCTGATGTTCACAAGAGATAGAGCCTTCTATTTCACGACCGTCTTCATCCCTGGGATTATCCTGGTGACGAGCTCCTTTATCACGTTTTGGCTTGAGTGGAACGCCGTACCAGCTCGAGTCATGATTGGTAAATTAATTATAATTTTAATATTTACATTCAATTGCAAAAAAAAAATAATTGTTTTTAATTTTTTTTTTACACATTCATTACATTTTTTTAAAACATATTTTTCATGTACTGAAAAATAATTATTATAGAAAATTTAAAAAAAAATATATATAATAATAATAATAATAATATTATTATTATTATATATTATATATTATAAAATATAAAAAATATTATAGTTTTGATTGAATTTTTATTTATTTGAGAAAAAAAAAAATTAATTTCAGGTGTCACGACGATGCTCAATTTCTTCACGACGTCGAACGGCTTCCGGTCGACACTTCCTGTCGTTTCGAATCTGACTGCAATGAATGTATGGGACGGCGTTTGTATGTGTTTCATCTATGCAAGTCTATTAGAATTTGTTTGCGTCAATTACGTAGGTCGCAAAAGGCCGTTGCACAACGTCGTCTACCGCCCAGGCGAAAATCCCGTGACCCAGGTATTTTGCTATTTACAATTTTCATCTCTCTCTCTCTCTCTCTCTCTCTCTCTCTTTCTCTTTATTTCCCCTATATAATTCATTCATCAAATTCATTAAAAATCATTTTTTAAATTCACAAATTTGCATTTATTTTTCCTATACAAAAATTAATATAATTTAATTGTGTTTTTGTATTAACAATTTTTTTTTATAACTCTATTTCGAGTCCTCCAAATTTTGTTTTTACAATAAATTTTTTTTTCTTATCATTTTGAAAATAATTATCCATTTATGTTTAGTTATTTCATAATAATTGAATGAAATTTTTTTCTTTATTTAGTAATTTATGTTAATTATTACAGTAACTAATTTATTATTGAATTGGTTTTGTTAAATAGGAATTTATTTTTTTAAAAAAACTGATTGAAAGTCGCACTATTTTGTCTGACTAAAAGTGTACTTTACTACTGATATTAAATTTAGTTTTTTATTTTTAGATACAATATATTAAACGATTTGTCTGACTAAAACTGTTTTTTTTTGCAAATAATACAACTGTCTGACTAAAACTGTCTTTTACTACTGTTAGACAATGTTTTAAACAATTTGCCTGACTAAAACTATCTTTTACTACTGATGCAATATTTTACAAAAATTAAAAAGTGTTCGACATAAAATGACCTTTACTGCTAAATTAAAAATTTAATGACTTGTCCGACTATAGATAGTTTCTACTACTGATTCTTGTAAGACCAGCTGTCTGACGATAACTGTCTTTTACTACTGATAGTGAAATTTAAACTATTGGTCTGACTAATACTCTCTTTTACTACTAATACAGTATTTTGCAACAAAAAAAAATTGTCTGATTGAAACAAACTGTTACTACTGATTCAAAAAATAAATTCATGTGTCTGACTAAAACTGTCTTATACTACTAATAAAATATTTAAACAAATTTTGCAATGTCTGACTAAACCTGTCTATTTCTACTGATAGTAAAATAAAAACGTCACGTCTGACTAAAAATTTCTCTAACTTCTGAGACAATATTTCAAAAAAAAAAATTCGTATGTGTCTGACTGAAACTGACTTTAACTACTTTTTACTAAACATTAAATATTTTGTTAACTGTCTTTTTAGATTTTATAAATTTTATTTTTATAAATTTATTTTTATAAATTTATTCTTATAAATTTGATTTTATAAATTTATTCTTATAAATTTGATTTTATAAATTTATTTTCATAAATTATAACTTAAATTATGTTATCGAGAAAGACGAAAGAGAATTTACAATAATGGTAACAAATAAAAATATAATAAATGGTAAAATAAATATTTACTATAAATAATTTTTCCATATTAAACAATCATAAGGAACAAAAATCTTTTGTTTTAATATTTTAAATATTATTTATTATTTTATCCTCTATTCAAACTAATCGTTCTGTGATATTTATATAAAGAGACGAAAATTTTAAAGATTGAAATTTTTTAAAAAAGCAAAACCTCATCCAGTCACATCACTCAATTAATTAACACACTAAAACCTTTATTGTACAAGTGTACTCGATAAAAATATTTTAAATATGTTCATACCATAGTAAGAGACAAACAATAATTTTTCAAAAAAAAATGTTTTTTTTATTTGTTTTTTTCTTAAATTTTTTTGTTATTTATCATTGTTAATAAATTATATATTGTTAAATTTCAAAATCGTAATAAAATTTTATATTAATTTTTCTAAAATTGGGACAAATTAATATTTTTATTGAGTAAACATTTTGCACAAATGTGATTTTTGACGTGAAAAAAAAACAATATATGTATGGTTTATTGCTAAATTTGATTAATGTTTTAAAACTAATAACTGGTTGCTAATTGATTATTAATTATATCCAAAAAGCACTTTTCAGTTTTTAAACCCTTTCTCTTTTGTCTTTCTTCTCACATTCTTAGTTTTCTATTTTTTTTTTTTTTATTTCTCAAAAATTATCAAATTCCTTTGAAAGTTTTCTTATTTCACACATCTTTAGTAGATTCAGCATGTGATTTATTTTAGATTCACTTCTCTTTTTGTAGATATATTTCAATATAGTATTAGAATAGGGTTTTTTTTTACCTTAAATTTTATTAAATATTACTTGTAAAAATTTCCGAATCATTAAAAGGATTTTACGAATTAATTACAAAAAGTAATATCTTTAAATCGAATATTTTTTTTATTTCTTTTTTTTAAATAAAGATATATTTAAAAAAATATTTTATTTACCTTCTTTATTTTTTTTAAATTTCTTTTTCTCTCGCTATCTCACTTTTCTAAAATCTCTTTATTTTTCTTTCAACCATTTGCAAAATTTTTCAAATCTTCCTTTCTGAATAATGTTTTTTATAAAATGATTGAAAAATAAAAATCATATCTAAATAACAATAATAAATAATCAAACCATTTCCGTCTGTTAATTGAAAGTTTTCTATTAAAAAAATTTTGCATGTATGCATTAATTTTTTCAAAAGCATTGTTTTTTTATTATGTTTGTTTAATGAAAAAAGAAGACAAAAAAAAATGAAAATAAATTATTATTAATTAGCATTTGTTTATCGTGTGAGAATGTGTTTTTTTGAAAATAAATTTTTTAACAGATCCATATTATTATATTACAATGATAATTCGTTAATTAATTCACCGCTATGTCATATATAGTTTGTAGAAAATTTTTCTACTGTTTTTCCTGTCCTTTTTTCATTTTCTGTGTGTTTTTTGAAAATTTGAAGTGCACATTTTTTTTTTGTGGCAAAGTAATATAATTATTATACATATTTATATAAAAAAATAAAAAAAATTAGAATTCCTGTGAGCACAAAAATTTTGCTTTACATGATATTAATAGTTGTTTTAATAATACTATATAAATATGACATTGAGCACTTTTCGCACGTTTGTAATCAATTCACGACATTGATGTTGCCACAAGTGTTTTAATTTTTTTTTTTTTTTTTTTTTTAATCTGTAATAGAGAATTTTCAAAATATTTCCCTTTATTATTTAAAAAAATATTTTAAAAATACAATTATTATGAAAAATTGAAACAATTATTAAATTTCATTAGAAATTAATTTATTTCTAGTTTTTATTCAACTTCGTTTGGAATTCTTACTAAAAATGTTAAAAATATTTTAAAAATACAATTATTATGAAAAATTGAAACAATTATTAAATTTAATTAGAAATTAATTTATTTCTACTTTTTATTCAACTTCGTTTGGAATTCTTACTAAAAAAAGTTAGAAATATTTTAAAAATACAATTATTATGAAAACTTGAAACAATTATTAAATTTAATTAAAAATTAATTTATTTCTACTTTTTATTCAACTTCATTTGGAATTCTTACTAAAAAAAAGTTTAAATCAAGTTTTTAATGAAAATAAATAATATAAAAGTAAAAATGTGCATAATATATTAAAATCTTAAATAGGAGAACAAGTGAAAAATAGATTAAAACTATATATATATATATATATATAGCACCCGAAGGTGGAAAAGGGAGGGAAATAATTGAAAAGTTTGCGCCTTTGGTGAAAACTTTGCTCGAATTTTCAAATCAATTCGCAGCGAATTTGTTTTTAACTGATTTACGTTTTACTGCTAATCAGAATATTTTTTTATAAGAAAAGAAAAAAAAAATTTTTTTTTCTTATTAGTTTTTTCTCTTTTTATTAATTCTTTTAGAAATTTTATTTATTTTCGCTTATTTAAATTTTCATTAATTTTGGTAATAAAAAAATTTCATTATATTTATAATTCATATATTTTTATCATGAATGTGTTATATAACTTTATATATATATATGTTTAAACAATATATTTATGTCTACAAAAAAATTAATAATGCTATCAAAAATAATATTTCCCAGTTTTTTTGAAAAAAATGATTTATTTTTATAAAAACAGAAAATTAACAATATTGACCTTTAGCGAGATGCTGAAATATTCCACGTTATATGAGTTTTGTTTTAAAAAAAAAATCATCATAATCTTTATGATAATAATAAATATTTATTACTATACTAAATACTCTATAAATCATTTATTGTTGTGATAAACGTAAATTGTCAATTAAATAAACGTAATTATTCAGCTCTCTCAATTATATATGGATCTTTTATTGTCATTATTTTTATTATGATTGAAATAATAAATTTTAATTTTTTCGCTTTTTTAGGAAACGAATTGTACGTTTATCAATTTTTTAATTCTACACAACGGTATTTCTCAATTAATTTGTTTTTTTTTGGAATTGTATATTCATTTTTTTTATATATGTGTAATTTTGTGAATGTTGGATATAAAACAACAAATTTGAAATGACAACCGGCCGTAAAATCGAAAACTCATTCGCTAAATCATTTTCGTGGGATATTTCATTGCAGTTACTCTCAAGGGTCCTCTAAAGCATTAACCTTTAGCCTCCGAGCGCTCTTCTAGTACATATATATATAGTAGATCCTCGCACCAAAAATCGTCTAATAAAAATCGATATTTTACTCAAAAAAAAAAAAAAAAAAAAATTAATAAATAATAATAGAGGAGGAAACAATAATGAAAAAAATCGGTTAGTAGAAAAAAAAAGTTTGGTTGGTGGAATGTTGGTGAGTAAGTCTCTTTGTTTGGTGTCTGTGATGTTGCAGCGGCTTCCAGCGGTGCTCAGCAGGATAGGGATTATATTGGCCAGCCCTTTGGTAAGATCCCTCTTCGCCTTCGGGTACTGTTAAAACTTCTCACGTTTCAGCCAAACTGAAAAAAAAATAAATTTTTTTGAATTTAGAAAAAAAATTAAAAATAAAATGTTTATTTTTCTTTAATAAATTAAATTCAGAGACTGAAATTTTGGAAGTTTGTACAGCGCCCACATACATGCTCGTTAAAAACCCTTAATGGGGCCATAAGACCCCGAAAAATTAATTTTTTACTTTTTTATTCTCGTGCACCGAGCATGCCCGCGACGTAAAAACACTTTGGCGTATATATAAATATATATACAGTAGTTTTTTTTTTGCCTCTTTCAATTTCCTTTGAATAAGAAGGGAGCATGATATAACGTAAATTAAAAAAAAAATTTATTCTATAATCGTTTGCTTTCTTCTTATTCTTTAAGGTCCCTTGCCATTATATTTTGAAATTCGCGCTTTTATCTTAGTTTTTAAAAAAACAATTGGGAATTGAATATTGCAACCCATGTGGAAAAAGTAAATAAAATTTATATTGCAAATTGAGTATATATATTTTATATATAAATTATATTTAAATTATATTTAATTTTTTTCCATGAACAAAAATTAAATATAATTTTTACATAATTTAAATATAAAAAATATATACTCAATTTAAAATATAAATTATATTTACTTTTTCCATATGGGAATAATGAAAATTTTTTTTCATTTTTTCAATTTTCATTTATGGCCTCCTGATTTCTGTATAAATTTTGAAAATATGGGCCACCAATATAATACCATCCTTTGCTATAAATATAAATGTATTGCAGCATTTTTATTGTTGTTTTTTTTTAAATGTTCAGCATGCACTTATCTTTGTCTTTTGTAATTTTTTTTTACATATTAATTATGAAAAAAGATGTTTTAATTTTATATAAGGTGAAAAAAATTTGTTTCACAATTATAATAACAAAATATATACAAATATTGAATATATAATAAATATATACTTAATATAATTATATTGAGTACTCATTATATTAATTACTGCAATTTCTATAATTACTATAATTTCTATAATTACTATAATTTCTATAATTACTATAATTACTATAATTACCATAATTACTATAAATACTATAAATACTATAAATAGTATAGTAAATATAATTACTAGAATTATAATAATTAATAAATAATTATAAAATTTATTATCTCTGAAAAAATTCTTTTTATAATTATATTGAGAGTAAATTATATTTTTATGTCATCAATAGACGTTTAATCTCAATAAAATTTGTACATCAAACACATTAAGTGTACGTCGATAAAATTAATAGTATCCAGAAAGAAAATTGTAGTTTCATATATAAAAAAAAAAAACCTATAATAAAGATTTTCTGTATTTTTTTTTTTTCTCTTCTAAAAAAATATTTTACAAATAATTTAGTCAATCAATTGACAATTTTTGCCTTTTTTCTAATTATTATTCCTCGATTAAAATTTTTAATAGCTTGAATATTTTTATATAAATCAATTTTGCTTAATAATCATTCAAGTGTAGAATATTTCTTTACGATAAAATATTATTAAAGTGCAGATATTTTTTTTTACTTGCTCAGCTTGTGCATGTCGTTATTTTTACATTTTACTATGCCATAGCAATATTGTAAATAATCATATAATTTCAAAAAAATTTATCTTTTATGACAAACTTTTTCATTTATTTTATATAGGTAAAAAATATATTTTCTTCTTTTGAATTTATAATAATTTTTTTCGTTTACTTATTCAATTACGAGAAGAAGAAAAAAAATCGAAATTTTAATTTGTATATTTTTCTAAGTTTAATTTTTTAATTTAACATTTCTTTTATCGATATTACTTTTTCAAATTTTCCAAATAATTTTTTATGTTTATGACTGTTTTTCTAATTTCGTGACTTAAATTTATTGTTATAATTTTTTTTTAAAATTATCAAAAACTCACTCTCAAAATTTGCCTGTTATGCTATATGTAATGCTTTTTTTTTTTGCTTGACAACCTTCACAACCCCTCATAAAAATAAAAACTAAAAAATCATATTAAAATACAATATCTAAAAAAAATACACTTTAAAAAATGTTTTGCTTTTTTTTGTTGATTATTAAATTAAAAAATTCTAGATGGACTCGAAGAGGTGCTTTAATATTTTAATTTTCTCTTTCAAGATTCTGTTATATGAACGTTAAAAAAAAAATTATAAATAAAAACTTTAAATTCTATTTACATAAATAAATAAATATTATTTTTATTATTTAATCGCTATTAAAAAAAAAAAATAGAAAAATTTTTCAAAAATTATCTTTTTTTTTTGGAATTATTATTTAAAAAAATGTTTTTTTCTTAGATATTTTTTTTTTTTGAATAGAGATGCTCGGTAGGCAGAAAAGACAATGACAGAGAATTAAAAATTTAAAAAAAAAAAATTCACGAGTTCGCACATTCCAAAAAAATATGGAAATAATAGCTCTCAAGCGCATAAATCAACGCCAACCAAAAGTGCTCTTAATCATGCCTTGACTGTGATACCGACAATCGCTTTGCAACTGACCCCGATTGAAGCTTTATTGTAGCATATAATAAGCTTAACGATTCCCATTGCAAACATATAAAAAAAATTTTTTTTTTATTTTTTAATCAAAAAAATTCATTTTAATAATAATTAATTGCAATATAAGAAAATCCATCTCGTTATATAATGACATTTTCATGCTCTTGCCTAATCGTTTTTCGATTCACATATATATAGTATATATTTTTTATGTTCTACGTATATAATTTTCAGATTACAAATATATATATTGAAGTTTCCGTAGAAGTCGGATAATGTATTATATATATATATTTATAGTTGTAAACGAGAATTTATACTCTGGAAAAAAAAAATTTTTTTTCATCAAACATTATTTATATAACAATATTTCTTTTATGAAATTATTTTATAGATTAAATATTAATTTTTTTCCAAAGTTAATGTCCATGTCAAGGAGTGGGAAAACTATTAAAAAAAATTTTTTTTTTTAATTAAATCCAAAAAAAAAATTAAAATATTTAATAATAGTAAATACATTGAATAATCAATTTATTTATATACTCAATTGAAAATCATTTATATAGTTGAAAGTCGTATTTCTTTTTGTAACAATAAAAAAAAAGAAAAATTCTCAAAAATGAATTTCCGAATAAATTGAACATGTAAATAAGATGCATTAAGTTGAAAAATATTTTTCTTATGCAACTGACATGTGACGCTTTTGATATGTAGATATATTTTTCCGTATACGGCATGAAAATCGAAAATACTGAAAGGCACGAAATCGTTTATTGACAATTTTATTATTCGAACTGAGCGAACTACTTTTCTTACATAAATATTGTGAATTCCGATCACAAACCAATTGTATTGTAATCTATAAACAAGACACTCGAAAAAAAGAAAAAAAAGTTTAATTTCTATTTTTAGATTATAAATCAATTTTTTTTTAAGGAAAATTTTTTTTCTTTTGCAAAAAAAAAGAGAAAAAAATAGTTTTGATCATATATGTACAACCTCGAGGGTATAATTTCAGTTTCATATGATGAAAGTTCACAAATATCAAACCGAAAGCGGGGAAAAATATTTTCAATTCCCCAAATGAAGTTATCAATTTTTTATACTATAGTGAAATACACCTTAATTCTAATAATTACATAGTGTGTATTTTATTTTATTTTTTTATCAAAGAGAAAAATTAATTTTAATCTACAAAAATGTTTGGAAAATAAAATTATTTAAAAAAAAAAACCCGTATTTAGAATTCATGAATATTGTTTTGAAATTGTGGAAATATTAATATTTTGTTTCAAACACAATTTGTCCAGTAAAGTATAGCAATTTAAATTGTATAATTAATGCACACAACGAAGTACTTAATTTAAACTGAGATTAACTCGCTCACAACGTACTTCCCTTGGGGTGGTTAACAAAGTGACCCGAGGGAATACGGCAAAACCACAAATTGTACCCGATTGTTATCAGTTATCTCAATCCATTTTGATGTAAGTTAAGATACCTTCGAATCAACCACAAATTGGAAATATATATATATATATATATCATTTGCATTAATTAACAAATTTGTCATTAACAAGTTATTCTTCATTACAAATGTCATTTGCCCTTAAAAAAAAATTTATACGTAGATTTTAGATTTATTTTCTTGAAATTCATTATACAATATTTAATATTGTATAAAAAATATTTTTTTTTTTCGCTTCTATCGGTGGTAAATTTTTTTTTTTGAATGGATTTTTAAAAACAAAAGTAATTCGCTCAACGAATGAATTTTGAAAATTATAAAATTTCTGCTACGGAGACCCTGTCGCAGGGTAAAAAGAAACGAGAGGGCGGTACAACCACTGGAACTGGCACTGGGGCAAATGAGATAGTCGCCTGTACCAATTGCGGACCAAATCCTTGTACGCACACAGCTACGAACGGATGTGCCGCTGAGGTGAGGAAAATTTTTTTTTCCTTACAAAAAAATAATTTTAAATTTTCCTTTTCCTTTTAATTTTCAAAGAAAATCAATTGTTTTCAAAAATAGCACATAATTCAATTTACAAAATATTTTACTGTAAAAAAAAAATGTTAAATATTCTGTTAATTTAAAAATTAATTAATTTTGTAATATTAGGTGTCTTCTTTTGTAAGAAGACTAAAAAAAAATTGTATTTACTATTTTGATTGAAAAAATTCAATACTTATATAAAGTGGAAAAAATAACTTGATTGTGAGAGAGAGTAGCTATCGCTACCTATGAGCGATCACTCAAAGCTCCAAATGATGCGCATACACTTATGCGCATAGCGCGCCAATATTTGAAATTATAAAAAAATAATTTCCATTTTTTCTCATATTATTTGGCTTATTTTTAATCAAATAGAAAACTATTGTTTAAAATATATAAAATTTGGTTTCTTTTTACTTTTTTTTTTTTTTTTTTTTTTTTATAGAAACCTAAATTGGAATTCTTTTCTAGTTCAAAAAATAATTAGAAATGACGATTCTAAAATTTCATCTTCTTTCTTTCTTCATATTTCTTATAGGTACGGAAAAAAGAACCACCTCATCCAATCAGAGTGGCAAAAACGATAGACGTAATCGCCAGGATTACATTTCCGGCGGCTTATTTCGTGTTCATCACGTTTTTCTTCATACACTACAAGGGTGTTACGTAGGTCGCCGAGAACTTCGAGGTTACATTAAAAGAACATTGAAAAATGAATCTTTTACGATTCAATTATTGAATTTGTTAATAATTGCGCGGGGGTGATAATTAAAAAAAAGACGATATTTTTTTCAGAAAAAAAAAAATTAATAAATAAGAAAAAACATTGCCTCTAGATACACGTCAAAGAAGATTATAAACGAAGCGAACGACAACATTTAAATATATTATTGGTAACCTCGATGCGAAGTATAAATATTAAGATAGATGTATTTTTCAATGAAAAAAAAACAAAAAAAAAATTAATATAACAAGGTGTTTTCGCACGATACGCGTTGGCGAATATCAGCTTATAAGAATTACGATCCCAATAAATATGTATAATTAATTAATAAAATAAAATCGCCAGAATCTTGTATAGTTTTTATTTTAAATTATACAAAGCTTCAATTTTTTTTTCTTTTTTTTTTAATTCGTGAGCCTATTAAAACAGAAAGCTCTGTAAGAAAAAAAAAATTTAGGGAGCCAGTGAATCATGCGACGCCTTGTAGCCTTATAATAATGAACCATCTGACTTGTAAATGACGATTATAATGCTCGATTATTGATAAATTAATGCGTGATACTTGATCCTGATACTGCACTTCTTCCTAAAGCTCAAAAACTACATTTCCAAGTTTAGACGGATTTTTTAATATAAAAAAATATATATTTTTTTAATTGATTATCGATATATGATCAATTCTTATTTTATTACTATTATATATTAATTTATTCATTGTTATAATTAATTAATAATTAAAACTAACATTTTCATTTTATTAACTTATTATTTAGTTAATTTAGTATATTAGTATATATATCTATATATATATTTATTTACCTAATTGATTTTATGTTAAAATATTTGTACAGTAATTGTCTTTTTTGATTACTTAATAAATTCATAATTTATTGTAATTAAAAATTGTAATTAAAAATTGTAATTAAAAAAATTAATTTTTTTTATAAAATTAGGACGAGGTGTACAGTTCTGGATCGGAATATTAAGAGTAAATTACACATTACTTCTTAAGGAATATGAAAGTAACATACACGTGGTGCTTTGGGATGCTCCAAAAAAAAAAAAAATTATATTTATGATCGATTTGCATAAGAGGGGACTCTTCTCTTTAGCTTTAACACAGTACACTTATTAGAATACAATTATAAACAAAAAAAACAAAAAAAAAAAACCAAAAAAATGCTGCTACCGACCTATTATCTATAAAAATATTTCTCGATTAATTCACCATTTTTTGACAAAATACTATACAAGTATTACTGAAATTGTACTATATACTATTGTTTAAAAAAAAAAAAAAACAATACGGGACTATATTATATTATACTATGCACGAAATATGTGTTTGTTTGACCATTAAATCTACAATGTGAAACAGTATTTAAAATAATAGTATTTTAGTTTTTAAATTTAAAATTATTTTTTAAATCTATTGAATTTATTAAATATTCTTTTAATGAGTAAAAAATATCTCATTAAATTGTTTTTTAACATACATCTATTCTAATTTATTTATTAAATAAATTTTAATTAAATAATTTTAAATTATTTAAAAAATATTTTATATTCGAATACTATTTCATGTAGAGATCTATAAGGTTTTACTCTAAAGATCTGAATTAGTAGGTTTTTAATTACTTAATTAAGTAAATTATCTTATTATCTAAATTTCCATATAATAATTAATTAAATAAAAAATTAAAATTAAATAAACGAAAAATTTGTACTTAATTTAGTAAAAATCTACTAATTTACATTTATAAAAGAGTGCCACTTTCGAAACACACACACACACAGGGATTGAAAATGTTTGTATAAAGTTTAAAAAATTTATTGTTTGCAAAAAAAAATTACAGACCAAGTAAATTTTTATGTGTGAGCGAAAATAAGAAATAATATTTAATATTATTAAACAAATACTCAATATGTTTGTAGATAGAATAATAAAAAAAAAAAAACTCTAGAATATTATTATCATTCGAAATTTAATGTATAAATCATTAAAATCGATCGAATTTGACTATATTTCAATAATTATACGTGTATTTAAATTTTTTTTTTTTGTAAAAAAAACAAACACTTTTTATATGATGCTTTCATTCGAAAATCTCGTTCCAAATCATAAATTGACTGACTTAATTTCTTTTTTCACTTGTACATAACAATTTTTTTTTTTTATTTTATTTGGTTGGAAAAAAAATACTCTTCATTTTACAACGCGCCTAATAAATAATTTCTTCTTTTATAAAATAATAATTATAATTAAAATTTGACAAATTTTAAATATTAAATTTCAACATAATTGATAAATAAATTCAATGGCAAAATTATTTTATATTTATTTTGAAAATAAAGGGACTTAAATTGGAATAGAAAATATTAATTATTTCAATAAAAAAAAAAAATTGCAATGGAATTATAATTAGTGCGGCAGTGAAATTACAAATAAAATCATGTTCCAATCTCGTAATACCATAATAAAATTTAAAAAAAAAACGTATCAATTTAATTATTGTAAAAAAAAAAAAAATTACGCACCCTTGTAATATTTATATATCGACTGCCAAAGGATCTGCTGATAAGATTTAAATTGTTACGTCTACTGTTTTTTTCATTAACAGAAAATTTATCAGACGTTATAAATCATATATATATATACAATTATATTTTATCATATTCTATTTTCTCGAAATTTATCACTTGTTAAACATGAATCAAATTCATTATTTAATGTTTATATCAAGTTCCTTATTAACAATATATATATATATTCTAATATTCATTTTAAAAAATATTCTCCCAATTTAATTGCATGATGCTTTGTAAATATTCCCGCAAAAAAAAGAAACAAATTTATTTGAAAACTTTTTTCAATTGCAGAAATAATATTTTTATCCTTTTTCTACGTATTTTTAAAATATTTAAGATTCCTAAATAATAGAAATGACAATTTTCTAAGGGAAATATAAATTTAGAAAAAAAAAGAATCTACAAAATTTTTTTATTTATAACTGTTTTTTTTTATTCTTTTCCCTTAAAAAATATTCATTTCTAAATTTTGATGATTTTTTGTTTTTTTTAGTGAGAATTTTTTTTTTTCAAAATAAAAATATTTTCATGTAATAATCACTTGCTCTATAATTTCAAGCACTGCCGTTGAAAAAAAAATCAAAGAAAAAACATATAAATACAGTTTTAAAAAAATCTGATTTTTTTTGTCTGAGGAAATAATTTATGGAAATTATAAAAAAAAAACAAGAGCTTTTAAAAAGTGATTTTTATTGTAATTTTTCTTTCATATTTTTTTTTGTCGTATGCGTACATATAATGTAACAATAAAAGTTTAAAAAAAAAAAATTTATTGATGTATTCATGAAACGAGATAAATCTCATTGAGAATATTTCTAATTGTATAATAGATACGTTTAATATATTAGTAAAAAAAAAAATTAATAAATTACGCGCGTTCTAGATCTCAGAGATCAATTTATTATTAAATTTGTAGTTGTAATAAACTTCTTTTATCTCGTTCCTCAATTTTTGCCTTGATAAAAAAATAATAAAAATTAGTATATAACGCTCTCTCTCTCTATCTCTCTCTTCGTATAATTATTTTTAATTTCTAATTCAACTAAATATTACATTTTAATTATAATCATATATGTATATATATATATTATTATAAATAAAATGTCGCAATCGAGACAACGAATTTAGAAAAAGGAAAAAAAAAAACGTCGGTTTAAAAAATTTTCAAAAATCCTTTTACAAATTGAGAGTTGTTATAGTTTCATTTTTGGAACAATAGATTTTTTATTGATCTCATGCCTCCAATAATATGGACGCCAATGATATTGTGATATAACAATAAGATTTTTTTTTTCCTCAAAAATTGAAATAAAAAAAAAATAAAAAATGAAAAAAAAAAAAAACAATATCTAAAGGTGTGAACTATAACAACACTCTTTTGTAATGTAAATTCATCCTCATAAATCTGCGTACGTTATATATATATAAGCTCGCACGTCATAAATCGACTGTTTGAAAATTCAATTAGTAGGAGGACTCTAAGCTTTCCTAACAGATAAAAATTGAACACTTTGTTTTTAATCACTGAATTATTAAAGAATTTTAGAAAAATCGAATCATTTTTTTTTTTTTACAGAAGTTGGCAAAGCTTGGAGTTTTCTTATCAGGAAAAAAAAAATTCTTGAGAACAATGAAAACATTTTATATACCTCACACTGTTGAGTGAAGTCCCTTAGATGATAAAAAAAAAGTACGTTAATTAATGTTATTAATGTTTAACGCTCCACGGACCAAAAAAAAAAAATTGTTGAACCGAGCCTCTATACTCGAAGAAAATGATCATGAAAAATTTTGTCAGTTTTGCAAAACAAAAACAAAAGAAGGAAATTTGTAAAAAATATTTCAAATTTGCATATTATAAAATTATGCAATATTATTCGATCATATTCCTCTTGGCCCTTGTATTAATTACAAAGCTTGCACTTCATAAGTACATCGATGTTAATCATTATTTTTTTTATAAAACAATAATAAATGACAAAAATAACGTAAAATTATAAGATGCATATATAATATAAAATAATTACCAAAACAAATTTTCAAATGACTGATTATAAAGAGACTAAAATATGGAAAATAAAAATTAAATTTAATTTAAAATGTAAATTAAAAGGAATACAAAAAAAAATTATGCTTAATATCGATGACTTATTTTAAAATAATTAATAAATTAATGAAAGAAAAAGAAAATAATACACACATTACTGCATATGAAGATCACGGTAACATTAAATATGAAAAAATATATATAAACACATGTCACGCCATAATTACTCTATATATGCAATTAATGAAAAATTATATCTCATATAAAATCTTAACATTTGTAATATTATAAATATATTCAAATATATGAAAAATTGAACATGAAAAAAAATGCTTTTTCTGTTCATAAATATCTACTATTTTTTTTTTTTTTTTTTAATGCACTTTTTTCATAATTTTATTAAACTATCGCCGCAGTTCGATTTATTGTTATAATAATAATAATAATGTGATATAATTATTACATAAATCGGTTTGCCGTGTAGTAAATCTTAAAAAAGAATTTCGATTAATGCGTGCCCAATGCCTTTTAGAATAATTAACGTGCACTTAAAATTAAATATTCATTTAAAAAAAAAAGAATAAGTAATTTTTTTTTTATAGTTGAATTGAAATTTTATTTAAATATACCATAAAAATATTTTTGCTGCCATTATGCACCGAATGAAAAAAAATTGACATATCCTGATATAATTCTTTAAATTGCCTTACTTTTTTAATGCACGTTGCCTTCAGTAAAAATTTGGTGATTCCAAGCAAATTGTGATTTCCCAATAAATATAATATTATATTATTTATTATATAAATATTATAAATATTATATATATATTATACCAATCAGTCACGTAATTATTATAAAAATTGGAATCACAACCATAATTAATATAAATATGTAAATAAAAATCAGTAAAAAAAAAAAAAATAATTAAGAAATAGTAAAAAGCCTGCCTTATGTACCAAAAAAATAATATATAATCATGCAGCTATTTTGCTATATAAAAATCTTATTTTATCATTTATTAAAGAAATCATCAGTTAAGAAACTAATTTTCTGTAAAATATTATAATTTTTTTTTCTTTTTTTTGCAAAAACGCTAAACAATTGATTATTTTGCTAATTGTATAATAAATAAATTGTGTACTTGAAAAGAAGAAATTTGTAAATCAATAAAAATTAATATTATCATTAAAGCCTATTGTTAAACATTATTTTTTTTTGCAAAAAAAAAAATCTCAGTTCACATCTAGTCAAGTGTGGCGTATTTATATAATACCGTGATTATTATATGCTAATATATAAAAATAAACAAAAAAAAAAAGTATCATTGTTTCTATTGGTCCATATCAATAGTCTCAATAATTCTTTTTTTTTTAAATAAATATATATAAAAAATGGGGACGATTATATTGTGCACTTTTATGATTTATATAAACATTATGCATTAAATTCATTGCAATAAAAAAAAAATATATATATATAATATATAAATTGAAATCGTCGAAAAAATTTAATATTAATTTTCATGCAAACAGTAATTTGTGAATGATATGCGATCTGTGATGATTTGATGAATATAAATATAAAATAATCCGAGACGGTCCAAAAACAGAAAAAAAAAAAAACCGTGCATAAACTATTTTTCGCTATTATGCAGATTCCGAAAATTCTTCCTATTATATAAAATTTAGGGAGAGGGCTTCTTATTTGAAAAAAAAGGGAAAATTCATACGCAATGTGTATTATATTATTATTATGTTTAGGTAATTACAGGTAAATTAAATAATTGCACTGCACATACACTGACACATTCATATACACAAAAAGCATATTGTATGTACGATAAAGAAAAAGGAAAAAAAAATTATTATTATTATTATTAGGATTATTATTATATTATTATTATTATATAAGACTCTCGAATCTACGAAACGATTTTTGTCTCACACGATGCATTTTCATGCATGTATTATAAATAAATATAAATAAAATACGACTACATTTTCTTCTATAAGAAAAAAAAAATAATTTAACAGTCTTACATTGACAAAAAAAAAAAATAAAAAAAAAAAAAATTAATTACGGTTATACGTATATAGTATTATTAATTGTATCCTAATGACATTTGATTAACTGATTTATCGGCTGTGTTTGTAATGTATGTGATTAAATATTAAATTATCGATTAAAAGTAAAATTAATGTGTTTTATTTTTTTTTATCTCTCCTTATATATATATATATATATATATATATATATGGTACAATAAATTACAAAGGCAACATAAAGACGAAAGATTAAATGTTTTTTTTAATACAAAATTAATTACACACCACTTTCTATATATATAAAAAAATCGCTTATTATTTTAGATATGACGGAATATAATTATTGTTTTTTTTTTACATGAGACCAAAGAAAACGAAATTACTTATTGTTTTACAAAAGAGAGTAATCATCCATTCGAAACATTTGATTATTTGAAATACAATTAAAACATGAAGTAATAATATTAAAATTTCTATTTTATACATATGCTGCAGTCTTTCAATTAAGGCCAAATAGATTCTTCTCGATGCTCTGTTGCTGAATTCACTTAACCTTATTACTGTATGATGCAATTTTGCATGCTCGCTGCATTCACTTTCTGTATGGGGAAAAAATAAATTTACCTTTTCTATCATGGAAATTTTTTTTTTTTTTATGGGAAATATATTTTATAAGTTTTGAATTATTATAAAATTCTACGTTTATTTTGAAAATATTAAATTTAATACAAACCTATATGTTTATGAGTTTCATATAAAGGATTTGGTAAATATTTGTCCAACATTAATTCAGCAAGATCTGTGGTATTATCGACAGTTTTTAAAATATTAATTCCAGTTTCGGTGGACATCATTTTGTCAGCTTTCTGCCAACTGTAAATTCTCAAATAATGTGCCTTATAATATGTTCGTAATGTAATAATTCTCACACGTTGCTTCGTTTCTTGTTTGAAATCCTTAAATGTCTGAACGGCAGGTTGAAGACGTTTGGATACTATTGATTTTGTTCGATCGAAGATCTAAACATAAATTTTTAATTATTCAATGAAATGAATATTTATTTTTCATTATTTTTAATTAAATTTTAAATTAAAATAAATATTTAATTTTTTTTTCAATTATTATATAATAATAAAATGCTTCTGTCCTAACTTGAAGTTGGCCTTTTCTGATTTCACGTGTTTTTTTTGAATAGTAATCTTATGACGTGTCAAATTTTGACAATTCTTTTTCTCATTTTTGCCAAAAGTTGTATAATTGTGTTTCCAAATTTCGGAATAAGTTTCTTTAAAATTCCAAATTCGAAAATTCAATTCACGAAGCTTAAGTACACAACGTTTACCAACGAAATTTTTTTAAAAGTTGTATATTGATTCAAAAATTGTACAAAAAATTTATGATGAGAAAAAAGATGCGCCAGAAAATTTCGTACAAGATAGTAATTTGAAAAAAATTTATTTTTAAAAATTAATTTTTAAGGTACCAGGGGCCAACGAATACCTATTAAATATTAATTATAAAAACACAGGCCTCGAATCAACTTAAAGACACAAAAAAAAGTCGATTTAGTCGATTTATATTCCAAAAAAAATGTGGATTTGTTTTTTATTTTAACAAAAATATTTTACAGATTTTTAAATAAAAAAATTTTCTTTTTTAATAATAATCCCTTTTCGAAGGGTTAAAGTTGAAATTTTTAGAAATAATTAAATTTCAAAAGATATTGTTAATTTTCTAAACAATTATTAAATTTAACAGAACTAAAAATAATTTATCAAACAATTTTTGGAAAACATTTTTTAAATTTAATTGAATTTTCAAAGATTTAAAATTGAGATTTTTGAAATTAATTGAAACTTTAAGTGTTTTGTAATTAAAATTTTAGATGATTTCACTAAAAATTTATTAGAAAATGCGGACAAAATACAATAATTTGAAAATCATTTTTAATTGAAAAATGGTTTTAGATAGTTGAATTTTCAAAGAATATTATTAAAATAGTTAAAAATAATTGAATTTCCTTAGAGTTATAATTGAAATTATTAAATTTCAAAGAAAAAAATTTCGATGGAAAATTTTATAAATAATTAAATTTTAGATTCTTTTAAATTCAAATTATTGAAAATTCAATTAATTTTGAATTCAAATTTTTGAGAATAGGTGAAATTTTATTTGATTTTAAATTGAAAATTTTTGGGGAAATAATTGAATTTTAATTGAGATTTTGGATAATAATTTAATTGAAGTTCATTATTGATTAAAAATTTGGATAATTAATTTTGAATAGAAATTTTAGAAAATAATTGAATTTTATTTCATTTTAAATTGAAAACTTTGTAAATAATTAAATTTTAAATTGAAAATTTTGGATAATTATTGGATTTTTAATTGATTTTGAATTAAAATTTCGGGTAATAATTGAATTTTAGTTTATTTTGAATTGAAATTTTTAAAAAATAATTCAATTTTATTGTGATTTTTTTTAAAATTATAAACAATTGTTAAATTTCATAAAAATTTTAATTGAAAAATAATTTTGATATAATTGAATTTGTGATGTATTTCATTAAAATTATTAAAAATAATTAATTTAGTGAAGAATTATTTTAGTTCAAAATTTGTTAAATAATTGAATTGAAGAAGATTTGAAGAAGATATAAATTTTATACTAAAAAAATGTATTTTATTTACATTTTTTTTCAAATGTAAAAAAAAATATCGCATTTTATTAAAATAAGTCGATAAAAGTCGTATTTTTGAAAAAAGTCGGAAAAAGTCATATAATCCGAGGCCTGTAAACATATAATTTTCATTATTATTATTATTTAATATGTAATAATATTCTAATAAATTAAATTATTTTTGATAATATTAATCTTTAATTTCTTTATAACAAACAAATATTCAATTTGGCACGCTTGCGCGCATTTAATTTTGCTAGTTTTTAATAATTTTTTGTTTAATTTTGTCCCCCCCCCTAAAAAAAAAATATTTCTTACTTCTTTTGGTTCCTCTTTAATAATTGGTAATTTTACTTCGACAAAGTCAAGACCTTGACATAGTGTTTTGTCCAATGTATATATTGGTTTTTCCATTAACCTGGCAACTGGTAACGATTTCTCAAGAACAGTACTGACGACATTCTCAACTCTGCCAAATGCCCAATTTGTCAATTGATTGGCACCTTTTACCTTGCCATAAACCTCAGTTGATTTATCCCAAAGATAATTAACACTTGGAATTTGTAATGCCCGATCAACAGCTTGTATACGATAAATAGGATCCTGTATTTCCGGGTCCATTTTAAAATTTTTTTACATCCTGTAAGAAAGAATTATTTCTATTCTCTAAAATTAAAGGAAAATTATTTCGATATTTAAACAAAGAGATTTTATTTAAATTACATATTATTATTTATTACATTTATTCTGTCTATTTGTTATATTTAGACGTTTAAAATAATTTAATTGCAGGGGGGGAGGAGGAGGGCTTTCACATATCAAGATCTGCGGTCAAAAGGGTGTCTATTTAATATCAATAACAAAAGCCGAGGCTAATAAATATAATTATATTTAACAAAAGATTATATTTTTTGCGCTAATTACAAATTTTAAAAATACAATTATTTTATTATTTTTTTGCAATTTTTTATTCAAACAATAAAATAATATTTTTTTTATAATTAATTTGCTTTTATAATAGAAATAATTTTTTATTTATTCTTAAAAAATAAAAATTGCAACAAAAAAAATTATAAACATTGATATTTGAAAAAATAAATTTGTTTATAATTAAAAAAAAAAAAAAATTCTTTCTACAGTCCCGATGACAATTGAAAAAAAAATGTCAGTAAAAAGAATATGTCAGTTCTCGTGGTAAAAAAGCAAAACAAAAAAAAATACTCACGGATATTTTGCTGTTCGCGGCGACACGATCAACTGATTCTGAATTGTTATTTCACGCAAAATGTACCTTGATCTCTGACTCATTTGCGGAAAAATCTTGTTTACTTCGTTCACTGACCGTCCCGGAATTTATTTTTTTTCTTACACTATTATCCCTATATATATTTAAATTTATGAAAAAAATTTCATTCTTATTTAGAAAATTTTGGAAAAATTTTTAGAAAATTTTAAATTTAAAGATGTACACTTTCGATTTGTGTAGCCATATTGGTTATTATTATTATAAATTAAAAAAATTAGTTGTAATAGTAGCCGTGAAGGTAATGCATTTGTACACGCAAAGGGGTCCAAAGGTTGTGTGTTCATTATTATTTTGTCTCACGCAACTTGGTCGATACCACTTGAAACGAGTACGACTTTCACGATTTTGCGCAACTCAACAGAGATGTCACTTGTCTAAAATTCTGTGATTCAAAATTTTAAATAATCTTCTTTTTAGAAAGCATAAAAATAATTATCTAAAATTTGCAAAAAAAAATAGAATTACAAATAAATTTCAATTATTTTTGATATTGCTTGAAAATATTTATTATAGATATGTTAATCCTTTAATACATTATAAGATTTATAAATACTTTATATATAAAATTTTTTTTTTTTTGCAATAAAAAAAATATATATATTATAACAAAAAAGTTTTTTGACAAACTTGCGATATAAAATGATTTTCACTCTCAATCAGTGGACGCTGATTTACTAATCATACGCGAAAATTTTATCCGTATGTTAAATACAGTAAATCATTTTAAGGGGTTTTAAAATTTCTTAAAATATACAAGAGTAGAAAAACTTATTTGAATTTATCACATTGTTCACTAAAATATTTTTAATAAACTTTTGAAATGTATTTTAATAGTCAAATTTTGGGGTCATTTCAAAAATTTTCCAATCAACTCTAAAAATTACAACGTCGATTAATTCATATATATTTATATATCATGTATAAATAGTTTTTGCATTGTTTTTATTTTACACTCGATTCTGATGAAAAAAAAGGTATTCTTATTTTTTAATTGGTTTTGTATTTTTAGAATATTAGGAAAATGAATCAATAAATAGAAATACGAATTATTGAATTAGGAAAATAGGAGCAAAAATACGCAATTGTTTAAAAAATAAGAGTGCCTTTTTTTGTGTATAGCAATTTAATAAGAAAAGTAAAATACTGGTATAATGAAATAATTCAGTTCATTACATTAGTGATTTTTCTATTAATTAAGATAGAAATTAAATAGAAAATTTTTGAATTAGAAAATGAAAATGTAAACATTTGTAAAAATGTTACAAATTAGTGAAAATTTATCGAAATAATAATAATGTTAAATAATTGTTATTCGGGATTCGACTTGTTTAAACGTGTTCATTTATCGTCGTGTGAGTTATATTTTAAAATTTCATAGTTCTTTAAATAATAAACAAAAAAATACATTTTAATGAATTGCAATTCGTGTTTTGACCTGTTAAAACGTGTTCAATTATCGTAATATTTAAGAAAGGTTTTATTCTAATAGTTCTTTGAAAAATCAGAAAAATTCAAATGAATCAGTAGTAAATTAATTAAAAGTGAATGATAATTAATTAATAATAAAAATAAATTCGATTTCAAAATCAATTAATGAACTAGTGCAATAGTTAAATAAGTGAAAGACAATTGAAAAGCATTCTAAGAAGCATTCAAAGATCTTAGGAAGTTTGTAATTACTGAAAAAATTTCATTAAATCAGTATCTCTACTTTTTTTTAAACTTATTCTGACAAGTTTATAAAATGAAATATATTTATAGAATTTTAAATTGACTTTGTAACAAAATCAGAAACTTCTTGCTAATATAATCAAATATGTTTTCATATTAAATTAGTATTAAATATATGTAAATTTTTCGAAAAGACGTCAAAACTAATTGACACTTTTATATATATACAGATTTATCAAAAAGGACAGCATTTACTTTCTTTGTTGAATGATCAGCAAGAATTTTGTTTTTTTTTTGTAATTTGAAAGCCTCTCACCTTTTTTTCACTCTCTATATTAGAATAAGTTAAAAAAAATTTAACTAATTCAGAATTTAGAGAGTATTAATTAAAGAAATAAATTATAATTTCTGTTCCATTTTCTCTGAATGAGTTGGTGAACTATTTTCTGATCCAGATGGACTTCCTTCTTTTTTATCGAGATTCAAAAAATGTGTGAGATGAAGAATTGAGACAACATTTGAAATGTACATTGAGACGTCTTCTTTTTTAATTGTTTTTAGTTGAGCGGAAACTGAATGATAAACACGATTAGCTGTTTTCGTTGACAATTGACCAATTGTTTGTACAGCGTGTAGAACTTTATTCTCATCAGCTGAAACTGGTGCTGAAATATTTTAAAAGAAGTTGAAAAAAAAAAAATTAGGGAAAAGAAATTCAATATGTTTTACAATTAATTTAATTACCAGGTTGAGCATCTTCTCCAGGAATTGGTGGGAAGAAATGATCCAATAATTTAGTGACAAGAGCACTCGTACTGTCAACACCTTGAACAGCTAAAGTACCACAACGTGTGTTAAGAATTTCATTAGCTTTGTTTATGCTAATTTCCTTAAGTGATGAAGCCTGTTGAGTTGCTGATTGTTTTGCAGTCATTAATTTATCAACAGTCGGTTGTAATGAACTACTCATCACTTCTTTGGCTGCATCATAAATCTGCAAATTTAATTAAATAATCTTCCAATACATACTACTAGAATCAAAATTTTATCTATCAAAAAAAAAATAATAATAATAATATACCTGTTGAGGTGGTTGTTTTACTATTGGTACTTTTTCTTCAACAACATCAAGACCTTGACATAATTTTTGATCAACAGCGCTTATTTGTCCTTCGAATTTTTTTGCTAGAGGTGTTGCTATTGGTGCAGCTGCTGCAGTGGCATAATGAAGACCAGCTTCAGCATGACTTAATGCCCAATTAATTAAATGATTTGAATCCTTTAGATAATTATATGTTGAACCTGTTCTTTCAATTGCGGAATGTATCACAGGAATATTTTTTATTCGATCTATTGCCTCTAAATGAGGAGATCCATTGTTGGTAGGCGATGTTGGAGTTTGAGGTGGTGATGCCATTTTATATTTTCTAAAAGAAAAAAAAACAAACCTTTATAATATTTACTACTGAACTTTAATATATATTTTTTTTTTAGTGAAAAATATTTATTCTACTTTATTAATGAATTATAAATAGATATATCTTAATCTGGAATTTGGACTTCTGACATTGGTACAGTTAAACGTGTTCTTAATGATTCTTCTTTAATAACCAATTTTCCTCATCAAAACAAGAATCTTACCTAAATTACAATGGTCAAAGTCCACGTCAGTGTTTATAGTGTGACGCATGTGATTTAAATTGTGAACGAAAAAAAAAATTTTTACCTTCAAATATTTAACAAATTTTTATTAATAATTTAAGTTATAAAATATTAAAATTAATTATATAACCTATTAGACATAACACTTTTTTTACATAGAAAAAATTGACTATCAAATTACGTTATAGTTACGTTTATATTAATTTAAAAAAAATTTATTTAAACAAATGTTTAATTATAAATGTAATGCGCTCAAGAATAAAATTAATCTTTTCTAAAATGAACATTAACGTTTCGTCGAATAATTTAATTTATATGTAAATTATATAGAAAAAACAATTTAGAGCCAATTAATGTAAATTTCGCTCTTTTTATTGAGAAAAAAAAGTTCCAATTACTTTCTCTCCTTAAATTACATCTCATTTTACTTTAGTTTTACAGAAATGACTTTCTCTTAACGTATATTTTACGTTTGAAATATAAAAAAAATGTCACATATATAACTCGGTTGATATGATTCATATAGCCAGTTAAGATAATAATAAACATTAAATTGTTAATTAATATTTCGAATAAAAAAAAAAAATAAACTTTTTTCAAAAATTCGATTTCTCTTATATATATTACCTTAATTTTTTTTCTAAAAAAATTGATATTATTTTTATTCATGTATCAAATTTAATAATCTTTTACAAAACAAACTTGAATATATATAGTTTCATAAGTTAAGTGACATTAACTCCGAAAAATAATTTCTCCTTCTACTATCACTTAAAGAATAATTTAACAATAAAAAAGAGAAACCTAACAAATAATAATTTCTGGTAATAATCTTTATATTTAATAAAAATTTGTTACAATCATTATTATTATTATTATTATTTCATTATTAAAAATAAATTATACAATAGAGAAATTAATTTTTAATTTTCAATCATTGTTAAAAAAGTTTAATTATAGAAAAATAAATATTATTACAGTAAAATTGGTATTTATAATATCGTTAATAAAAATGAATAACGTGTTGATGATGTAACAAAACGCAATAGTACACGATTTAATTTTTCAATACAATGAATCAATTTAAAAAAAAAACATATTTTATTTGCCATTTTTAAGATAAAATATTTCAAAAAAAAATTTTTACAAATAAATTATTACTTACTGTTTTAAATAAATAATTTCACCAGGTAAATTTCAAATATTCTTTTATTCTTAGAGACTTTTTCGATTGAATAGAGCAAGAAATGAGCTGATACTGAAATTTCAGAAGAATATACACCGGTAGTCACATAGAGAAGCAGCTGGAGAGAGGGTGTACCGGTTTCAGTGCCGTACTCTACAATTTTTCATTTATAAAATTTAATTAAAAATAAAGATATAAAAAAATTCATATAAACAATTGTTTATTTTATAATTTTTATTGAGAAGAAAATTATTTCAAAAAAATCACTTCACTAGATTAAATAATATTAAATTGTTAATATTTTTATTATATATATATATATATAATATAATTATTGAATTTAAATTATTGTTATCTATTATTAATAATCGAAATAATTATAGTTAATTAAAATAATATTTGTTTTTAAAATTATAATTAATTTAACTTAATCCCTTTATAATTACAATAATACAATTTATTTAAAAAAATAAGATTTAACACAAAATAATAAATAAAATAATAATGGGTAATAATTTAAACAAATAGAAAAAATATAAAGAAATGTTAATATAAAAAATATAATAAAAAATATAATTATATACAAGGGAAAAAAATTGTTTAAATTAAAAAAAATTTAATATATATATATACATATTTTAAATAGTTGACAATAATAAATTATGTAAAAATTAAATAAATTATGTAATAAAATTTATAATGTATAAACTAATAATAGATACACTTGAATTGATACTTTCCTGAAATAATTACTGCTCTTGCGCAGAAGACGTGGGGGTCATATCGTTGGAACTTTATTACTCATCAAATGATCAGACCATAACTCCCGATAATATTTATATACTTTTAGTGACGTTATTCAAAATCATTTACAATCATCAAATCTCACGCAATAATTGTTCCTATTATACTATTCATTAGAATTTTGTTTATTTTTATTTATTTATTTTTTTTTCAAGTATTAAGACCCAAACTTAATATAATAGTACAATTACAAATATTCTGAAAATTTAAAATCATATATTTTGAATTTTAAATTTTAATTTAAATAAAACTTGAAGAAAATAATTTATTATTTACAATAATTTTTCTATTTTAATTAAATAATTGTTCATTTAAATGCATTTAAAAAAATTTTATTAGTTTAAAAAAAAAATAGTATAAGTACATTTTTCATTCAAAAATTATAGAATTTTTTTACTATATAAAATATTAAAATAAATATTTTGTAAAATAAGTACTCAATTTATATAAACAACCACCATTTTTTATTGGCAAAAAGCATAAAAAAAAATATTTTCGTAATTGAAAAAAAGGCAATAACTTTAATCAATAATTAAATTGATATATGTGTACATGTATAATTCTAAAAATATTATATAATTGCAAATCTTTTTTTTTTTTTTTTTTAATCAACCTAAACTCTTCAATCGATTTCGATCATAACTCATCATACAATTATTGAATGTAGATTGAATTCTATCTCTTGTGTCTGTGTAAATGAGGAAAAAATGTAAAATAATATAACAAATGATACTCATATGAAAAATAAATACAAAAATCAATGTCGTTTTTGTCGTGAAAATAATTGTACGTGTTGAATTTTCAATTTGTCTTCTCCTTCGATTTTGTTGGCGATGTTGTGATTGTTTGCACTTTACCGTTGATTGCATGCAAATAACGTGTGATATGAAGAAATTCCACAAGTGAACCAATATATGCCTTTAATATATCTTTATTTAATGTTCGATAATGATATACCATATTTGAATAAACACGTCTTGCCGCTTTATTTGAAAGACGTCCCATTGTTTGCAATGTATGAAGTAGTTTATCATCTTCGGCTATAGTTGATTCTAAAAAAAAAGAAAAAAATAAAAACAATTTTCGATATAAGCGAAAATTTCAATAAAAAATTAAAAAAAAAAAAAATAAAAACTAACCAGATACTTCTTCTTCACCAATAGGTGGAAAATATCTATCAATAAGTCTATCGACAACAATTGCAGTGGTATCAATACTCTGCACAGCAACAGATCCATAATGTGTGCTCAAAATTTGATTAACCTTGTTCCAACTGATTTCCTTCAGTGATGCGGCTTGCGATATAATAAGATCATTTGCATGTGAAATTGTCGAAACCGCTGGTTGCACTGTTTGTAAAGCCAACATATAAGCATTTTCTATAATCTGCACCAAAAAAAGTTCTCAATATTATTATTTTTATTAGAAAATTCATTTGTTATTTCAATTTCTTTTAATTATATGATAATTATTTTTATTGTTCGTAATTAAAAAGAAAAAATTGATTTTTATGTAACGGTTGCTATGGAGCGGTTACTATAGCAACGATTATCATGGCAATGGTTGCTATGGTACCACTTACTATGGTACCAGTAACTTTGGCACAAGTTACTTTGGTACTAGTTACTATGGTACCAGTAACTTTGGTACCATTTACTTACTGTGGCACCAGTTACTTTGGTACCATTTAGTTACTATGGCACCAGTTACTTTGGTACCATTTAGTTACTATGGCACCAGTTACTATGGTACCAGTAACTTTGGCACCAGTTACTTTGGTACAAGTTACTATGGTACCAGTTACTTTGGTACCAGTATCTTTGGTACCAGTTACTTTGGTACCAGTAACTTTGGTACCAGTTATTTTGGTTCCATTTAGTTACTATGGCACCAGTTACTGTGGTACCAGTTACTTTGGTGCCAGTTACTTTGGTGCCAGTTACTTTGGTACCAGTAACTTTGGTACCAGTTACTTTGGTTCCATTTAGTTACTATGGCACCAGTTACTATGGTACCTGTTACTTTGGTACCAGTAACTTTAGTACCAGTTACTGTGGCAACAGTTACTTTGGTACCAGTAACTTTAGTACCAGTTACTGTGGCAACAGTTACTTTGGTACCATTTAGTTACTATGGCACCAGTAACTTTGGTACCAGTTACTTTGGTACCAGTAACTTTGGTACCAGTTTCATTGGTACCAGTTACTTTGGTACCATTTAATTACTATGGCACCAGTTACTATGGTACCAGTTACTTTGGTACAAGTTACTTTGGTACCAGTAACTTTGGTACCAGTTACTTTGGTACCATTTACTTACTATGGCACCAGTTACTATGGTACCAGTTACTTTGGTACCCTTTACTTTGGTACCATTTAGTTACTGTGGTATCAGTTACTTTGGTGCCAGTTACTTTGGTTCCATTTAGTTACTATGGCACCAGTTACTATGGTACCTGTTACTTTGGTACTAGTAACTTTAGTACCAGTTACTTTGGTGCCATTTACTTTGGTACCATTTAGTTACTGTGGCACCAGTTACTTTGGTACCATTTAGTTACTATGGCACCAGTTACTTTGGTACCATTTAGTTACTATGGCACAAGTAAATTTGGTACCAGTTACTGTGGCACCAGTTACTTTGGTACCAGTTACTTTGGTACCAGTAACTGTGGTACCAGCAACTTTGGTACCAGTATCTTTGGTACCAGTTACTTTGGTACCAGTTACTTTGGTACCAGTTACTTTGGTACCAGTTACTTTGGTACCAGTAACTTTGGTACCTGTTACTATGGTACCAGTTATTATGGCAGCAGTTACTATGGCAGCAGTTATTATGGCAACAGTTACTATGGATCGGTTACCATGGCAACAGTTACTATAGAGTGGTTACCATAGCAATCCTGATTTCTGTTAACGAAAAATAATCATTTTATTTTAATAAATGTATTTTTAAAAAAAACTTTCAATGTTAATAAACTCAAACTATAAATATTGTAAAAAAATTGTTAATTTTTAATGAGTTAAATTACAAAATTTCTATTCCTGAAATCATAAGATAAGAATTTTTTCACAACTATGTTAATGTAAAAATTTCTCATTTACGATATTCAATATCTTTAAATAAAAAATAAAAAAAGTCTGAAAAATAATAATAACCTGTTCAGGCTGTTCCTTGACCAATGGAACTTTTTCTTCGATTTTATCGAGGCCCAGACAGAGTGTGTGGTCAACAAAGTGTATTGGAGTTTTAAATTTCTTGGCAATTGGAACTGCAATTGGTGCAGCTTGTTTTGTTGCTTTTGTTAATGAATATTCAGCAGTTGATAGAGCCCAATTTAATAATTGATATGAATCTTTTACTCGCGAATAAGTACTTGCCGATTTTGAAAGGGCAAATTCAATTGTTGGTAAATCGAGAACACGATGAAATATTTCCATTTTTGGTAAACGTTGTGTCTCTGTTGTCATTATTAATAATAATAATTTATCTAGAAAAAATTATTAATTAATATTATAAATATTATTATGTAATGTTTATTTTCTAATTAATTGTATTTTAAATTTAATTTATATAATTAATTCATATTTAATGATATTATATAATAATGATTGAGAGATAACAATTTTTTGTATATTAATTTTTTTTTTTTAATAAAAAATATTTATTCCCAGTAAAAATTCTTATCCGTTTAATTTTTAAATTATTTTTTTATTGATTTAAAAATTTTAAAAACATTGCGGAGAAAATTTCTATAATCTCTCAATCATTGATATAATGTACCACATGTTTTTAAATACATACATCTTTTCATTCATTTTTTTTTATGCAGATAATTTTTTTTTTTTGTTTTGATTTTTTATTTTAGCAGATAATATATATCTTAATATTATTATAATTCTTATTATTATTATATTAATTATAATAAATATTGTAAATAATTTTTACCTGTTATTATCTATTGATAATAAAAATGAAATTTATCAAATATATCGATTATTAAAAAAATATACAATAACAATTGATATTAATATCAATTAATTGAATTTGAAAATTTTTTTATTTGGTTGAAAAAAAAATTATTTAAAAAATTTTTTGTTAAATATTCCTTTAATAATATTTATAATTAGTGAAATTCGTTTAAATATTATTAAGAATTTAGAAAGCTTTCACTTTCTCTGTCACGAGGAACTTTCTGAAACAACTTTTTTTTCGGAATATTTTCTTGGTTGAAGAAGTTCAAAGGGGTTATAAACCTCTGCGAACAGACAAGTTTCTCGTCGAAGAGAAAGTGAATTATCGACTTTATTATTGTTAGTAAGTATAGGTGCAAATCAGCTCTATTATTTGTGAAGATAAACTTTTCTAGGTATTTGTTTCAAATTTTAAAAAAAGATAAATAAAAATATAGTAATCATTATAGACAATAAATTTTTATATAATTAAAAATAATTTATAGATTAAAATTACTAATTAAAATTATTAAATAAATAAAATTATTTTTTATTATTTATTTATTAAAGAATTACAAAATAACATTATAAACATGTTTAAAATAAAATCCACTTAATTTTTATTTTTTTGAATATTTTAAATTTCTTATTTTTGAAATTTGATTTTCTTTTTGTTACACTTAATTCACAAATAATCACTAAAAATTTCTATAAATATGTTTTATTTAAAATTTAAAAAAAAAATTTTTAATATCTTTTAAATTTTTTTAAATTTATTTGAATATTTTGAAGAATAAAAAAAAATTGAATAAATAAATTTCAAATAAAACTTTTTCTGTAATATAAAAAGAAGATTTTGGTACTTACTCAATATATATGAAAGCTGTCAGAAATTAATGAAAACGTGTATGATTGTTATAAAAACGATAGTGGCTGGCTAAATACGAAATATGAAATGATCAGTTAAAACAGATAAAAACCACTTGAAACAGTCGAGACACATGCGCAATGAAGAGAATTTAAACTAGCCAATGAAAGTGCAATACTTTTAAAGAGAGTTCTACCGCGAATGCTAAATGATTTTAACACTTGCCTGTTACAGGATTAAAGTCCATCACAGAGAAATCTTATGAGATATCTGCAGGCGCATTATACTATATATCTTTCTCTGCATTTCAATTGGCGTGTGTCAATTTTTTTTTTTTTTTTTTTTAATAATAATCCATAAAAAAATAAAAGTAAAATTTTAAAAAATTATTAATTATTAATTAAATAATTAATTAAAGTTTTATTTGAAACAAATTAAAATTTTAATTTTATATTAATTAATGTTTAATATTAATTTTTGTATAGAGAAATTTATATATGTATATCAAAAAATTGTAGAAATTTACAGTCACACCCTTTATTATAAAGCTCACTTTCAATTAAATTTATTACATTTTAGAAGCAAAAAAAATCTTAAAGAAACACTTTTACATTGTGTCAAAAAAAAAACCTATCACTAAAACTAAAAAAAAAAAAAAAATGCTAAGAATTAAAAATACATATTTATTTTAATATAGATATTCAATTTCTCATTCAATCTGACCATTTGTCTCCGCATTTTTAAATTTTTTCTTCTTCTTCTTCTTCTTTAATTTTATTCTTCTTTTCGTTTTGTATCTCCATTTAATTCCTTTAAAAATCAATAAAACCTCTTTTTAATTTCTTTAAAATTAAATATTGTTATTCAATTCCATTCACAGGTGGATTGGACGAGATTCTAAGATGATTATTATGATTTTGATTGTGATTTGCTTTTTGAACTCGAGGTCTACCTGCCAAAAATGCAGCAAACTGCTCCTGTAAAAGAAATTCTTTTTTTCAAAAATAATGAGATTTGAAATTTTTGCAGAATATATTATAATTTTCTTATTTATAAAATTTTTTTATTTTATAAAATATAATTTTATATTTATAAAAAAAAAAAAAAAAAAAAAAAATTTGAAACATAAATTGTTTTTAAAACACAAATTTACATATCTTAATACATTAAATCATTTTTAAAATCGTATTACGTACTAATAATCGATTTGTTGTTGAATTAAGCCTGTTGATTGCTGAATTCATGCCTGCTGTACTCATTTTATAAGCATCTTCCTTTCTAACAATTGGCGCTGCCTAAAAAATTAGAAAAGGAATTTTTTTTTTTTAATATAAAACATTAAAATTAAATTTTTTGTCATTATTTTTATTAATGAAAAAACAAAATTTTTATTTAAATTAATAAATTTATATATTTAATAAATTTAAATTTTTTATATAAAAACTATAATAGTAAAATATAATTAATTTATTTATAAAAACCTTAATGACAGCATCTGCAACCGCAAGCATTTGATGTGAGATTGTCAACAGCAATCTACCAAAAACTCGTGGTGATCGTGAAGCAAGAATTGCAGTTGCATTCACTAAATGAACAATTCTACGTGTAAATTCACGTGTCAATAGAACCAAAAGCTGTTCCAATGTTGCTGGACGTGCTTGATTTTCCGGTTCCGGTAAACTTAATGTGGCCCATAATTCCTTTGCTTTTTGATAAGCCAGTTTAGGATCCGTTGCTATCTATAGATTTAAATTTCAAAATTTTTTTTTATAATTTTTAAATTATACAATATTGAAAATTGAAAAATATACTATTTCCTCTCATTTTAAGAAGCTACCACATCTAATAATCTTCTAATATCTATATAATTGTTTTCTCACTAAATCTGAATTCGTAAAAATGTTTACTAATTTGAATTAGTGACTCACTTTTTGCTTCTGAATTAGTAAAATTTTACTAATTATTAGTAAATTTTACTAACAATTAGTAAAATTTTACTAATAATTTTTTTTACTAATTTTAAAAAAAGTTTACTAATTTGAATTAGTGACTTACTTTTTGCTTCTGAATTAGTAAAATTTTACTAATTATTAGTAATAGTATTTTACTTATTTAGTATTAGTATTTTACTAACAATTAGTAAAATTTTACTAATAATTTTTTTTACTAATTTTTACTAATAATTAGTAAAATTTTACTAATTCAGAAGCAAAAAGTGAGTCACTAATTCAAATTAGTAAACATTTTTACGAATTCAGATTTAGAGAGTTCGATTATTTAAAATATTAAACTATTTTTTTTTATAATTTACAATTTTTCGTTGTAATTTTTTTTTTTTATATTAAAAGTGCGAATGAATATGATAAGTGCATTCTCGCAGCTGATTCGCATTATTTATCACACGTTTCTTATAATCCGACACGATGAGACATATATATATATATAGTATTATATACGATTAGTCCAGTGATGAACGGTATTGCGTGTTATCTAATAATAATAATACAAAGTTGCGAGAGATAGATAAAATATATGTAGAAAACAATAAAATATTTAAAAACTTTTCACTTTATTTCATTCATATATTTTCACACTTTTGAATATATAATAATATTAACGACAAATAAGGAGCTCTCGTTTTAATATTTCGGCTAATAAAACGTTTTTTTTTTTTTTACTTTTCCCATATACCCAACCAAAAATTTCAGTATTATACCAAAGTTAACTACTGGCGCAGTACTAGTTCAGTATTGGCTGCCGAGGCTGGGCAGTACTGAGCCGATATTGAGCCAGTACTGGCTCAAATAGATTTTCTTTTAAATTAATACTACTTTACAAAAAGTTTTAGAGTGAATCTGACGAATCTTTTTGTTTAAATATTTTGTTTATAAAAATTTTTTCATTTTGATTTTATTTTTGAAAATTAAAAGGTATTTTATTTTGCTTTTTTGTGGGTAAAATTATTTAAACAAAAAGTTTCCTGAGACTAATTCCAAAACAGTTTGCAAGCTCTTTTTTTATTGTTTTCAAATATGCAATAAATCAAAAAAAATTTTAAACGATCAAACTAAAAATAAATAAAATTTTTTATAAAAAAATTAATAATTTTTAAAATAAAAATTTTGAAAAAATTTTCTTGACAATTTTTATTTAAATATCGACTATTTTTTAAAAAAAGGAAATGAAAAAATTAAATAAATATTTAAATAAATAATAAAGTAGAATAGTAATTAAAGTGGAAAATTCATGGTTAAATGAAGTTTTTAATTCGATTCAAGAAGATATAAATAAATGCGGATGCTTGTTAAGCGAGTTTACTTTAAAAAAAAAAAATGATAGATATAATTTATCAGAAATCATGTAATTCTGGAGTTTATATTTATAATTCAACTATATATTCAATATAATTCTCATGTCAAAGGATTATAAAGTAAAGATTTTTTTTTAAAATAATCTAATCGTTTACTAAACGTATGATAAGAGTATGCATAAATAAATTATTTTAAAATAATTAATTATGAAAATATATTTTCTTTTTTTAAAAGTTTCTCCATTTTTCTATTAATTTAAAATTTTAATTTTTACTAAGTAAAAAAAATTATATTTTCTACAAAAATGTGATTTTTTCCAAAAAACTTACGAGTTCTGCTACATAGAGAAGAACGGCAATACATTCTGTTCCTTGATTTTTAAGTGCTTTTGCTTCCAATAATGTGCGTCGTGTAAGCCTTCTTTGTAATTTTCGAGAAAATCGCGCACCATGTTTTATTGTTCGTACTGTCTTACTTGTTGATTCAACGGGAGCATCCACTGTATCTACTAGAATTAAATAATTTTTTTTTTTAATTTTTGTTTTTTTTGAATATTTTTATATTAGAGAAAATAAAATTTATATTAATTTATTATGAATAAAAAATTTTTTTTTCACTCTAAAAAAGATACATTTTTTTTTACCTTCAGCAATTTTATCACTTGGATCTCCTGGTAAATAATGATCAATATATTGATCAGCAACAGACAATGCTCCATCTAATCTATCAGCTGCAACATTAGCAGCATGGCTACCAATTTGTTTCATGCTGTCCGCTCTCATTAGAACTGGTTTTACAATTTTCTTGTTCACATATTCTTTCGTATTCCAGTACATCTTAATTGAAATTTTATGCATTAATAAAAAAAAACAAAAAAAATTCCTTTTTTGCCTAATAAATATTAAAAATTTCAAAAAAATCATATTAATTCCATTTTTTTTTTAATAAATATAGCGACTTTATAATTAATGTAATAAATTCCTCGCAAATGAATAAATAAATTAATTTCTTCCTCTATTTTTGTCGAAAAATTATATAATGTGAATTTCTATGATTTTTTTTTATACCTAATATATTGAAGAAAAAAAAATTGCATTCACTTTGTTGTAAATTTTATTTTACAGTTAGAAAACAATTTCGGGCAAAAAAAAAAGAAATAAAAAAAGGAAGTAAATTTAAATTTTACACTCACAAGTTGAGGAGGCAGATGAACAGCCGGTACTCTCTGTTCAACAATATCAATGCCCTTGCATAAAATTTGATCAATCGTTGTTATTGGACCATTGAGAGCAAAAATTGCCGATTTTGCCGAAGCTAAAGATTGCTCAACTGTGTCTAAACTCCAATTCATCAATGAATTTGATCGCTAATTAATATAAAAAAAATTATATTATTATTTATTAACATTATTTTCACAATTATAAAAAAATTCAATTTTTCAATTAAGATGAATGAAAAAAAAATTCACACAATAGTTTAAAATAATTTTAAATAACAATAAAAAATAAACGAACCTTAATCATTTCATAAACATTTCCAGCAATGTAGATACTGCTTTCAACAATTGGAAAACTGGAAATTCTGGCAACGGATTCAAATTGCGATAGATCTGAGTGTCTTCGTTTAAAATTTGATCGTGCCATATCGCGGTAATTTGCTGTAAATTAAAATTTTTTTCATTACAATATTTAATTTTTTTTTCTAATTTCTAATAATTTTACTAATAATTTTTATAATAATTTTTATAATAATTTTTTTTCAACTAAAAAAATTATTTCTTTTAAACAAAAATAAAATGTAATTAACTTTCGTCAAGTTGCTATAATTTCAATGAAAACATTACTGATAACAGACTTTGTCACACTTTCATTCTTTTTAGAAAAAAATACAATTTAAAATAAAAATCGTCTCTATCTTTTGTGTATGTTTTTTTAAGATTTATTTATTTTATTTCTAATAATTATATGACAATCCAAATACTTTTCTCCGCTCAATATTCGCCATTAAATAGGTACATTATTTTTTTTATATAAAATTTAATTTCAGATAATTAGATGTGTACTTTTATAAGAGTATCCGTTTTGTTACGAAAGTCAGATATATATTCCGATAGACTTTGAACTTCATCAGAGTAGCAAAAGTTCTGAAAACTTCGAGTAAAGGACGCAATTATTTACAAAACTTTTGTTTAAAAAATATTTCTTTTTCATGGGATTTGTTATTAATAATAAAAAAAAAAATTCTAAAAATAATAAAGCAATTATAACTCTCTTTTGAGAAATGTGAATTATTTTTACGTAACTAATAAATTAATAATTTAACAATGAAAAATTAAATAAAGAAAAAGTGTTAATTAAACGAAAAGTCGAATTTAATTACTAATTTTCAGTTATAATTGCTTTTTCAAAATAAATTTTCATTTACAAATAGCATATGTTATTGAAAAATTAATAATTTTGCAAATAAATATTAGAAGTAAAAAAAATCCATTTTTTTAAACTTTTTTTTTTTTTAAAACAATAAAAAATTAATATTCCAAAAATAGATTTATCAAATTTTGTTCCTTTCTCATTAAAAAAATTTTTTCCATTAAAACAAAAACAAAAAAAAAATAAAATAATCAACTTACAGTTAGTGATCGTCATAATTTTTTGTTGAAATTTCCAAATAACGGAAATTAATTCACAAAATGTGTGTCATCACACAGGACAATTAAAAAAAAAAAAAAAAAAAAAATGTTTCAAAACGTAACAGCGAAGCGTGAACTTTGTAAATTAATGTAATGCATCGTAAAAAAAATATGACGCGATTAAAATCTCTAAGTGGCTGTTTGAGCCGGAATGAATCTCATGCCGCGAATGATGTTGAAAATATATATTCATGAATTTGCGCGATTCGCATGCACACACGTAGATATGCTTTATATATATATATATATTTATTATACTTGTCGGTCAGAAGGTTTTGTTGGATTTCACGGTGAAGGTCGCGAGAGGCGTTGAGATTCACACATAATTATTTTTTTTAATAAATATAATAATAAACTAAATTAGTATTAAATTTTTTTTGATTTTGCAAATTTTTATACCAATTTTTTTTTTTTTAATTAAATAAAAATTCTTTTTACCCGCAATATTATAATATGAGAGAGAAATTTTATATATTGATGTCCAAGTGGAAAACACACGATGTCGACTGCACTTCGTTAGTTGCTGACAGTATCTCATCGGTTTGACCTATGACACATCAATTATATATGGGCACAATGACGGCGCTTTTCAATTATTATAAAATTTGTGCCGCCTTTGGTGTGACAAAGTCGAATAAAAAAGAAAAATTGTGTCAGTGAAATAAAATTGAAAGTTTCGAAAAAAATTAAATTTCATAAATTTTTTTTTTGTAGATTTTTTCGTTTACTCTAATAAAAATGACGAGTAACATTTTTTAAATTAAAATTAAATTGAATCATAAAATTTTGTCACAAAAAAGAAATATGTATGGAAAAAAAAAATGTTTTTGATAAGGGAGTAAATTTTGAAATTTTTTTTTCTCGATCAAGTAGATAGTTAAAAAAAAAAAATCTTCATCTCACATTTGAACTGCCTTCAATCTATGATTAGCACAAATATATATATACGGAGAAAAAAAAAAATATATATATATACAATCATCACTTTGAATTTGTGTAAAAGTGTGTTTAATAAAATTTACAATAGACTTTGGAGCTTGTCAATTATTGTCATTAACGATAATAAATTTTCTAATAAATTGATAATATACATAGAATGACAACTCTCGTTACACGGTCGATGAACCAATATCCGTCTAGGCTATTATCTTCATTCAAGGACGATTTTACTCCTCTTCTCAATTTGTCAATTTTCCGAAAGATATTTTTCTATTTTTCTAATTTTTCAATTTTTTATTTTTCATTTACATTATTTTTACCTCCAAATAATATTGAAAAATAATTTTTCATTTCTTTTTCGAATAGAATAATTTTTTTAAATATCAACTGTTAAAGACGCGTTACAATATTTTTTTTAGGACAAACTTACTCGGTAACTAACAGATAATTTTACTAAAACTTCACAATTTGAAAAATTAGTTAAAAAAATTACGTATCCATGCTATTTTTTTTTTTTTTTTAATTATAATGAGAAAATAATTTTTTTATTAGCAAAATAATTACGGAAACAATATTTAAGAAATCTACTTTATTAACAGTTGATACTTTTTTAAAAATAAATTTTGAAAATCAATTTAAAAATGTAAATTTTTTTTGGTATGGACTATTGGAGTCTCTAAATATGCATTCACGTGGGAAATGAATAAAAATGATCGATAAAGGGTCATATATGGTAAACTCGAAATTATCATCAACAGACGGCATTAATTGCTAGCAAAGTCCAAAGCAACGTCTAAAAAGAAAAAAAAAAAAAATTATGACAAAAGTAACAGATCTCGACCATCTCATTTTATTTTTCTATGTCTCATATATATGAAAGATTAATTGATTCCGTAGAACTTGCATTTTATGAAGGGCATCATTTAAATCATTCATATTCAATAGTTAATCATTATGTTAATAAAATTTTCTTATCGAAATATTTAACTCATTACAAAATTAATATTTTATTTCAATTATATAATCATAAAATGCTTGGTCTGTCCTTCTGTCCTAACTTGAAGTTGGCCTTTTTTGATTTTACGTGTTTTTTTGAATAGTAATCTTATGACGTGTCAAATTTTGACAATTCTTTTTCTCATTTTTGACAAATTGTGTTTCCAAATTTCGGAATAAGTTTCTTTAAAATTCCAAATTCGAAAATTCAATTCACGAAGCTGAAGTACACAACGTTTACCAACGAAATTTTTTTAAAAGTTGTATATTGATTCAAAAATTGTACAAAAAATTTATGATGAGAAAAAAGATGCGCCAGGAAATTTCGTACAAAATAGTAATTTGAAAAAAATTTATTTTTAAAAATTAATTTTTAAGGTACCAGGGGCCAACGAATACCTATTAAATATTAATTATAAAAACACAGGCCTCGAATCAACTTTAAGACACAAAAAAGTCGTTTTAGTCGATTTATATTCAAAAAAGTGGATTTATTTTATTTTAACAAAAATATTTTACAGATTTTTAAATAAAAAAATTTTCTTTTTTAATAATAATCCTTTTCGAAGGGTTAAAGTTGAAATTTTTAGAAATAATTAAATTTCAAAAGATATTGTTAATTTTCAAACAATTATTAAATTTTACAGAAGTAAAAATAATTTATCAAACAATTTTTGGAAAACATTTTTTAAATTTAATTGAATTTTCAAAGATTTAAAATTAAGATTTTTGAAATTAATTGAAACTTTAAGTGTTTTGTAATTAAAATTTTAGATGATTTCACTAAAAATTTATTAGAAAATGCGGACAAAATACAATAATTTGAAAATCATTTTTAATTGAAAAATAGTTTCAGATAGTTGAATTTTCAAAGAATATTATTAAAATAGTTAAAAATAATTGAATTTCCTTAGAGTTATAATTGAAATTATTAAATTTCAAAAAAAAAAAATTTCGATGGAAAATTTTAGAAATAATTAAATTTTAGATGCTTTTAAATTCAAATTATTGAAAATTCAATTAATTTTGAATTCAAATTTTTGAGAATAATGAAATTTTATTTGATTTTAAATTTGGAAAATAATTGAATTTTAGTTCATTTTGAATTGAAAATTTTGGGAAATAATTGAATTTTAACTGAAATTTTGGATACTCTCTAAATCTGAATTAGTAAAAATGTTTACTAATTTGAATTAGTAACTCACTTTTTGCTTCTGAATTAGTTAAATTTTACTAATTGTTAGTAAAATTTTACTAATTCAGAAGCAAAAAGTGTGTCACTAATTCAAATTAGTAAACATTTTTACTAATTCAGATTTAGAGAGTAATAATTTAATTGAAGTTCATTTTTGATTGAAAATTTGAATAATTAATTTTGAATAGAAATTTTAGAAAATAATTGAATTTTATTTCATTTTAAATTGAAAACTTGGTAAATAATTAAATTTTAAATTGAAAATTTTGGATAATTGTTGGATTTTTAATTGATTTTGAATTAAAATTTCGGATAATAATTGAATTTTAGTTTATTTTGAATAGAAATTTTTAAAAAATAATTCAATTTTATTGTGATATTTTTTTTTAAATTATAAACAATTGTTAAATTTTATAAAAATTTTAATTGAAAAATAATTTTGATATAATTGAATTTGTGATGTATTTCATTAAAATTATTAAAAATAATTAATTTAGTGAAGAATTATTTTAATTCAAAATTTGTTAAATAATTGAATTAAAGAAGATCTGAAGAAGATCTACATTTTATACTAAAAAAAATGTATTTTATTTACATTTTTTTTTAAATGTAAAAAAAAAATGTCGCATTTTATTAAAATAAGTCGATAAAAGTGGTATTTTTGAAAAAAGTCGGAAAAAGTCGTATAATCCGAGGCCTGTAAACATATAATTTTCATTATTATCATTTAATATATAATAATATTCTAATAAATTAAATTATTATTGATAATATTAATCTTTAATTTCTTTATAACAAACAATTAAATACTCAATTTGGCGCGCGTTTAATTTTCCTAGTTTATTAATAAAATATTTATTGTAGAAAAAAATTTCCATGATTAAAAAAAAGGTACCATTTTTAGATTTCTTTTTTTACTTTTAATTATTTTTCTTTTTTATTTGACATCAATTTTTGTATTTATGTGTATATATAGTTAAATTTTTTTTTTATAGTTTTCGATAATAATCTGATAAAATGAACTGTTTTTTTTATCAGATTTCAAAAATGAAAAAAATTGAATGATTCAAATATATATATAAACTAAAAAACTGTTATCATTGTCACAGATATTATTTGAAATGACTCTTTTATCTTTTCACAAAGTAATGTTATCAGCATTTCTTTTTTTTTGTCTACTTTCGTAAAGGCGCAGTGTTTATTATGACTTTGATCAATCACTAAAGTATAAATTATAGAACATGAAGAATTACAGTGACCGTGAAATTTTACAATATTCATATTATTATTATTATTATTATTATTGTGGAAAAAATTGTGTTAATTTATATTCTCTATTTTTAATGTAAAATTATTTTTGAATCATTGAAAATAATAGTTAAAATTATCAAAAAAAAAAAAAAAAAAAAAATGCGTAGGATAAATTTTATTGGATTTTTGTTAGTTCATTATATTTTACTTGTAGAAACTGATGATCGTAAGTGATAAAAAATAATTTAAAATAATTTTTTTTTTTCTTGAAAATAAAGAAAAAGAAACAATTTTCTTTTTAATCGTTATATAGAAATATGGCCATCGCCTGGTTTTACGAAACCACAATCATTGGATAGTGAAATCGTTAATTGGAATTATATAGATACATTAAATATGGTTGTAATTTCTATAAATGAAGAAGCTAATCACAATATAACAATTGCTGTATTTAATTACAAAGGTGAAAATTAAATTTTTTTTTCTGCAAATGTTCTTCTTTTTTTTTTGGTAATAATGTAAAATTTTTGAAATTAAGGAAATGTTAAACCGGAAATAGAACGATTTGCAAATAGTTATGAAAATAATGAGAATCTTGGTGCTGAATTTGTAAAAAATAATGCAGAATTTTGGGAAATAGTGATAACTAAACGACAGGATTATGAAACACCAGTAATGCAATATTACACAATGATAGTGAAAATTAATTCAATTATAAGTACATATAAAGTGAGAATAATTGTGAGAAATATCGATGATAATCCACCAGTTATTCAAGCCAATGAAAAATATTGTTCAATTGAAGAAAATTATGTAGGACTAACAAATTGTAGTTTTATAATTAGCGATGTCGATGGTTGGATTGAAAAAACTACTTTCAATATTACATCCACGGTAATTTATTTGAAAAACATTTTTTTTACTATTAATTTCTTTTCAAAATTATTAAAATTATTAATAAATTAATATTATATTAATGCCAAAATAGCCAAACAGTGGAATCGAACATTTTTCAATGGTTCAAGTACCAATCGTTGGTACTCAATTTAGAACAAATGCAATTTTAAATACAACAAAAAGTTTGGATTTCGAAACTATATCTGTTTATACTCTAATAATCACAGCAAAGGTATTAATTTTTTTTTTTTTTTTGAAAAAAAAGGAATTTTCAAAAATAATGTGAAAAATTATTTACAGGATAGTGGCAATAACACAAGTAACAATTTAATAACAGTTGTACGAGTTATAGATCTTCCCGATATGCCACCAATGTGGACTAATCCGATTTCAGCGATAACAATTCTGGAAAAATCTATTAACGTTTGTCAAATTATCATTAAACTTAACAATTAAAAAAAATTTAAATTTTAAGAAATTATTATTTCTTAAAATTTAAATTTTTTTTCTTATCTAATTAATATTTTATTAATAATAAAATTTTATTAATTTTTTTTGCTTTTCAAAACAGAATTTTCAAGTTTCGGCAATTGATGGCGATCATGAAATCAATGCTGATATTAATTACAAAATTGAAAATATAGAAGCACGTGAGTTTTGTTAAGAATTTTTATTTTTAGAAAAAAAAAAGAAAATTCGCAAATTTTTTCAAATATAATTAATTCTAATTTTAGAGTACAATTTTTTTCAAGTGAATAAAGAAACAGGAGATATTACAATAATGGAAATTGATCGTGATTGTTTGAAACAAGAGATTTTTAAATTTATAATTATAGCCTATGAAGTTGATAATGTGACATCATCAATTAATAGTACAATTGTTGTTGTAGTCAATGATATAAATGATCATAGTCCTGAAATAAAACCATCGAATCTTATAATTGATATTCCTGAAGCGACTTATATGAATCTTCAATTTAAAGAGGCTATTACAATAACAGATCCCGATCTTGTATGAAAATTTCAAAATTTTTTAAAATTTAATGAAAGTTAATTTTTGTCTGTGAACAAAAAAATTTACTGAAAATTTTAAAAATTATTATTAATTTTTTTTCCAGGCGGAAAATGCTCAATTCGATGTAAAATTGGAAAATGATGATATCATTAATTGGAAATCAGCTTTTATAATAATTCCAAATAGTGCTTATCAATTGGGAACGTTTACAATATCAGTGGTAAATGCAACACTTTTGGATTATGAGGACGAAAATTGGAGAAATATCAAATTAAAAGTAAATTTTTAAATTAATTCTAAATTATTTGTAAATTAAAGAAAAATTTAAAATATTAAAAAAAAATTTGTTAAGATAAGATTTTATTTTAGAAAATATTTTTAGATAGAGCAATTTTTGTTCACAGATTGTAGCAATAGAACGTGCAAATTCATCACACATAGGCATGAGGGACATAAAAATTAATCTCATAAATTGGAATGATGAGTTACCAATTTTTAAAAATGATAATATGACAATTAATATTCGAGAAGATGTAGAACTTGGCTATCATGTTGCCACTGTTTTTGCCGAAGATCGTGATGTTAATGACACTGTTACGTCAGTATTTTATAGTTTAAAACTTTTTTAATTTTTATTTAATTTGAAATTTTCTTTATTTTTAATATTTTTTCAATTTTCATCATTTACAAAAGAAAAAGTTTTATTTTATAAAATGATGCTTAATAATAAAAAAAAAATATATATCTTTTTTCCCCCCTTAGACATACCTTAGTGTCTAATCATGGATTGGAAATTGATAAAAAAAATGGTGAAATTAAAACCACTAATGAAAAATCTTTTGACTATGAAGCAATGCCAATTGTTATTGTTCAAGTGATGGCAACTGATAATGCAAATCATAAAACATCCGCTAGTTTGACAATAAATGTCATTGATGTTAATGATAAACCCCCATCATTATTTTTGGTAAAAATTTCTAAAAAATTAAAAAAAAAGTTGAAAAATATTTTCATATTTACATAAAGAAACAAATTTAATTAAAATAATTTTATATAGGACCGAAAGAAACCTTCTATTAAAGAAGAAGTTTCAATTGGAACGGAAGTAAATACAAAAATTTATGCAAAAGATTTGGATACAGAGGCAAAACTTGAATTTAGTATTCATTGGAATTCATCATCAGCATATAAAAGCAATTCACTTGTTGATGATATAACACTATATCAGGAGTAATTTAAATTTTTGTTTTTCTAATTATTAAAAATTTATATTATAATTTTGATTGAATTTTTATTGCATTTCAAATTGGAAATACATTTTTTTTTTAAATAAATTACCAATTATGGTAAAATTCAAATTTATTTTGATACAGGCACTTAAAAATAAAAACAATTTATCCTAATGGCAAAATGGGAGAGGCTGAAGCTGTATTAATTGTAAATGATAGAATTGATTATGAGGCATTTGATACTTTATTTTTAACTATAGTTGTTACTGATTTGACTACTGTACATAATGAAGCAACCGATTCTGGTAAGTTATTAAAATAATAATGCCACAAAAATGTTTTGTTACTATTTTTACTAAAATCATAAAGATTATAAAAAGAATTATAAATTACAAAGGTCTAGAAATGACAAAATGAAATTTGCATGTGTTGTCTGACTAAAATGGTAATTTACTACTGATAGTAAAATTACAATAAAAAAAAAATGTTTTGCCTGACAGAAAATGTCTTTTACTACTGAAAATAAAAGTATATTAATTCAATAACGTTATGTCTGACTAAAAACTATTTTATACTACTGATTTCGCATAATTACAGTAATTTGAAAAATCGGTCTCACTAATACTTACTTTTACTACTGATTTCATAATTAATGTAATTCAAAAATTTTATGTCCTACCTAAACTGTCTTGTACTACTGATTTCACAATTATAGTAATTTGAAAAATCGGTCTGACTAATACTTACTTTTACTACTGATTTTATAATTAATGTAACTCAAAATTTGTATGCCTGACCTAAATTGGCTTGTACTACTGATTTTCCAATTACAGTAATTCGAAATTTTCGTGTCTGACTAATGTTTACTTTTACTACTGATTTTATAATTAAAGTAATTCCAAATTGTCATGTCTGACTGAAACTGTCTTGTACTACTGATTTCACAATTATAGTAATTTGAAAAATCGGTCTGACTAATACTTACTTTTACTACTGATTTTATAATTAATGTAATTCAAAAATTTCATGCCTGGCCTTAACTGGCTTGTACTACTGATTTTCCAAATACAGTAATTCGAAATTTTCGTGTCTGACTAATACTTACTTTTACTACTCATAGAAAAATTACAGTAATTAGAAAAAAAATTCCCTCTGACTGAAATCAACCTAATTTTTAAATTAAAAAAAAAAAATTCCTAAAAATTCATTTTTTTAATTTTAAATTTTTGATAAAAATATTTTTTTTCAGCATCATTAACATTATTAATCATCGACATAAACGATAATGCTCCTGAGTTTGGTGAAATTGCTGAAATGCAAATTCAAGAGAATCAAAAAACAAATATTCTCATTGGTAGAGTAATAGCTTACGATGTTGATGGTCCTGGTAATAATATTGTCACCTATTCTCTAAAGTTAGTAAAAAAAAAAATTTTACTCAACATGAGAGATTCTTTTTCAATCGCCCCAGCCCAAAAAGTCAATGTTCTGGGATTGGCTTCATACTTTGGTAAATTGTTGTCCTATATGATAGTAATAAATCCCTAAAATATAAACTCATTAAAAAAATATTTGTAGAAAGTAGAGGGGGTTGAAGTTTTGACGTTAAGGGTAACATTGTCATTTTCAAATCCGTATAACTATGACAAAAGTTAATGGATTTTAATTTATCTATAATGAATTTTATTGCATTTTTCACGTACTTTTCAAAAATGTATACGAAATTTAAAAAAAAAAAATTTTAACCCCTTTTTTTCAAAATCAACCCTTATTTTTCGATTTTCACCCCTTCGGGTATTTTTTTTTTTTTTTTTTTTTTATTTTCATTGGAAAGCTGAGGTTTTTTCCGATGAGCTATGTAAATATGAAAATGGGACAACAATAATTTTGTGAGTAACAGAATATTAAAGTAGGCGGTGCCGATAAGGGGTGTACCTGGAGATCATCTTTGAGGATTTAGATAGGCACCGCCTAATTTAATATTATGTTTCTCACAAAATTATTGTTGTCCCATTTTCATATTTACATAGCTCATGGGAAAAAACCTCAGCTTTCCAATGAAAATAAAAAAAAAACAAAAAAAAATTCCCGAAGGGGTGAAAATCGAAAAATAAGGGTTGATTTTGAAAAAAAGGGGTTAAAAATTTTTTTTTTTAAATTTCGTATACATTTTTGAAAAGTACGTGAAAAATGCAATAAAATTCATTATAGATAAATTAAAATCCATTAACTTTTGTCATAGTTATACGGATTTGAAAATGACAATGTTACCCTTAACGTCAAAACTTCAACCCCCTCTACTTTCTACAAATATTTTTTTAATGAGTTTATATTTTAGGGATTTATTACTATCATATAGGACAACAATTTACCAAAGTATGAAGCCAATCCCAGAACATTGACTTTTTGGGCTGGGGCGATTGAAAAAGAATCTCTCACATACAAATTTAATGTCTAATTTTTTTTTCTTGAAATTTTATTTAATTAACAAAAATAATAATAAATGACAGACCTATTAATGGCACAGCAGATAAATTAATTAAAATTGATGGAAAAAAAGGTGACATTAGAGTGGACAATGATGGTGGAATTGATGCTGAAATTTATAAATATTTATATTACAATGTTACTGCAACTGATGGCGTGCACAATACAATATTGCCGGTGAAAAAAAATATATTTCCTAATTTTCTAAAAAAAAATATATATATATTAAATATAATAAATAGAAAAAAAATTTAAAAAAATATAAATGTAATATTTATATCATTAATAAATATATTGTTATTTTATTTAATAAAATTGAATTAAAAATAAAATATAGATTGAAATATACGTGATTGATGAAAATGATGAATAACCTATTGCACTTGATGATAAATTTTCATCAGAAGTTCATATCAAAGAAAGATCTGAAACTGGTACAAAAATTATTCAAATTTTTGCCTTTGATAACGACAGAACATGTGAGTTTATTAATCGAATTATTTCAAAAAAAATAAAAAAAGTAATTTTTTTTGTTAATATATTTTTTTAATTATTTGTATTAAAATTATTTTTTTTCAGCACCCTTTAACAATGTTTCTTATTTGATAAACTCGGACTATCCACAATTACAGCAATATTTTAGTATCGATAAATTTACTGGCTGGCTGGAAGTTAATTTAATTGAGGATGCCATTCTCGATAGAGATCGTGGACCATCTAATTATACTGTCTATTTAAAATTAAGAGATAATTTTATCGAAGGACTGAGCTGTGAGTAAATTTTATTTATTTAATTATTTAATTGATTTTTTTATTTATTATATAATTCGTTTTACTTATTTTTTTTGTACAGATAATTCTAATCAGAATACAACAATGGTAACTGTTATACTTGACGATATTAATAATCAATTACCGGAACTTCCAGTACTTTCAAATCCTGTAAAAATTATTTCTGAAGATACGAATAAGGTTAGATTACTTTTTTTTTTTTCATTAAATAAAAATTTTTTTCAATGATTTTTTTTAATTTGACAAAAATTTTTATTTTTATTCCCATCTCTTTAGGATTTTTTAATATTAACCATAACTGCTGACGATAAAGATGATCCAAATACAGATAATACTAAAGTATTTTATGAAATAAAAGAAATAATTCAAATAAACAATCAAGCAATAAAATCCAACGTGGAGTGTTCTAATTTATTTAAAGTGACAACTGTCAATAAAAAACATGCCGAAATAAGTACAAATTGTCATTTAAAAGGATATTATGGAATTTGGGCTTTAAAATTATATGTGAGATTTTATTTTTTCTATAAATTAAGTCTATTTTAATTTTAGAAATAATTAAAAAAAAATATATATATTTTATTATTTATTTTAAAATTCTTTTCAATTTTTATAATATAGAAAAAAATACTATTTTTTAGGTTCAAGATTTAGGTACTGATCCTGGACCATTGAATGATACGAAAATTTATAATATTCAAATAACTGATTTTAATTATCATGAGCCAGTAATAATTTATCCTACACCTGGTAAAGCAATACGCCTAAGTCAGGTAAAAGTAAAAAAAAAAAAAAACTATTTATTCAATTTTTCTTTTTTAATTATTTAAATATATATAGATACACTGAAAAAATGGTTTGGTATTAACAACCAAACATTTGGTTGGTATTTAAGCAACCAAAATTTTTTTATTGAATCAACAAAATTTTGGTTGTCCCAATCAAACTTTAGTTAGGACAACAAAAATCCTTTTTTTCTAATTTTGGTTATGTCAAATAAATTTTGATTGAGAATTACAAATTTAAAAAAATTTTAAAAAATTAAAATTAAAATTTTGTTGATTCAATAAAAAAATTTTTGGTTTCTTAAATACCAACCAAACGTTTGGTTGTCAATAACAAACCCTTTTTTCAGTGTATATATTATTTTTTATTATTTTTAAATGATCTTTTAAAAATTTCTTATTTTTTTCAGAACCAAAAAATAAATATGCAATTGATAACGTATGACGATGGAAAATTGGAAAATTTTACAGCTACCGATGAAGATTATGGGGAAAGTGGTTTGGTGACTTTTTCTCTTTCTGGCGCTGATGGTAGTTTTTTTTTTGGTCTTTAATTTTTTGTCTTAAATTATATCACATATTAATTTTAATTAGTTATAATTCTTATATTATTTTCATTACAGCTGAAATATTTACAATAATCTCTTTTGAAAATAATAAAGCTCAGTTACAACTTACATCAATTCCTGATTTCAACAAGAAACGAGTTTTTAATGTAATAATTACTTCTCTATAACTTTTAATTAATGTTAGTTATAATAATAATAGTAATTATTATTTTTTTAAATATTATTATTATTATTATAATTATTATTATTATTATTTTACAGCCATTGGTTACTGTTACCGATCATGGACAACCAAAACAAAAAAGTAAAACTCAGACACAAAAAATTATTTTCGTTTCTACTAATGGACCGGAATTTGAGAAAAATTTATTTGTAACCTGGTTTCATGAGAATTCAACGGGATTAAATAATTTTACAATTATACCAGAGGCAAAAGATATGATAAATGAAGGGATTGAAGAAGAATTGCCAGTTGTTATTTATTATTTTTTAGAAAACAATGGTAATTGGAAAAAAAAACTATTTAAATCTTTACAAAAAAATATTTTCTCCTCGTAAGAGAAAGAAAAATTAATATTAAATTAAAAATTTACATTTATTTTTCAAAATTTATCAATATTGATTTAAATTAAAATTAGCAAATATATATATATATATATTTTTTTAGATGGTAACATGGCGTATTTCTCATTGAATAAAGAAACGAGAAATTTAACATTAAAAAAAGAATTGGATCGTGAAGTACAGGAGACAATGATTCTACGTGTAATTGCAACGACAAATTCCGATGGACCAATTTCTAATCCTCGTGAAAAAGCTATTTTAAATATTACAGTTATTGTATGTATTTTATTTTTTTTATTTTTATACTTTCTGTCTGACTAAAACATTCATTTACCTATTAACAAATTATTTTAATTTTGGAAACATTGTGTCTGACTGAAATGATATTTTACTACTTATAAAAAATTGTTATTGGAAACTTTGCGTTTGACTAAAATTTTGTTTTACTACTAGCTTGAAAATTATAGTAATTCGCAAACGTTATGTCTGACTAAAACCGTTTCTTACTACTTAGATAAAAATTATAGTAATTCAGAGACTTTATGTCTGACTAAAAACGTTTTTTTACTACTTAGATGAAAATTATAGTAATTCAGAGACTTTATGTAATTAAAAAAAAACTGCAGTCTGACTAAAACTGTCTTTTGCTACTGACATTACAATTATAGTAATTTTTGATACTATGTCTGACTAAAAACAGCTTATACTACTTATTTAAAAAAATACAAATAAGACTGCAATAAAAGAGTTAAAAAATTGTCAGAATAGAAATTTACTAAGAAATACATTATATTCGTACTATTATTTACGTCTGACTAAATTTTTACAACTTATACAAATATTTTAAATATATATATATATATTAAAAATATTCTATTGTTACATAATTTGCTAAAATATTATTTCAGGTAGTAGATGTAAATGATAATCCTCCGATTTTCGAAAATAAGACATATTTTGGTGGTGTAGCATTAGAAGATGCAGTTGGAAAACTTATTTTAAAAGTTGATGTAAAAAAATAATCACTATTTCTAATTTAAATAATTTTTTTAATAAAAAAATTATTATTTACCAAAAAAAATTCCTTTTTTTGTAATAGGCAACCGATGCAGACTTTAATGACAGTTTATCGTATAGAATAAGTGAAAACAGTCTTTCAACGTCAGACACATCACTCGAAGGAATTTCTGTACCATTTGTTCTAAAAAATTCTACTGGTGAATTATTATTGGAATTTAAACCCACATCCTATATGACTGGTTATTTCAGTCTGGATATTCTTGTCAATGATCAAGGTACTTTATATTATTAATTTATTATTTAAATTAATTTATTATTTATTAGTTATTAATTTTTGATAATTATTATTAATTTTCAATAATTATTGAAACATTTTTTTTCCACTTTATATTTTATTTTCTATTTAGAAAATATTCTTGAATTTTTTTTTCATTAAATTTGAAAATTTACTTTATTTAAAAAAAAACCTTAAGTGGGGAACAATTTTTTATTTTATTTATGTTATAAAATTTGTTTATCAAATTTCAGTTTTACATGAAGACTCAACGCACGTAAAAATTTATATGATTGCAAAAGATAATCGAGTGACGTTTACATTTAGAAATAATATGACATTTTTAAATGAACAAAAGTCATATGTAAGTTTTTTTGTCTTTTGAAGAAAAAAAAATTGTTAAAATCAATTTTTTATATTTTCTTTTTTTCCTATTTTAGATTATTAAGACATTTACTGAAATTTTTGGATTAGTCTGTAACGTTGATTATATTGAAAAAAGTGTATCGGGCACAGCAGTTTCAGAAGATGTTACATTAATTACATCTCATTTTATAAATGCAGAAACTAATTTACCAGTGAGCGCTGACACAATAATTTTGTACGTTATTCATCAACATTGTAGTTTAAATTTATCATTTTTCTTTTATTTCAAAAAAAAAAAAAAAAAAATGTAATTTTTTTTTTCATAATTGTACTTATAATAGAAATTAATTATAGTTTCTATTATTATTTTAATTTCAATTTACAGAAAAGTCAATAATTTAGAAACAATAAGCAATCTAAAAGCAAATCTTTATTCAGATAAAAAATTATTGCTTGTTGATGTACCAACGTCTTTGACATCAAATGATACTGACAATGATGTTCTTCAATGGGTTCTACTTTGTTTGACAACATTTTTCTTTGTTGTGTCAATTGCATTATTCATAGCATACATCGTCAAAGTCAGAGGGTACAATTATTTTAATTTTATAAACTAGATTTTATTTAAAAAAGAAAAAAAATTTTTTTTGTTTTTTGCCAATTATTTGAAAAATTAAATTTTCTTTTTGTCAGCTTAACGGAAAAACTTGATAAATTAGCAATTACAAATTATGATTCTCCTGATCCTACAATTGAAAAAATTGCAATTATGCCAAATGCAAATAAATTTGCCATCGAAGGTTCGAATCCAATGTGGAAAACTGAAACTACCAATGAAATGGAAGATAATATAAGGTATTGTATTAAAATTAAAAAAAAAAAAAAATTCTAACAATATTTTTCTTATACAATTATTATTAATTAATTGAAATTATTTTAAAGTCATGGAAGTGGAGATTCTGATCTGATAGGAGTCGAAGATAATCCGAATTTTAATTATGAAAGTAAGACAAACAATGCAAATATCGTAAGTGATTTAAAAATATTTGATTAAATAAATTTATTCCGTTCATAAATTAAAATAAAAAATTTTTTTTCAGATAAAACTCAATACAATTGTGCTTCCTAATTTTGCAACAGATTTTGATTCAAAGAATTCGATACAGAAAAGAAATTCAGTGAGTGATGAATATAATTGTTGACAATATTTAATTAAAAATAAAAAATTCATCAATTATTATCATTATTATTATTATTATTATTATTATTATTATTATTATTATTATTAATAATAATTATTGATATTATAAACTGTAAAAAAAAGTGATACTCTATTAATAATAAAATTCTTTTTTTATGAATACAAATGCATCTTTTGACCTCCAATTTCAGAATAAGAGTCATTTATATTCAATGTTTTATTGCCCTTGTGCAGTAATTGAACCCTCAACACCAAATGGCTTTTCTTAAATGAGACAATTTTATCTCTTCAATTTATTTTACTATATGAATGCAATCTTTACGAACTCTATTAAATTAAATTAAGCATCATCAATTCCATTGTAAAATTAATTGTTCCGTAAGAAATGAATTTTTGTAAAAATTGCGCAGTTTTAGAGTTGTTTACTAAAAGTGAAAAAAAAAATTTTTCTCCTTTATTTTTTTTTTGAATAACCATTTTAATTACAGAACATTTATTTTACAAAAAAAAATTAGTTAAAAATTTTTAATAGAAAACATATTAATAAAAAAAAATTGTAACTGCCTATATATTTTTTTCGGGAAAAAGAAAAAATTTTTTAATTTTTAAACAAATATTATCAAAACAAGAAAGGGTGGACATATATTACATAAATATGATGTTCATTTCACAAACATTAAGCTTCCTCGCAGAAAATATTTAATTTAATTTACATTAAAAATTTTATAAATTTAGGTAAAATATATAGATCAATCAATTAGTTTCTATGTAAGGATTGCAAAAAATATTCAATTTTTCTTAGGCAGAAGTTTTCATTGCATATTCTTTGACAAAATACACCTAAAAGTGTAGAAAAAAATTGACAGCCAAATCCAAGTAGAGGAAGACACATATTACCACCAAAAACCATCCAAAATCATGAAAAAGTTGCCAAAAAAATTCAATTTTTCTTAGGCAGACGATTTTATTGCATATTCTTGTACAAAATACACCGAAAAGTGTAGAAAAAAATTAACACCCAGATTCGAGTAGAGGAAGACACATATTACCACCAAAAACCATCCAAAATCAAAAAAAAGTTGCCAAAAAAATTCAATTTTTCTTAGGCAGACGATTTTATTGCATATTCTTGCACAAAATACACCTAAAAGTGTAGAAAAAAATTGACAGCCAAATCCAAGTAGAGGAAGAAACATATTACCACCAAAAACCATCCAAAATCAAAAAAAAGTTGCCAAAAAAATTCAATTTTTCTTAGGCAGACGATTTTATTGCATATTCTTGCACAAAATACACCGAAAAGTGTAGAAAAAAATTGACACCCAGATCCGAGTAGAGGAAGACACATATTACCACCAAAAACCATCCAAAATCATGAAAAAGTTGCCAAAAAAATTCAATTTTTCTTAGGCAGACGATTTTATTGCATATTCTTGCACAAAATACACCTAAAAGTGTAGAAAAAAATTGACAGCCAAATCCAAGTAGAGGAAGACACATATTACCACCAAAAACCATCCAAAATCATGAAAAAGTTGCCAAAAAAATTCAATTTTTCTTAGGCAGACGATTTTATTGCATATTCTTGCACAAAATACACCGAAAAGTGTAGAAAAAAATTAACACCCAGATTCGAGTAGAGGAAGACACATATTACAACCAAAAACCATCCAAAATCAAAAAAAAGTTGCCAAAAAAATTCAATTTTTCTTAGGCAGACGATTTTATTGCATATTCTTGCACAAAATACACCTAAAAGTGTAGAAAAAAATTGACACCCAGATCCGAGTAGAGGAAGACACATATTACCACCAAAAACCATCCAAAATCATAAAAAAGTTGCCAAAAAAATTCAATTTTTCTTAGGCAGACGATTTTATTGCATATTCTTGCACAAAATACACCTAAAAGTGTAGAAAAAAATTGACAGCCAAATCCAAGTAGAGGAAGACACATATTACCACCAAAAACCATCCAAAATCATGAAAAAGTTGCCAAAAAAATTCAATTTTTCTTAGGCAGACGATTTTATTGCATATTCTTGCACAAAATACACCGAAAAGTGTAGAAAAAAATTGACAGCCAAATACGAGTAGAGGAAGACCCCTTTTACCCCCTATAAAGCGTTTTTCGTTAAAAAAAAATTTTCAAAAAAATTCAATTTTGTTTCCGACACTTTCAAAATTTTTATAAACGACAAGACTACAAAGCTTCCTCCACGAGGAAGCAAAATTAATTAACCTTTTTTAATGAAAGATAATAAAATAATAAAGAATGCTTTGAAATCTCAAATAACTTTTTTCAACAATCTCGGAGATTATACAAAATGAGAGTAAAAAGATTTTGACATTGCCTCATAAAAAAGGAAACAAATTTCATTAATAATAATAATAATAATTATAATAGTAATAATTATAATAATTTTTTTCAGATATTTTTTTCAAGAAGAAAAAATGTATTATTTTTTATAAATTCAAACTATTATTCTATTTTGTCGTCATTGTTTTCGAAAAAATAAATATAAAAAAAGTAATTTTTTTTTTATTTTCATATCGTATGCTTTTTTGATAGCAAAATAATGTGAAACGATAATAAATATAAAACAAGACTGTTGAACTCGTTTCATATCGCTTGAAATGGAACACTAATAATTAAAAAACTATTTTTTATTTCAAATTCATTTTCTGATTAGTTTGAATATTCTTGACTAACTTTTCAGTATATAAAATATAATATCGAATAAAAACGATTCGTTTATTACTTCTAATAAAAAGCAATAAAGTAACCAAATGGTTTAAACAATTTTTTCCGTCTCATTTAATCAGAAGTCACACTTCTATATAACATAAATTGTCGTGATCTTGAATTTTTCCTTCCACTGTTCATTTGGATATCGACCTTTTTGTTTGTTGCCATTTTTTTTCTATACAATCTACATAAAAAAAAAATTGCTCAAAAAAAATTTTTTTTCATTTCATTCAAATTAATTAAAATTTCCTAATTTTCGAAAAATTAAAGTGTTTTTAAAGTGAATAAAAAAAAAATAAAAAAAATGACAAGTCAAGACGATAAAATTCTTGAAGAAAAAGAGTGCATTGAAATAATTGAAAAAAAATTACGTCAAGAATCATTGAATGAATTTTATCTAATTTCCCATGAAATTGTTCAACTTGAAGAAGTAAAAGGATATATGGGACAATATTTTATATTAAGTGCAACAATTGCAAATTCCAAATTACCAAATGATGAAAGAAAAATTAAATTTTTCACCAAAATTCCACCACCAAAAAATAGTCCAATGTATGAATTTGATAAACAAATGGGAGCATTCAAAAAAGAAGCTGCATTCTACAATCATTTTTCACCAAAAGTATTTAATGGTATTTATAAAAAATTTATACCCGAATGTTTTTTTTGCACAAGAGACGAAGTTATTGTACTTGAAGATATGACACAAATTGGTTTTATGCCAATCAATAAATTTGTACCATTTGATTTTGATCATTGTACAGTGATGATAAAAACATTGGCTAAATTTCATGTGAAATCATTGATATTTGAAGTGAAAAATAAAAAAAATCTTCAAGAAAATTTTTCACATTGCATGAAAGAATCATTGTGGGATTTAAATAAAAGTTATTCAAAATTATTATGCGATGCTGCTATTAAGGGTGCAATTTCATTAGTTGATTTAATAACAGAATTAAATGATGAATCAAAATTGTTGTTTAAAAAAAAAATGAAGACACTGTCAATTGATCGTGTTTTAAAATTATCACCATCATTAAAATATAAAAATGTTTATTGTCATGGTGATCTTTGGGCAAATAATATTCTCTATAAATATGATTCAAATAAAAATCCAATTGAATGTTGTCTCGTTGATTTTCAACATGCGAGGTAAATTTTATTTTAATTAATTTTAAAATTAATTTTAAATTTATAAAATTGTGAAAGAAAATTTTTTTTTGCCTCAAATAAAGTGAATTTAATTTTGACTGTTAAAATTTCAGATACAATCCTCCAGCTCATGATCTATTGTCAGCACTTCATTATACAACGACAAGAAAAATAAGGGATGATTATTCAAATAAATTTTATAAAATTTATTACAATTCAATGGCAAAATATTTAATTCGTGTTGGTATGAAAATTGAGAATATTTTTCCTTGGGATGAATTTATGAAATCTATTGATGATCAAAAAATCTCATCATTGGTATTTGGGGTTTTAAATATGCCAATAATGTTATTGGAACCAGAGGCAGCAAATAAATATTTTGCCGAAAAACCCGAACTTTTGGAAAGTATTCTCTATGTTGATCGAACACCTTTGATTTGTGAACAATTTCAAAAAGTTCCACATTATAGAGAAAGAATTTCAGAAGCTTACATTGAATTGTACGATTATATTAATAAATTAGAATTATTAATATAAATTGATAAAAAAAAAAGAAAATAATATTAAACATAAAAAAATACGCATCTGACAAATATTGTCTTTTACAACTGATACTAAATTATTTTTTTCAGAATTCTGAAAAAATTCTGTCTGACTAAAAACAACTTTTAGTACTAAATAAAAAAATTTTCCTTACTAGACTTTTGAAAATTTCTATCTAACTAAAAATGTCTTTTACTACTAAATACTAAAATTTTCATTATTAAATTTCTGAAAATTTTTGTCTGACTTAAATCTTGTTTACTACTAAATACTAAATTTTTCATTATTTTTCTGAAAATTTTGACAGAAAGTAATTTTTGTCGATGTCAATTTGAAAAAAAATAAGGCTGACCAAAAATTGATATTACTACTGCAGAAAAAAATAATACCAATTTGTCTAACTAAAACTTACTTCTACTACTTATATCAAAATTAATAGAGTTAAATTTTTTTTTTTACTACTGACGTCAATCGTTACAGAAATTTCACATGACTATAACTGACTATATTACTTCTAAGATAAAAATTACAAGAATTCGAAAAATTTATACTATTAAAAATTAATTACTGATCAAAAACTAAAAATTTATCCTTTTTAAACAAAAAAAAGTACAAATTTTTTTTTAAAAAGTGTCTGACTAAATCATAATTTTACTACTGAAAATAAAAATTATAAAAATATGTAAATTTTGTTCCTTATGAAATTAAGTATTACACTCAGAAAAAAATTCGTTTGAAGCAATCAAATTTTGATTAAATCAACAAAATAAATGCATTGATATACAGTTAACCAAACATTTGGTTGGCATAAACCAAACGTTTATATTTAGCTCAATCAAATTTTTTCTTTGTTCAAAAAATTTATTAAAATAAACCAAACAGTTATTTAGATCAAATAAATATTTATTTGACTTAAACAAATTTTGTTTGAACTAACCAAAAAATTGGGTAAATATAAAAAAATGGTACATTTGGTTTTTTTTTCTGAGTGTAATAATAATGAATACAATAATAAAAATTTGAAATACTTTCCTCTTATTAAAACTTACCTTTTTCTACTTTACTTTTTTCTTTTAAAATTTTGTCTCGACAAAATTGTCCTCTGATATGAAAATGTCGAGAAAAAAAAAATTTCAATATAATATCTATACTATTAATAAAAATTTAATAGAAAAATTTATCAATATTTTTTTTTTTTGATTTCACATGCAAAATTATTAGAAATAAAAACCAATGAAGAAATAACTTTGAAAAGAAAGAAATTTTATATTTATTTTACGAAATACGATGGTGTGCGGAAATTTAAAGATCAATATACAAACTTCGTACTCGGTTTTTTTTTTTTTAAATATTTTATATATACACAAAAAAGGATCACATTAGACATTATAACCGTAGGCAAAAGGGGTTTGGGGTGGGTGTTTAGGAGAAAGGTTAAAATTGGCTTAGAATTTTTTTTTTTCATATAAAAAACTTCAATTGGGTATTTTCCATGAAAAATTGGGACAAACGCAGCACGGTTTTTTTTTTTTTTTTAAGTTTTATGTATATAATTATTTATATCATCAATTATAATGAATATAATTATGTACAATATTGAATCTCATTCTTTAACAATAACATCAACAACATGATTAAACAACGTTCCTCATTGGTACACAAATTGTAAATTTACAGATAAAAAAGCATTAAGATGAGGTCAATGAGGCATATTAAAGGTGGCTCACGCTCTGCGCGCCTATAATTATTATTATTATTAATATATTAATTTTTTTTATACATCTTAATGAATCCTCATTTTATTATTTTAAATCATCTTCTTTTTTTCTGTTTTTCTTCTCCTTTTTTTTCTTTTTATTCTTATATTTATATTTATATATATATATATAGATATACATACATACATACTATTCACATACATACACGCAAATGCAACCCACGAGATATGATTATAAAGGACGATGAATTGATTGAATCAGTGCATGATTTAATTATTATAAAGAGAGTGCGCGAATAATTTCTCGGCACCTCTCAGCGAGCTCTATATTGTGTATTACTGATTCGAGAATTTTATCTTAAAAAAAAAAATTGAATTTTTTTATATCGTAACATTTTTTTTTTTAAATAGAAAAATTATTATTTTCATATAACAAATTATGTTATTCAAATGATTTTTCATGGTAAAAAAAATGAGTTTTTGGAAAAAATTTAAAAAAAATTTTTTCTTTTCAAAGTAACTATAAATATTTAAATTTCGAATCAGCAATTGTGCTAGAAAGCTCACTATGAGGTGTATAAACACGATCATTCTAAACTTCTATACACAAGGCTTTCATATAATAAATTGATGAACGTCTTGTTTAAATCTAATGCACAAAAACTGTTTTTTCCTGTTTTTTTATTTTTTTTTTTGGTTTTGTAATTCCTTTAAAGCGAACAAGTTAATATTCATTTTATTAGCATTGAAAATATTTACCCCCCCCCCAAAAAAAAACAAATTAAAATATGATTTAAATTTTGAAAAAACAATTTTTTTTTATAAACTTTGTACAATTTTTTTTTTCTGTAAAATACCATTTTTTGCCAAAAGACAACAAAGTGTGTGAATATTTTAACAAATGTATTTTTTTCCATTTCATGAGTCATTGTTAGGAAAACATTTATCCAGGCATGTGAAAGAAGAAAAAAATTTTGTAAACAAATATATATATGATATGTGCATATACGATTTTGTGAAAGGCTTATCTTTACTTTTTTTTTTATTCAAAGGCTTTGGAAAACACATTTGTGATTTAAAAAATTAAACTAATGCTTATTTTTTTGGCAGTTTCTGTTGGTCTAATTATATTCATAAAAAAAAGTCGAACATTATTTTTAAATGAGTCAAAAAAAAAACACACATTTTAATGTTCGATTTTTCCTATATATAATTTTTAAATATAAGTCTTATGTTTTTTTTTTTGGAAAATGTTTTTTAATCTAAACAAAAGGTTGTTTTTTTAAAATGTTTTCCTAATTAACTCGTCATTCGTACAATAATGAAATATTTATTCATATATATATATATATTTTTTTATATTCCCAATGATGCTATGACTTTTTCGCTATAAAATACATTCCATTTATAATAATATTTTGTAATATATTAAAAAATTTAACAGTCCATAAACTGTGCTTTCTTTTTCATTGATAAACTATCCTGAAATTTAACTCGAGTTTTTTAAATTGGATTTTTATTTTTAATATTTAGAAAAATTTTACAGATTTAGGATTATGTTTTTAGAATTATATTTTTTATATAATTAATATAATTGTCTATAATATATATATATATAAACTGAGAAATAGTACGCATTTCTATATTTTAACAAGAATTCGAGATCAGTGTGCGTATATAATTAGACATTATTTTTATTACATTATTTACCTACAGTTAACAAGTGTCTAGCTAGATTTTTCAGTGATTAACGTCTAATAAATTAAATCTCATTTTTTTTTTTTTTCAATAAACTCAATTATGAAAATTCAAGATTAAATTAAATATTTTCTCTGTACAAAATCTCGCACGATTTTTAAGGAAAATTAGGCCAACTTTCCGTATTATGTACAAAAATAGTATTAAATTATTTTTTTTTTGTAATTTTCTTCTTTTTTTTAATAATAATAATAATAATCAATGGCATATTTGTGTGAAGCGTAAAAATGAATAATAAATACACAATAATTAGTCTTTCGTCTGAAGGCTTGCTTATAAATATTAAGATAAGAAAAAGTCTATAACATCAAGAAGAGGAATTTTATCTGTACAAGTTTATGTAAAAAATTGTTTTATAATAATATTTTGAAATTATTTTCGAATAATTTTAATGCAATTAAAAAAAAAAAAAAAAAAAAATTTAAAATTTATAAAGTAAAATGAGTTTTATTTATTAAAAAAAGTATGTTCTCTTTTATTGTAATTTGAGAAAAAAAATGAAGAAATTCTTAACCTTCTCTTCTCTTCGTATTTAATTTTTAAGATTTTTTTTTTAAATTCTTAAAATCATTTTTAAAAAAATTTATTACAATAGTAAAATTATTTTTTAACCTATTTTTGTATAAAATTTTTCTTTTCTTTTTTCATCTCTACAATATTATAAAGGAAAAAAAAATTATTATTTTTTCGAAAATTATTACAAGTAGGAGGAAATCATTATTAAAAAAAAAAAAAAATTCACACACTTTGTTGTACTTGTTCGCTTTTAATTTTCGCTTCACGTAAATTTGTATTATACGATTATAACACGAATTGCGGTGGCAGTGAACAGTGCACGTGGATATTTGCAGCGGCAGCAAACAGCAGCAGCAGCGTTAATACACGATATGCATATATACGAACATGGCAGCGTCTACCACAGCTATTTGTCTTTTTTGTTCAATTTATTTATTTATTTATTTATTTATTTTTTTTTGTTTTTAATCATTTTGTTTCCTCGTGAAGGAAGCATTGTAGTCCATTCGTTTATAAAAATTTTTCAAAATAGTGAAAACAAATTTTCCTCTATATAGAAACATATTAATATGAGATCCTGATCAATAAAATTTGTTAGGCATATTTATCACATTAATCTCTCAAAAATGACGAGAGGATTTTTAAAAATACCCAAAAAAAAATTTTATCGTCTTTTTTTCCAAAAAAATTTTTTTAATTGAAAAAAAGTTTTTAATAGAAAAATTTAAGGTAATATATAATATTATAATCGTCTTCTTTACGTCAAGACAAATCGATTAGTATAATATAAAGTACAGAATTGATTTAAATTTTAAGAATTAATAAAATTTGAAAAATCAAAAATCATGTATTATAATATGAATTTTAGCTAAAAAAATTTATGTTTTTTTTAAATTCAAGTTAAGACAAAAATAATTGAATTCCTTGCATTGAAACGTTGATTCTTTTATATATAAAGTATATGTTACATTCAAAATGAATTACAATTTTCTTAATTTTTCAAAAAATGTAATGAATTAAAATCAGTTTTTAATGCGAAATATTTTAAATCAATTAATTGAATTAGAGAAATTCATAGCTTCCTCCACGAGGAAGCAAATTTTTTTACTTCACACAATAGGAAGCAAAATGTTTATTAAATAAACATAAAGGACCCCCTCCTTGTTTTTTTGTTTTTATTAATCGAACCCCCTTTTTTTTTGTTGTCTTAAAATCGTTATACCAAATACAACGCTGACACCGCATCAGCGATTTTAATAATCATAATAATAATAATAATAATAATAATAATAATAATATATTTGTAATAATAATTTAATCGCTGCTTTTTTTCATCAACGTTTATCACGTGTACGTTCATGTACGAGTGTGCGAAAAAAAAATGTAACTGTTTATATATTTATATTAATATTAACAATAATTAATAATTAATTAAAAATATTAATATTAATAATAATTAATTAATAAAAGTAATTAATTATTATAATATTGATATTACTTAATAGTATTAATAATAATTAATAATTAATTAATAATATTAATATTGTGATCGCAACAGAGACGCGATTACCAAATAAACGCGTACCTGCGCGTGAATGTCGTTTATCATTTTTTTTTTTATATAGTCGTTTTTATTTTTTTTTTTTTGTATATATGTATATGTATATATATATATTTATATTATGTATATACATATATATATATATATATAAAGAACATTGGTATATTTACATACGTGAGTTTCACAAAAATATATAAAAGAGAAAGTGCCTATGTATATACATATATACACACATACATATATAAGTATACATATATATATGCGCATATACACGTACGACGTTTATGTATATATTTATAATATCCCGCTAAATAATCGATTTATTTTTCAAATCGTGTGGAAAAGGGTGTTTTTCTTAATTAATTATATATATTTATATATATATATATATATTATATACACAGATGGTGTACATTAATTTTTTTTTCAAAAATAATAAAATATTCCATTGGGAATTTTTTTTACTTAATGTAAATTATTTACATAATTTAAATGATTTATATTTAATTTTACATCATCTGAACATTTAAATTTTATTTATAAACATAATTTAAAAATTATTTAAAAATTATTTAAACATACCTTAAAAATAATTTAAAAATTATTGAAAAATTATTTAAACATACCTTAAAAATAATTGAAATAATTCATAATAATTTAAACATAATTTAAATAATTTATAATAATTTAAACATAATTTAAATAAATCAAAATTTGTACAAACATAATTAAAATTATTTTAAATTTATTTAAATGTAATTTAAATTATTTGAACTTAATTTTAATGAAACCATATTTTATGAATTGTATTTTATGTTTAATTAAAAAAAAAAAAATGTATACCATCTGCGCATATAGATCCTGTACAAAGTGCTTGATTGAAAGTTTCATTAGTTCTAAACAAGACACACGAGGTAAGATTATCAAGTCCCGCACTCTGCTTCCCTCTTATTTTCATAACTGACTTTTTTCTTCGTCTTTATGTGCAATTATTTTGAGGACACGTTTTTTGGTTGTTTTTTTTTTCGAGTATATAGTGACAGCTCTGCAATTGTCAATTCCTCGGCATTTCTTCATTTGCATCGCTGATGGGTAACAGAAGGTGTCGGAGATGGTAAATCCTTTCGGTTTTCTTCTTTTTTTTTTTGCTTCACACTCGATAAAAGTCATCCAATCACGATCACTCGACGACAAAAGACGAAATTGTCGCTTATACCATTTTACATATATTTATAATTTATCTTTATATTCATATTATTTATATAACTAAAGAGTTCTTTGTGTCCCTCACCTTTTTTTTTTCTTGAGGAATGACACTATTTAATTTTTATAATCCATTTCGTGTAGCAGCCCTCGGACTAATCATGCCTTTTTCTTCATCTTTTTCCGTACCCGATTTTTCTTTTCATCATTTTTTCATTGCTCCACTTTTTTTTTGTTGGTAAAATTCTTTTTTTCTTTTCTTCTTTTTATGAAAAAAAAAATTATTGTTTTTTTTTTCTTGTTGAAAAAATTAAATGATTGATGATTTCTGCGATATTGGCACGAGGAGGAGTAAATTTGATGTAATTTGATAATATATCGAAGATATTTGAGGGGAACAAAAATTTTGTTGATAAAAAAAAAAAAAAAAAAAAATGAAAGTTTCCTGGACTGGAGAAGAAGTTGAAGAAATATGTCCTTGACAATGATGATTGTAGAAGGCATGAAATTCCCAAATATTTTGAATTTAAATGTAGGAATATGGTCCATCTGTGAGGGCGCTACACAGCAACAGTCAGGAGGCGTCATCCTTCCCTCTGGCTCCTCTACTTGGCCTGTACTCCAAGCCTGGATCAAATTGCATGAGCACGAAGACCTATTCAAAAAAAAAAAAAAATACAAACATTTCAATAAACTGCAAAACTTGATAAATATTTCGAAAAAAAACTATAGAAATTTTTTACAAATTACGGAAATATTTTTAATTCTTGTTATTTTAATAAATATTTCAAAAAAATTATAGTAAAAAAAATGTGTAACATAAAATTTTCTAATAGTTTTAATTAATTTCAGTAGTACAAGACAGTTTTAGTCAGACATAAAGTCTATGAATTACTGTAATTTTTATGTCAGTAGTAAAAGGTAGTTTTAGTCAGACATACAGTTTTCGAATTGATATAATTTTTATGTAAGTAGTAAAAAATACTTTTAGTCAGACAAGGTAAAAATAAAGTCTTAAAATAAAAAAGTATTTCGAATTACTGTAATTTTTATGTAAGTAGTACAAAATAATTTCAGTCAGACGAAATGAAAATAAAATAGTCTTCGAATTAATAGAATTTTAATGCCAGTAGTAAAACATAGTTTTAGTCAGACGTAGAGTTTCCAAATTTCAATAATTTTAATCCCAGTAGTAAAACACAGTTTTAGTCAGACAAGAAAAATATGTCTTTGAATTACTATAATTTTCTTTGTAAGTAGTGAAAGACAATTTTAATCAGACAAAACTATTTAACTTTCTTTTTATTTCCACATTAGTAGTAAAAATCACTATTAATTAGACCAAATCCTTGAAATTGTAATTATTTTTTCATAACAGTAGTAAGAGTCAATTTTAGTCAGACAAAAGTCTTTTTTACCGCTTTTATTGTAAATAAAAAGAAGAAATTGCAAAACAATCACCTGGTCAGTAGGCAAAAGTGTGAAGTCATCAGGAGGATTAGTAATAACATATCTCTTCGAAGAGGCGTCGCATGATGAACTCGTGTCCCGAAACCTATAATTGAATATGGGACAAAGAGAAAAAAAAACAACAACGATTAATCCGATAATTCAGAAGAATTTTGCCACACCCAAACTAAACTAAGGATTTAATTGAAAAAATATATATATATAAAAAACTAAACTAAATAATTTGCGAGAGCAACTAAACGCTAAACAAATAGACGTGACGAAGACAAAAAATTTTTTTTTTAAAAATGATATTTTTTGGATGAAACAACTTACGATTGTTGCATGGTTTTTTTTTGTTTTTTTTTTTTTGTAATTTGATTTGATTTGGTGGCGTGATGCAAAAAGGCAAAATGCAAAACGTGTGTGCCAAAAAAACTCAAAAATAGTCGATAAATAGTAGAATCATAAAATGACAATAACAATATATATATATAATAAGAACAAAATAGTGAAAGTGATTATATATATATATATATGTAAAATGTAATAAATATTATAATCCATTATTTTGTATATAAAACGTTGAAAAGGGGGGGGGGTATAATCCAATAAATACCATCGAAAGAAAGAAAGTCCGATACCTGTACCTGTACAGACCAATACACAGCATTCCATAAGACTTTAATGCTGCAACAAAGAGGTCACCGTACTTGCCTCCTTCGCCATATTGAGCTAATGGACCATCGTACAATGAGATTTGTCCAACTCTACAACGATCTCTATTTGAGAGACTATCTGTCGTACTGTAAAGTAATAAAAAGAAAAAGATTATTTTTATTGATAATGCACTACACAAAATTTTTTTTTTAAATTTATTTTCTTCTTTGTATTGATATATATATTTTTTTTTTAATACCAATTGAAAAAAATTTATATACAATTTTACTGAAAAATTGTATAGTAATTGATTCTATAGAATTCTATATAAAAAAAAAACTTTTTCCACTTGTAATATTTGTTTGTAATTAGTGTAAATAATTTGAAACATACCTGTAACCACCTCGTAAACCAGCGCCTTCAGCTAGAATTAATTCCAGTTCAGGCGTTGCTCCTCCAGTGATTAACGATCGAATAAGCGTCAGAGCATTTTGGTTGAAATATGTCTGGAAATATTATATATAATATTAATCAATATAATAAATATTTAATTTTCTTCTCACAATTCACATGATTATTTAATCTAATTATTTTTATTACTACGATAATAATTATATATTTTTTTTTTATTACGAACCGTCGACATCAATGAGTCGAGAACACTGACAGCAAAGGCAGTGCCACAAGCAAATGGTTGTGTGAGGTAGAGCTCAGTATCGGGGTCATCATCGTCATCCTGATCCAGAAACTGTACATTGCTGTCATTTACAAGTTCTATTAAAAAAAAAAAGAAAACATCATAAAAAATTAGATCACAATTATTAAAATTATTTTTTTTTTCCTAATAAAATTTTATTTACCTGTAATCATGGGCACATTTGCACCGTAGACCGATCCTCTTCGTTGAAGAACAATGGGGCTACCAACTGTAAAATAAAAAATGCGATAAAAAAATAATAATTTTATTTTAAATAGAAAAATTTGAAAAAATAATACCTTCTCATGTGATGAGAATGTAATAAAAGGGGAATAAATTTTTTTTTTTTTTGGAATAGTTAATTTGAAAATAACTGTTTTTTTATAAGAGAGAAACATATTAATTACCTTGACTAAGTACACCGATAGTATCATCAAAAGTCATCGCCTTGATGTTAAGGGATGCGAGGATGGCCTCCTTGTCGGCGAGGGTGGGGTCATCGTTGCTAGGCACTTTTGCCGACAGGATACAACACATGTCGCAAAGATTTACGTTCACGGCACGTAGATCTGCTCTGCTCAGCGGCGAGCCCTAAATTACACAAATTATTCTTTAATTTATTGCATACAACACTAATATATAATATATATTTATTTATATAATATAATTTGTTTACTATAAATTATAATTTGAGAAGTTAAAATTTTAACAAAAATAATCCCCTACAATTTAAATTTAATATTTAAATATATATTTTTTTATTAAAGGGAATGTTTAAGTAATACGTAGCATCAAATAGGGGAAAAAATAAATTTATAATTAGATTGATTTTAATTACTAATGCAAAAATTAGAATAATTTGTACCAGTCTGACTAAATATTACTTCTACTACTGATAGTTAAAGTACTTTAACCACTAATGAAAAAAGTAATAAAAATTGTGTCTGACTAAAAATTATATTACTACTGACTAAAATGAATAGAATTAAAACATTTCTGTCTGACTTAAACGTACTTGCACTACTGAAACTTAAACTGTCTTTTATAACTATTAATAAATTAACAAAATTTTAATTATGTCTAACTGAAAAATACTGTTACTACTGATTTTTACTACTACTACTAAGATTAATATACTTTAGACCTTTCTGTCTGCCTTAAATTTAGTCGTACTACTTATACTAAAACTGTCTTTCATCACTGACAATAAAATAAAAAAGAATTTTTCTGTCTGACTAAAATTTACTGCTACTACTGACTTTTATTACTTTTAGTAAAATTAAATTTGCTACTTTTAGTAAAATTAATATAATATAAGTCTTTCTGTCTGACTAAAAATTAGTTACACTACTTTTACTACTAATGAAAAAATAATAAAAATTGTGTCTGACTAAAAATTATTCCTACTACTGAATATTACTAATTCTATTAAAATTAATTGTATTTTAACATTTCTGGCTGACTTAAACTTGGTTGTACTACTGATACTGAAACTGACAATACTAGTACACAATTGACAATAAAATAACAAGAATTTCATTGTCTGACTAAAAATTGCTTTTACTACTTACTCTCACTACTTTAAAATTATTAAAATTATTAAAGTATTAAAATTATATTTTTTTAATCTAAATTTTTCTGTCTGACCTAAAATTATTTCTACTACTTATTTTAGTTTCTTTTATAATAATTGGTGTAGTTTCAAGAATATAAATCATTCTGTCCGACTAAAAATTGTCTGTACTACTTATTTTAGTTACTTTTACAATTAATTTCTACAATCACAAGAACAGAAATTTTTACGGCTAACTAAAAATTATGTTTACTACTGATAATAAAATTTCTAGAATTTAAACAATTCTGCCAGAATGAAAAATTAATGTTATTACTGTCTTTTTCTACTTTTACTAAAACTAGTAGAATAAAAAACGTCTGTCACTAAATATAAAGTGTCAGTATATATAAAACATAAAGTCTGAATGTAACTTCTTTTTTCTACTAAATCGAAAAAAAAAATTTCAAAACTACGTATTACATGAACGATTCCTTATTATTAATAATAATAGAGAAAAAAAATGTTAATTTTTTTTTGAAATTTTGAAAAATTTCAAAAACATTTTTTTCCAAAAAAATTAAAAAAAAAAAATTCCTTACATTTAGCACCGATATTTTTGGCAGATTCTGTAGCATTTTCCACTCGCGGCGGATATAGTCAACAGATCCAACTATCACAACATGTTTAAGCTCGTGATAATGAAAATTGGAAGCTCTTAATGGCATGACAAGGTTTCTCAGTCCAATGAGGGGTGAATCGGGATCAGCAAATAGACAAACGACAACATGTCCATTTAAAACAGTCATTGCCGCTTGATTACGATCCAGAATGCAGTCTTCCAAATTACGTGCAGGACTCCAATGAAACATACCCGTTGAGTCATATTTCATTTCAGTTTTTTCAAAATCAAAATCCTTTGCTTGATCATCAGCAATTCCAACTTGAAGTCCAGTATTGTTTAAATTTGTACCACCTGAAGCCCTACTCGTTGGCCTGTAAATATTTTACAAATTAAAATTAGAAAAATTTTTTTTACGTGTATATATATATATTTTTTTTTTTCCGAAAAAAATCCACATTAATAAAGGGTTCTCGTGTGCAAATAAATTTCAGGCAGGTTTTTTTTTTTTTTTTTTTTATACTTTTACCTAACATTTAGACGCAAACCTTCAGCTACTACTTGAAAATTTAGTTTTTTTTTGGAGAATATTACTAAAATTGAAATACTATATTAAAGAACATGATTAATTAGTTTATTAATTAATTACATAAAGATTATTATTAGTCTAATTTATCTAATTTCTTGATTTCTATAAATAACTAAAAAATTTATACCAATTTACAGAATGTAATTAATTAATTTTGTAGACATAATTGTGAGAAAATTTATAGCTAAACACTAGGTACAATCAAAAATTTGAAAAAAAAAAAAAAACATTTGAACAGAGACTAATTTTTGAATATTTGAAAAAAAAGAGGGAGGGGGGGGAGTTAACAGGCCTAATAAGCATGGCTCATGCATAATATTTTAATTCATAATGAAATTTTGGTTTTCAAATTATTGCGTTACACTAAAATTGTAACTACTTTTTTTTCTTGAGGTATGAGAAATGATCCAAATATTTTGACATTTAGAAAAATGAAAATTTTCTAACTATAAAGTATAAATTCTATTATAAATATACCTGTACGTATCCATATTTCTAAAAAAAAGAAAAATAGCCAAACACTGGTCTCACGTTTGCTGATGGTGACAATTAAAAAAAAAAAAAAAAAAACTTATTTATATAGAGAAAGTCATCCTAAAATTACTATTTTTTATTAATATTATTATTTCTACAAACATCGCAATTTATCATTAAAATATTTTCTAAGTTTCTAATTTTCTTCTAAAACTGTAAAAAGACATTAAAATTTATCAGGACAGAATCATATTTATTATTTTTTCTTTTTCTTTTTTTGATATTTAGTTTTTCTTTACAACTCTCTAAATCTGAATTAGTAAAAATGTTTACTAATTTAAATTAGTTTTTTGCTTCTGAATTAGTAAAATTTTACTAATTATTAGTAACTTTTACTAACAATTAGTAAAATTTAACTAATTCTAAAGCAAAAAACTAATTTAAATTAGTAAACATTTTTACTAATTCAGATTTAGAGAGAATGTTAGTATATTTTATGATTCTGTCTTCTGTATACATGGTAATATTTTATTTAAAATAGAGATTCATAAAAACATGCAAAATTTTTTTTTTTTAATGCATCATGCAAAAAGCAATAGCAAATTTATTATTGCAAAAAAAAGTTGGTTTTTTTTTTTAATTCTACAGGTACTAAAGCCATCACGATATAGCACGTTACAAAAAACGTGTAGAGAGAGAGAGACAGAGACAGAGAGAGAGAGTACTTATAAAAAAAAGAGAGTGTTAAGGGCAGAAGCGTACATGAGTTTTTTGACTTCGTAGGCGAGATGGTAGCCAGCGTATGCAGACTCCTCTTGCGATCTGGAATCAGAAATTGAGCGTATGCCGTTGATCCCCAAAAAGCCTGTTTTTTCTCAATTAATTTCACTCTGTTTATTTTTTATTTTTTTTTTTTTCAAAAACAGAAGTAGAAAAAAAAATTATTTCTTTTTCACGCTCAATATTTTATTGACCGCGCTCATTATTTTCCATATATATCCACTGTCGAAAGAAATATACACTAAAAAAAAAAAATTATATCTTGCGCGCAAACCACTGCATTGCTTCGAATATTTTACTCATTGGAGCCTAATACGTGCAATTGCATTCAATTTGCGCCTCTATTAAGCTCAGTTTCATTAATGCATTTTCACAAAGAAAAAAAAAATTGTTTTCACATTCCTTTTACAAAAAAAAAAAACGTTTTTTAATAGTAATTTTGTGGCAAAAGTTTCTTTTACAATTTATTTTTTTGACTTTCCTTTTTTTGCAACAAAATTTTAATTAATTGTTTTTAATATTTGGGTTTTTTCTGTAAAAAAAAAAAATTAGCCTCCAATTCGAAATTTCGAGGTTTTTTGAATGAAAAAAAAAAATGAAGGTTCACGATTATGAAAATGATTCTGGATCGCATTGAAGCAGCTCTGGATTATTATTCACATTAGTGAGAGCTTAAAAAATTGAAATTTGATTATTTTTTTTGGGGAAAAAAGATTTTCTCCCAAAAATTTCATGCGATTAGAAAGGAAAGAGTGAAAAACCGAATATATTTTGTGCAATAATCGCTATATATGTAGAAATTTAATGTTATAGTGACCGCGATTAGCGTGATAAGAGCTGTAAAATTTTTATAATAGAAAAAGAGAATTGTGATATAAAAAATATAGTAGTGAATTGTAGATTGCGATAAAAATCACTCTTTATAAAGCTCTCTACAAAAAAATATTTTCACGCAAATATATATTTATATAATTTACAAGATGTAGAAAATAATGATTTATAAATTTATTTATAACTATTTACATAGTAAATTTTAAATTAATTTAAATTTAGAGAAAAAAAAAAATTTATTTCGAAAGTAGAATTTTTCTTTAGTTGTATTTTGAAGAGAATTTTTTCTAAAAGAAAATTTACATTCGTTATTTTACAATTAAATTCAATTTTTTAGGACAACATTTATTTTTTATTTTTAAAAATTAATTAATTATTATCCATCATATGAAAAATTCTAAAAATCCCTCTTGTAAATCATAAACCACTAAAAGTGATTGTGAATTTAAAAAAATTGATAAATACCAAAATTTAGTGTTTCTTACGTGTTATTTTACAATGTAAATACAGAATTAAGACTATAAAAAATTTTTTTTTTTAATTTGCACTGAAAAAATTTTAAAACTTGTTGATTATAAACAAAATTAGAAAAAAAAGATAATAATAATGAAAAAAAAAATTTTTAATTTTCTGCTCTTAAAATATTGTTTTAACGAGAATATATTCGTGAATGTGAAAATGAGCGTCACAGATATACATAGATATTTATAATATTTATAAGTGAAAATAATGGTGATAAATGACAAAAGGTGAAGGGTTGTGATGAAAAAATGCAAAATACGTGTGTGAACAAAAAAAAATGACACAATGGGGTATCAATTTTTTTTGTTTTTTTGTTTTTGTTTTTTTTTTTTTATTTATATACGGTACCTTTGATTGTACGGTTGATTGGGACTTGATAAACTATCATTGGTGTTTCTATTCACATTTGGCTTCACTTTGTTGACTTGTTTCGTTGAGTTCATCATCGTCATTCCTACTGAATTTCGATGATTTCTCATGGCTGAAACACAAATTATTCACTGATTTAATGAAATAATGAGTTATTGTATTTTTTTGCAAAAAAAAAAAAAAAATTGAGATAAAAAAACAGAAAAACTCAATTAAACATATTTTACTATGAATTTTGTTATTTTTATTATTTATTTTTTAATTTTTAATCAATAACTATAAAAATATAACAAAAACTTTTGGTTGGATTCTAAAGAACTACGTTCAAGTATTATGTACTCGGAAATCAATTAATTCTTCTCTAATTAATTCCCATTACAAAAGATTATTATTATTTCTTCTTTTAATTTTAGTACCAGTAGTTAAAGTCAGTGGAAATAATTTTTAGTCAGACGGAGAGTAAGATTTTTTTAATCACAGTATTTTTAGTAAAAATAAGTAGTAGAGGTAATTTTGAGTCAGACATAGCGATTTAAGTACCTGAAATTTTCGTATGAATAGTAAAAAATCAGTAAAATAAAATTTTAAGTCAGTGGTAGAAATAATTTTGAGTCAGACAGTGATTTATATTTTTTTTATTTTAGTACCAGTAGTACAGTCAAGTTTTAGTCAGACAGAAAGTATTTGATTATTTTTTTCAACGTTAATATAATCAGTAGTAAAAGTAATTTTTAGTCAGACAATATTTAATTTTCGTTAAATTTGAAATTCAGTAGTAAAAAATCAGTCACATTTGCACTTAGACAAAAAATATCAGTAGTATAAACTAGTCTTAGTCAGGCAAAAATTTTGGAAATAATTTAAAAAACTTAAATCGCTCTATCTGACTTAAAATTAATTTTTTCTACTGATTAGATTATTACTAGTAGTAAAAAATAGTTTTAGTCTGGCAAAATAGTTCATTTTGTTGTAATTTTTCTCGTCAGTAATAAAAATGATTTTCAGTCAGACAATTTTTAAGAAAATGTCCTAATTTTTAGTAGTAAAATACAGTTATAGTCAGACCAAATGGTTTCCCTTGTAATTTTAATGAAAACAATATATATATTTCTTTCTTTTGTTACTTAATACTTGAACAATCCCTAATGATATCGTCGTTAAACTTTATAAATGTAAATATAACGATAACGAGTTACTTGTTAATTAAACGAGACTAGAACTGCTCATTAAATTTTTTAATATCCACAAATATTTTACAATTTCAAAATACTTTTATTCATAGTTTTTTAAATAGTAATTAAATTTAATTAATTAATTTAATTCATAAAAAATAGTAATAATTTTTAACTTATTATTTTTATTTTACACATTTTTTTTCCAAATAAATTTCAATATTTTTTTATTTTATTCATATTTACATTTCAATTCGGAAATTTATTACAAAAATTTATGTTTTATTTCTGTGTACCAAAAAAAAAAAAAAAAATTAAAACGAGATCATTGCCCGGTCACCTATATAAAAAATAATTCTACCTCTGTATAATTGCAATTGCTTTTAGTTCATACGAGTGTGTGAATTATTATATATACGCATAGATCTTTGAAAAATTAAAAAAGCAGAGCAATTAAAAAAATTCTCCTTTAGGAAAAATGTTTTTTAATCAGTCTCGTTATTTATATTCTATCGCGTGATAGTATTTTGATTTTTGAATTTTTTTTATTATAATCACTTTTTTTTAAACTTATTTACTTATAATCAAGAATTTTTAATTAAATAAATAAAATAAGAAATTTTTTTCTGATAAAAAATTCGTGAATTTATAATTATTATTTAGAAAATAATAATCACAGTTTTTTATTATTTACTCCAGTTATATGTTAAAATATGAGTTAATTAAATCTTAAAATTAATGGTTTTGAAAAAAAATCGAGTGCAAAAATTGGGGATTAAGTGCGTTAATTAGTTAGTTTTTTTTTAGTGTGATCTACTACAGGTTTATATAAATATATATAAATATATACATATTTGTATAATAATTAATAATAGTTATAATTTATAAATTATTTATTAATTTATATTTTTTTATAATTTATTTATAATTTATTCATAATTTATAATAATTATTAATATATATATATAAATATATATTTATATATTATATGGAGATACGTGATTCTACGTGAGGTTGAAAACAATATTTTGTAGATCACAGCTTACCATTCGGATCGTCTCGTTCGCGACTGATTTCACCTAAAATGCACAGAGCATAATTAGTCTTAGTCTAAATGTCTAATATTTATTATAAATAAAAAATTTGTAAATTAAACACGTTGATTAAAATATCGAGTGCCACTGTGATCGTGACCTAAACTCCCCCCCTTGTACTGCGCAATGCTTCATGTATCGACCTACAGCCCCCATGCTTACAGGCGCGCATACCTCAATCCGATCACTGTCATCTTTTTATATAAAAAGAATCCTCTTAAATAAAGAAATTGCCAACAGGCATTATTTTTTTTATTCTACACAAAAAAAATGTATATTGAGAATAACATTCTATATTAAAAACAAAAACGAAAAAAAAAAAAAAAACCTTTTTTGTTTGAAAAAAATTATTTCACTTATTTGAAATAATTACAAATTCACTACATAAATACAAAAATTTATTTATTTTTTACTTTTTATTTATTTTTGAATATTTATATAACTTTATTATTTATTTACTTTCATTATTTAATTTTATAATTTATTAATTTGATTTACTTTTTTAAATATTATTTTAAAATATGATAATTGGTGATATTTTTTTTTCTATGAAACTATATATCTACTTTTAAAAGTAAAAAATTTCTATTTAAAAAAAAAAATAATAATTTTTGAATATTACTAATATTTTGTTTTATAATATATAAAAAATATCTTAATATTTTTGAAGGACAGAACTGAAGCATGCGCACAGATACATTTTTTTTCAAAATATTGTTCGTAGTTTTAATCTAAATCTAAAACTATATAATTGTGCTTTTTATGTCAAATACTATTTATAAATATAATGTGTGTTTACCTACAAACTATTTTCTAACTTTTTATTTTTGTTAAATGTATTTTTTTACTCCAGTTTATAAGTCAGTGTGAAAATAAAAAATTTTTTTTTTGCATATAGTAAAAATTACAGTATAGAATTTTTTTTTAAACAAATAAGAGAAATTGAATATTAAATTAATTTTTACATTTATATAAAATAATATATTATAATTAACAGAATTTAAAAAAAAATATATCTAAAACTCTTAAAAATATTACGAAAAATTAAAAAATTTCTTTTCTAAAATAAGTGTAAAAAATAGTCACTCGTATGAACTTGTTATAGTGAAATGTCATTTTGAATATATTGTTATTTAGTGTAATTCATGCCTCTACCACATTGAGTCTAAAATTTTCTCTAATATTAAATCAAAAAATATTAAATTCTAATCTAATAAATACATAGATATATAATATAGATCATCAATCATTACTTTAAAAAATGACAATATACAAAATACATAAATTCTCTCTCCGAATAATCCTCGAAAATAAATCCAAAAATATATATTTTTTTTTTTGGTTCAAATTCTACTTCTATATTCTACATAGATAGAAAAAAAAATTTATTTCTCTATGAATTCTGCCAATGTTAAATTATTTTCAAGTTAAACTAATCTTGCAAAATAAATTTTTAAATTAATTTTAAATAAATGAAAAAAAAATAATTAAAACTTTTAATTCTATTCTACTATATATATTAAATAATTTTTAATTCTATTAATTATTCAATTTTACCATTAAAAATATAAATAAAATAATAGAAAATAATTGTTTACTGCAAAAAAATGTTAATTAAAAAAAAAATAACAAAATAGATTAAATAAAAAAATGTGAATTTAAAAAAAAAAACGAAAAATTATTCCAAAAGCTCGACGAAATAGAAGAGAGAATTAAAAATCGGATTATAGGTAGCGAACTGTATTTTAAAATAATGATCGCGAAACATTGGAGTCTAGCTTGTGAGACTGTATAGCATGGTTTTTTTTTTATTTTTTTTTTTTTTTTGACTGAGGTTTAACTGTACCTCTCACGTGAACCATCTTGGGCAGTTCTGGCGGGGTGAAGGTGGGGGGAGGATGGTGGTCGTCTGTAACAAACCACTACACATGTTAGCTACCCTACTTAAATACCTAATGCCTAATAACAACAAACTACTTTTTCTATAAGGAGAGAATGATTGCTTTTCTTTTTAATCAAGACTTTTTTTTTTTCTTTTTTTTTTTTTTTAATTGCCTTACACTCTATTGATTTAATTCTTGTTTCGAAATAAAATCCAAATTAGGTCAATAATAATAATTATGCTAAAAAATTCCAGAGAGAGAATAAAAAGTCTTTTCAAAGACGAGCAATCTACTATAATAATTGATCTAGTTTTGAAAGACCAAAAAAAAAAACCGTTCCATTTACATAAATATTCTAAATTTTTAACTCTAGAATAAATTTAAAAAATAAACAATTTTTAAATTAATAAACAAATCATTATTATTTAATTTATTTATAATTGATTTACAAGTGTAAAATATGTTTTAAAAATGGAATTATTTTTTCTTGTGGAAATGAAAAGAAATGACATATTTAGAATAAAAAAAAAAAAAATATATCAGTTATTTTCATTATTTAAATTTTTGAAAATAATTTTCATTCCTGTCTTTTGCAAACAAAAAAAATTATGCTAATTATAAAGTTAATTTTTTTTTAGACTATTTTCAATTATTAGGTCATTTAAAATTATTTCACAATACTTGGTTTTTTAAATAAATAAAAGAAATTTTGTTGCAAAAGTCAGGAATAATTTTTTTTTCTTTTTTTTTTTTGGCAAATTCATAAAAGATTCTAAACACATGCGTCGTGCTGAGAAAAAATCGCAATATCGAATCTCGACGAGATGAAAAATATCACTTATCAAAAAAAAAAAAAAAACACCTTTTCGAATATTTTACCTAAACAAATTTAAAAAATTTGTATAATTTCAGAGTATTTAAAAATTTATTTTTTCAATTTAAATTATTTTACAAAATATTTTTTATGACGTTAATTATTATTTTTTCAAAGTGACATATTTAATCTCAAAATAAAAAAGAATCGCAGTAATTGTAATCATTGCTATTAAAAAAAGTTTAAACCTACAGTAAATTTAAAAATTAAATTTAATATCGAAATGTGTGTATGTGCAATGCGTGCACTAATTATAAACATTGTGCAAATAATTATTAATACAGAAATTGTGATAAGTGTGTCTACGTGCTTAAAAATAAAAATACTTTTGACAAATTGAAAACAAATAAAAAAAACAACAGAAACATGCAAGAAGCTCGGAAATTTGGAAAAAAAGTGCAAAGTGCAGTTTAGAATTTAGCATAATATATATATATATATGTGAGGCTAGAAAAGTTTTATTTTTCCTGTTCTATATAGAAAATATTAATTTTTATCCCTCACGATATTATTATTATATTGCCTATATATAGATTTTGGCGTGCGAAATACCATTTAGCTATTAATTTTGGCTTATCATAGTGGAAACCACATGAAACCATATTCTACTTATAAGCACATATTTACCAGAATTTAGAAAATTAAGTTTTGTTTTGTTTAAAATAGTTTAAATAGTTTTTTTTGAAATAAAAGAAAATTTAATCGAAAATTAAACTTTTTTCAAAAATAATTGCAAATAAATAATTATAAATATAAATATAATTAAAAATAATTATAAATAATTATAAACAATTATAAATATAAATAATTATAAATATTTATAAACAATTATAATTAAATAAAAAGCAAATTGTTCTTAGAAATTTCAATGTTTTTATAAAATATTAATAATAAAAAATTGTTTATAATAATATTTCGTTTATTTTAACATATTTGAGATTCCCTTACAAATTCAAATAAAATTAATCAGCATGTCTCTATTATTTTTTTACCTTAAAACAACCTTTTTTACCTTAATAAAAACCTAGCAATTGAACCTAAATTGCAGTAGACTAAGTATAATCAATTTTATTCAATTTTTTTGAATAGAATGTTTTCCTGGAAAATGAAAAAATTCCTTACAAATTCAAATAAAATTAATCAGCATGTCTCTATTATTTTTTTACCTTAAAACAACCTTTTTTACCTTAATAAAAACCTAGCAATTGAACCTAAATTGCAGTAGACTAAGTATAATCAATTTTATTCAATTTTTTTGAATAGAATGTTTTCCTGGAAAATGAAAAAATTCCTTACAAATTCAAATAAAATTAATCAGCATGTCTCTATTATTTTTTTACCTTAAAACAACCTTTTTTACCTTAATAAAAACCTAGCAATTGAACCTAAATTGCAGTAGACTAAGTATAATCAATTTTATTCAATTTTTTTGAATAGAATGTTTTCCTGGAAAATGAAAAAATTCCTTACAAATTCAAATAAAATTAATCAGCATGTCTCTATTATTTTTTTACCTTAAAACAACCTTTTTTACCTTAAAAAAAACCTACCAATTGAACCTTAATTGCAATAGAATAAGAATAATCAATTTATTTCACTTTTTTTTGATAGAATGTTTTCCTGGAAAATGAAAAAATCCCTTACAAAGTTAAATAAAATTAATCAGCATGTCTCTATTATTTTTTTACCTTAAAACAACCCCTTTTACCTCCAAAAAAAACCTACCAATTGAACCTAAATTGCAATAGAATAAGAATAATCAATTTATTTCACTTTTTTTTGATAGAATGTTTTCCTGGAAAATGAAAAAATCCCTTACAAAGTTAAATAAAATTAATCAGCATGTCTCTATTATTTTTTTACCTTAAAACAACCCCTTTTACCTTCAAAAAAACCTACCAATTGAACCTAAATTGCAGTAGACTAAGAATAATGAATTTTATTCCATTTTTTTGAATAGAATGTTTTCCTGGAAAATGAAAAAATTCCTTACAAATTCAAATAAAATTAATCAGCATGTCTCTATTATTTTTTTACCTTAAAACAACCCCTTTTACCTTCAAAAAAACCTACCAATTGAACCTAAATTGCAGTAGACTAAGAATAATGAATTTTATTCCATTTTTTTGAATAGAATGTTTTCCTGGAAAATGAAAAAATCCCTTACAAAGTTAAATAAAATTAATCAGCATGTCTCTATTATTTTTTTACCTTAAAACAACCCCTTTTACCTCCAAAAAAACCTACCAATTGAACCTAAATTGCAATAGATAAAGAATAATCAATTTTATTCCTTTTTTTTAGAAAGAATGTTCTCCTGGAAAATGAAAAAATATCGTAAAAAATGTAACAATTGAACTGTATTTAAAAAAGAATAAGAATAATCAATTTTACTCTATGATCTGTAAAATTATGCGCCTGAAATTGGGTATGTAATTGTTTATTATAAAGAAACCAATCCCGAAATTTGGTAACACAATTATACAACTATGACAAAAATGAGAAAAAGAATTTTCAAAATTTAACACTGTATATCATTACAATTCAAAAATTACGTGAAATCAGTAAAGACCAATTTCAAGTTAGAACTGAAGTACAGACAAACATTTTATTATTATATAATTTTATATATTTTCTATTTTATAATTTAGAATAAATTTTAAAATGTTTTATCAAAATTGTGATTTTTGACTACAAAATAGTTTCGAGTAATTTGAATTATTTTTACTTTTATTTAAAAAAAAAATGGATTTTAAAACAATGTAAAATTTTCCTTTTTCTGGTAAATGTGCAATGTGCATTTAATGAGCGTACTACCTCTTCTGTATAATTGATATCGAAAATCCTACTCTATTTGCGTCATTACAACAATAAAAAAGAAGTTGTAACTATTTTTTTTTTTTTTTTTTTTTTTTTTTTTTTTTTTTTTTTTTTGAGTCTTGTTATAAATGTGCTTGAATACACCAAAGTATCTTTTCCCATTTTTAATTTTTTTTCTTTTCTTTTTTTTTATTGAACTTACTTGCGTACGAGAAGTCTTCACCTAAGATGGTGGTAGTAGTAGTGGTGATAGTGGTAGTAATAGTAGCAGTAGTAATAGTAGCAGTAGAAGTAGTAGTAGAGGACGTAAGGTACGGACAAATAGACACACAAAGAGTTAGTTGAAAAAGTTTTGCGTTTCAGTCGACTGTTTTTTTTTAAATATTATAGATTGTGACTATGTTCGTATTGTTTTTATATAAATGTGTTAAAGTCCATAAATGTGAGTGTAAAAATGTAATGTTTGGCATTTTTTTGCATTATATATAATTGTGATAATTGTGATTTTCGTGAATTGACTGATAGTGATTGTGAGTGTATTTATATATATATATTTATAATGAGATGCAGTGATTTCACAAATTTGACACTGTGTATACATACACATCCCATATTTTTACTATCTATAAATATATATTTACTATTAAAAGTGGATCTCATATATATTGTCAACATATATTTATATTTTTCATGAACAGGCTCGAACTCTAGTATTTAATAATTTAGAAATTTTTTAAATAATTTAAAATTTATTTTTTTGTTAATTAAAATATTTTTTTTTTTTAATTTAACTGAGTTCGAGCCAATGCACAAGAATAATTGGAATGCCAATAAGATTAGAAAAATATTTTTAGAAAGTAAAAAATTACTACATATGAAAAATATTATTGATAAATAATAAATTATTAAAAAAAAATAAATTATTGAATTTATATTAATTCTCATTTCTCATTGGCAATATTCCATTGATTTATAAATATTGTTTTTAAAAATATTTGATATATATTGTCACAAGACATTTTGTACATTGAAACACGTCTAGACACATCAGATTCTCTGGGTGATTTGAAGCGAATTTTATCACACACATATATACAAAAAAAACAACAAAACGAGTTGATCTCAAATTTTTTTTTTTATATTTTAATAACACGAAATGTACACGTAATACCGAAAGTCTAATTCTAGTGTTCTAAAAAAAAAAAAATTTTACTCCGACTGGTCATGATGAGAAAATTTTCAGCGAGAATTTTTTTTTTTTGGAAAAGAAAGATAGAAAAAAATTCATCAAAACCCAATCGACAAAAAATCCATTGAAAAAAAACACATAAATTTGTATATATATATATCAAGATTACTACATTCCGAACGACATTTATATAATAGTTAATTTTATATATATATATAGTTGCAAAAAAAAAAATAATTAGAACAACACATCAAAAAAATGAACACTAAATGTATATATATTTATTATATGACAAGAGTAGATGGGACAACTGTCGACGTCTTTCAAAAAATTGACGATAACAGAAACGTACATTTTTTTTGTTTTTGTTTTCTATGAAAATTTATTTATATTTAATTTTGTTTTTATAAAAAAATAATTTGATTTTTTATTAACAAAATAATTTTATTTTATTATTATATGAAAAATTATAAAAATTTTTTGTATTTTTTTTTATTTGTAAAAAAATGATAATTCAGGAAAAAAAATATACGTTTCTGTTTACGTGTAATTTTTTTTTTTTTAATTGAGCTGACTTGGACATAATCTCTTTATACCTATTGCACACTCATTATCACGCGAGGAGGGATGAGAAACGGAAGTTGTCTGTGTCGCATATAAAAGGTGGATATACATATATATATATAAACGAAGGATGGCAAGAGTCATTAGAGAAGTAACTTTATCAGCCAATTAATTTGACATCGATCGTATGTTACTAAACAACAAAAGGCTTCTTGACACAGTAACTATATGTTTTATTTAATAGGAGGGGGCGGGGGAGGGAAACGAGATTCAAAAATCAGGTACCAGAAGAATCCTGAATTTCTTTGTTTTTTATGACTCTTGCCATTCAAAAACTCTCAGTGGATGTCCTAAAAAAATGTTTCAAGGACAACCGCTGTATTTAAAAATTTTTAAAGACATTAAATAAAAACAAAAAAAAATGTCTCTCCGTTCATAAAATGAATGATAGATAAAGGATAAAAAGGGCAAAAAAAAAAATCGTTCTGAACTGGTCATCGAAAGTGTCAATAAAAAAAAAAAAAAAAACAGAATATCAATTTTTTAATTGGCTATAAACACCGAAAAGATTATAAAAAAAAATATCATAAAAAATCTTTTCATTTTTATAAATAAAATTTAAAAATAAAATTGGTAAATTTAATTTGTAAATAAAATTGGTAAATAAAATTTGTAAATAAAATTTGTAAATAAAATTTGTAAATAAAATTTACAAATATACATCTGTACAAAAGGGCACTGCCCGTATATATTTGAATAAATAAATATAATATAATATAAAAATACAATTTTAAATTTAAATTTTAAAAAATAAAAACTACTTTTCTGTATAGTGTGAAAAAAAAGGTAATAAAAAATATTTCTCTGTTATATAATTTTTAGAAAAAAGTGATTTTCGTTTTGAGAAAAAAACATATATAACCCGAGTCGAAATTTTTCCCTCTTTTCACCCTCGATTTTTTCAGCCTCTTTTCAGCCTGAAATCATGCGGTTATTTCCAAATCTGCATGTTTAGAGGTTGAAAAGAGGTCTTGGAATTTTTTCTTAATTTGAATTTTTCGAAGTTTTATTTTTATAGTATTACGACAAAGACCAATAAATATATCTTCAATAGGGTCAATAAATAATGTCCATAAGAAAAAAAATCCAATTTTTACATTTTTTTAATTTTATTTTTTCGTTTTTTTAACCTCTTTTATGCCTCTCTAGTCATCTTTAAACCCCTTCTTTCAGCCTCCAATATAGCAGATATTTCCACTTTTGCAAATTCGAGGTCGAAAAAAGAGGGTATGAAAGTGTTGGGAGAGAATAAAAGGAGGATAAAAAGGAGGTTTTTAGAGAACTTATAGAGAGTTTAAATTTCGACTCGGGAATTTTGAAGTAAAACGATTTATGTACGAGAACCAGTGACTCGTTTTTATCAAGACAATAATCGCGTATAAGGGAATATGGAGCGCGCGGTCAAACTTCACGAGTCAATGAATTGGAAAAGTGTAAAAAAATTGTTCGAAGGACCAATTCAGTGAGCGACACATTAATGAAAAATTGAGAATTTTCAATTTATTTAAAATTTAATTTATAAATGAAACATTTTTTTGGGAAGAGGGAGGAAAAAAAAAAATGATAAGTGACACAATCTACTCTCGGATTTTTTTTTTCTTGGGTGGGGGGGATACGTACTTGCTCTTCCAACCATTTGAACAGCTCGCACGCCTTTCCGGAATGTGGCCACTGCCCGAAGGGAGAAGAAGAAGCAGAGCTGTTAGTTCTTCACATCAAAAGTTAGTCGACCTAGATTTCGTGGGTCAACTGGGCGGGTAAGGAGAAAAAGAGAGAAAGAGAGAGAGAAAGAAAGAGAGAAAGAGAGAAATTGAGAGAGAGAGAGAGAGACACACATTTATACACAGAGAGAAATTTCTCAAGTCTTCATCGGGCAAATTAATCACATAAACATCATTTCCCCAGGACTTGTTAATTTCCTCTCAAAACTTGCTAATGTTGACATTAAAATCTCACCCAACATAAATGAAGTTATATTTACGACGGCATTTTCAACTACAAGTTTCTTAAATTGCTTTAAGATTTTTCGCAGGGAAATTTTTATTAAGAAAATTGTTAATTTAGAAAAAAAAAATTGTTCGTTCTTTTAATATAACTAATTTACTAGTAAAAAAATTATTAATAAATAAATTTATAATAATATAAACAAATAATAAAATTATTAGTTTATTAATAACTATATTAATTAATACTACTTTATTAACAACAATTAATATTAATAATAATAATAATAATAATATATATATATATATATGTATATGTATATGTATAATGAATATTATTAATTTAAATATTTTAGTAACGATTAAAAAAATTACTATTTTTTATATAACTTTTGAAATATTAAGAATTGTTACTAAAATTACTAAAATTTCATTAAATTTTGTATTAACTAATTCAAATAGTCAAATTTGACTATATTTTCAGTTATTTTTTAACTAATAATTAGTGATTTATTTTAATTAATAAATAGTCTTTTTTTTACCAACTCTCTAAATCTGAATTAGTGAAAATTTTTACTAATTTGAATTAGTGACTCACTTTTTGCTATTGAATTAGTTAAATTTCACTAATTATTAGTCAAAGTTACTAATAATTAGTAAAATTTTACTAATTCAATAGCAAAAAGTGAGTCACTAATTCAAATTAGTTAAAATTTTTACTAATTCAAATTTAGAGAGAATAATTAGTTGCTTTTTAAACTAACATTTAGTCATTTTTTAACTTAAAATTAGTTATTTATTTTTAATAATTAGTTTTCTGCTACTAATAATTAGTTATTTGTGACTAATAATTAGTTATTTGTTACTAATAATTAATTATTTGTTACTAATAATCAGTAATTTGTTACTAATGAGTCATTTGTTGCTAATAATTAGTAATTTATTACTAATTGCCGAAGAAAAAGTCAACATCGATTTTACTAATAAATTAGTTATTTTTAAGTTTTAACTAATCCAAATTTAAAGAGTAGAATTTAAAAAAAAAAAAAAAATTTTTTTTTGATGAAAACTTGAGTTCAGGTATTTTTGGATAAAAAAAAATCTCATTCATTAACACTCGACGCAATCATAACTGGATGGAGTATATAAATGATAGAATTTTTGCTCTAACAGAATAACATATTTTCTATTTTTTTTTTAAATTATTTTGAATGGATTAATGTTTTTTAGGGTTGTTACAGTAAATTTTACACGATTTAAGAAATGCATTATTACAAGATGATTTTGCTTATATATAATTTATAAGAAAGAAAATTGGATGAACAGTCAAAATAAAAGTTAGTCAAATTTCAAAAATTTTTGTATTTTTAAATTTAAGAGAAAAAAATATTGTCAACAAATTTTTTTTTTCACTGAAATTGTAAAGAATTTAATTTTTTTCAATTTTCAATTTGTTAAAAGGTACATTTTTGATAAAAATTAGTGAGAACTAATTTAATTTTACACAATGTTGCCTAAATTGTTTTTTATTATAAAAAAAAAAAAAATTTGTAATTTAAATTTTCAAGTTAAAAATTAAAAAATTGTTTTCAAATAAATATAAAAAAAAACTAACTTTTTATTCGAATTGTTTGTCCAATTTCGAAAAAAAGGGAAAAGAGTAATTTCATGACTCGAAAAATTTTAAAATTATTTAAATAAAATAATTTCAAGAGCCATGATTATAAATAACAGATTTTGTGAATTAAGGGAAAAAAAGATTTTTTTTTTTCTGAAATGGAAAAAAATTAACTATAACAAAAGGTTTGACATTGTAGAAGGAATGCGACATGATGCGACATAATTCCATTGGGATTTTTTTTTTGGCAGTGAATGATGTTAAGTTTTGTATGCGTGTCATAGGTATATATATATATATGTATTTAAAGTTGATTGGGATGAACGAGAGACAAAGAGACAAATAGAGAGAAAGAGAAATAGAGAAATAGAGAGAGAGAGAGACAGTTAGAGAGTTGATCAAACGAGAATTGAGAATTATGAGGGTAAACCCTGGGCATCAAAAGTTCCTCATTGCTCCTAATGATGTCAGTTTACCTTTTGGGCATATATTAGTTTGCGGTTAATTGGCACGATTAATTAAACCACTTTCATAGACAGATTGCAACGCTCTGGAGTTTGAGATTGTAATTATTACAGGCACTATACACCCAGATTTCTGGGGAAATGTGTGAATATATATATATATATATACATATATATATATATAAACATACACATTTGCACGGCCTTTCAGGAACTCTGCTGGGAGAAAAATATTAAGCGGGAGAATTTTTTCACAAAGCAAAAACAAAACCGTTATCGACCCTTGTCGCTCCAATGGGATGCACTGTTTGCTCGCTAAGTCTTGCAGGCTTGTCAATTTTAACTAATCGGGAGCAAAAAAAAAAAAATTCAAATAAAAAGATTCAAAATCTACAGCGCCAATGTAGAAAAAAGTATATTTTTCCTTTTTTTCTAATTTCCCCTCTCATTAAGCTCAACTCAGATTTTTCAGAAAGAAAAACAGTTTTTTTTTTAGTAAGCAAAAAAAAAAAATAAATGAAACGTTAAACACAGAACACGACCCGAAAAACATTTATTGCCACAGAAGAAAGAAAGTTGATGAATAACACAAAATTTTTAAATTACAAATAAATTAATAATTATTAAATTAGTAATAAAATTATTTAATAAATAATAAAGTTCCTTAAATATATTTAAAAAAATAATCATTAATCATAATTTATTATGAATAATAATAAATTGTATTTTTAATAATTGTAATTTAATTAATAGCAATTTATTTATAATGGTCCATTTTTTTTTTAAATAAGGACATTTATTATATAAAATTAAAATCAGTGAAACAAATTAAATTTTTTTTTTTGTTAAACACTTGTGTAATTTATAAATAAAAACCAAAGCTTTTTCTTTTTTTCTGTGATGAACATACAAAAAGAAAACGATAATCAAGAAAATATAATTAACGTGCGATATTAAAATGCATTTCTGCAATAAGCCGGTGCATAGCGATATATTTCACGTTCTCAAAAAAAGTAAAAAAAAAAAATTCGAAGCTTAAATAAAATTTGCCTTTTTTTAAAAAAAAAAAAAAGATATGTTATGTCATTATAATAACGATTTTTCTTTTTTAACGCATCGAATAATCGATTTATCGCGATTCATTATTCTCAGGCCTCAGGTCATGTGTGCAATTATTGCATTATAAGCAGCCTGTTTAACTGCTTGCAGCTTTTGCCAAAAAAGCTTCACGATTTAAGCTTGAACTTTTATAAAGCTTTATGACAATTATTAACAATAATAACACGACGATTAATGGGATTATTTTGTGAGGGGAAAAAAACGGGAAATTTGAGTAGTTTTTCTTTTTAGTGGACAAAAATAAAAAAAGAAGACAAATTTAGGAATCACAAGACATACACTGGAAAAATTTTAAATCAAAGAAAACAAAAAAACTTTCAAAAAGATTTTTAATGAAAACTACTCATTTTTTTTTTTTTTTTTTTTTTAAATAAAACGAAAAGTGAAAATTTCTGCTCTCATCAAAATTTCAATGAAAATTTAATCATTCAAATCAAAATCAATCAACTAAATAATAATTTATTATTATTATTATAAATAAAATAAGAATTTATTAACTAAAAACTTTTATTTAATACAGTCAATTAAATTTTGTATTAGAAGCTGAATAAAATGAAAATTTAAATTAAAAATTAAGAAAAAAAAAAATTGATAAAAGAAAATTTAAATTTTCTAATAAAAAAACAAATTTTTTATTCATTTCTCGATTTGATTCAATAATAATAATAATAATAATAATAATAATAATAATAATAATAATAATAATAATGATAATTATAATAATTATAATTATAATAATAATAATAATAATAATAATAATAATAATAATAATAATAATAATAATAATAATTAAATTTATTCGAACAAAGTAAAATTTTGTGGGGAAAATTTTTTTTTTTTTTTTTACTGAATCGTGCAGAAATTTTTCACTGAATTTTGAATTTATTTTTTTGTAAATTTTTGAAAAACAAAAATTGGGAAAGGAAAAAAAAAGAGGATAATGGAGACACGCGTACCGTCAAGGTATCTGTGGCAGGTGGAGTTTCCTTTCACCATACCCGTCTGCATCATCATCATCCCCACATCTGCAAAAATCCATTGATGAGCCGCCGGACACGGGGATTTTTTTTTTTATCATTAAAGAGATTATTAATTTTGCATTATATAAAATATTATAAAAATAGGCGGAGGGGCGAGGGGGGTAAAAAAAAAATAAATGGCAGCGTTGCTGGCAAATGAGTTAGATATATGCAACAGCACACCGTCATATTAGATGACATCAATAATATATATACAATATTTTTGAATCCATATTAATTATATATACTTAAAAAAAGGGGAAGCTGAAAATATTCCTGAAATACCTGATTTATAAAACAGAATTCTGTATTTAAGGGGAATTCTGCATTTTTTTTTTGGTAAATAAAAAATTTTTTTTTATAGAAACTCTCATTTTTTGTACCTTTCGAGAGATGATGATTCCCAAAGAGAAAGTAATTATATTTTATTTTTTTTTAGTGAAAAAAAGAAAGAAAAGTGAGTAAAAAAGTGAAAATTAATAAAATTTTGTGTTTTAGATAAGAAATTATAGAAGATTGTAATAATTATAATTGCAAATTTTTTTTTTGATTTTTTCTTCTGTTTTTTCAATTATTTGATTTCTGCATTCGCCAAATAATTATTTAGAATTAAATTAAATAATTAGTCTTGAGTAGACAAAAAAAAAATGTTTGTGAATAATTTTATAAACATGTGATTTTGTAAATATATAATTGTTAAAAAAAAAAATTTTATTGAATTTAGTGTAAAATGTAGGAAATGTAAAACTAAATTTGTAAAATTTTTCAAATGTAAATTTTTTTTGTCAAATGTTTTGTAAAATCAAGTATAGTAAAAATAATTTTCATAATAAATAATAATTTTATACTAAATTGAAAAAATTTTGTAAAATTTCCTAAATATTAATTATTTATCCTTACAGTTGTTTTGATAAAAAAATTTGTTTTCTTGATATATCACAAAGTGTAAAAATTTAACCAGATCATAAAATTAAGTAGCTTTAACTTAAATAAATAAGAAAATAGAATATAAAAATATATACTAAACTTTTTAGAAGGAAAAAAAAGCACATAATTGGAAAAATTATTTTAAAAAGCTTTGTGTTATATATATATGTTTAAAAAATTCGCGAAAGCTATATATATATATATATAGTTATAATTTGGACTGCCCAGGGTTTAAAAATGTAAACAATTTGTGATGTATGTGGCGATTTTTGTGTGATTTTTGTTGCGTCTGTGTATATTATTAATAAAGATACAATAACGAAGGAAATTTTGTGATCTGGAACTAAGGGCCTTTCGCAATGCGAAACAGAGAAAAATGATTGTTCGTTATTCGTAAAGGATTATAGTAAGAATGCTCGTACAAAGTTTATATAGTTAAAATAAACACCTTTTTTTTTTTAGGAAAAATTTTACGATGGGAATATTTAAAATAAAGGACTTTTTTCTATATTTCGTTTTTTAATTAATAATATTAATTTTCGATCACCACCTGAATATATTCTTAAAAATTCTTTTTATGTAATATTGTACCATGAAAAATTTATATGAAGATTACTGTTCCATTTTTTTTTCAAATGACCTAGATTTTTCAAAAAAAAAAAGTAGTTATTTTTCTCTCAGTGCAAAAGTATATTATTTTGATTTCCTATTTAGATTAATATAATTTAATATTTATTTTTAATTTATTAAAATAAGTTTTTCAATTAATGAATTTTTTTATAGTTAATTATATTTTCAAATTTTATTTCCCTTTGAATTACTTTTATACAATGATAATATTTACTATATTATCCTTTATTCCTTTCACTCTTAAATTGGAAATTTGTTGAATAAACCATTTATTGGGATATAAAAATGAGTTATAGAATGTATGTGCAGTGTTTGAAACCCTTGTTACTTACTCTTTTACTTGCGTAAAAAAAACACCCTTTTATCTCAAGAGAATATTTTTGAATTTTCCTTATCCCATATAATATAGATCCAAAATGTTATAAAATATTTTACATCAGAATAAAATATTTTATTTTCAAATAATTTTTTCAAAATTATTCCTTTTTTTGTTTTTAATTTCAAAAATATGTTTGTGATCGAAAAGAGTTTCTTTAAAAATTTTCCAACTTTCACATAAATATCAAAGGGGTTTTTTTATTCTTTAGGGACAATATACTTTGCATACTTACTAAAAAGCTCATTTTTACATCATCTCGAATAATTTATTCAAGAAGTCAAAAAACAAAGTGTGGAAAGAAAAGAAAATTTTTGCATCGCAAAGGATTGACTTTTTGTAATAGGGTCAATAGCATTATTTTACATTTCCTGTTTATTTATAGACCAAGTGGAAAAATATTTTATCGTCTTATCATTTTTTATTTCCTTTTTTCGAAATTATTCATCTAATTTTTTAATTTTTTAATCAATTAATAAATTATTAATTTTACCTACAACTTTGATACTGAATTAATTATTTATTATTTTATTAATAATTAGTAATTTCATTAATAATAAATTATTTTCAAATTGTACTGACTAATATTTTTTTTTTCAATTACATAATTTATGGAAACAATTTTTTTACGTTTGCACTAAGTGGTTTGCAAAAATAAAAATAAATTGAGCAATATTTCATAGCGAAAAAACGAATTGAACCTGAAAAAGATTTTTTTCGAATTATAATATTATAATATGAAACTGATCTGTTTTTTTTTATCATAAATAACAGCTGGTTACATGTTAGATCGCTTATTATTTATTTTTTTTCGAGACTCCTTTGGTGCCAATAAAGACCCAACTTGAGAGGCTATATATCATGCATGCAAGGCGGACGAGAGGTGACACACTAGAGTGCAGGCTAATTTCCTTATATAAATCGGTCAGGTGGACATGCGCCAGCTGACTGACACTATCAGAGGAAAATCGGCGGGGGTTTACATGTCACATGCTTCCTCATAATGTTTCATTTTTCACCATTATACACAATTGCTCAAAAAAAAAAAGAAAAAAGAAATTATTTTTTATTATCATTTACCGCTTTTTTTTATAATATTTCACCGAAAATTTTTTTAATTCTATAATTTTTATAATATTTAATGAATAATTTTTAGTACTTTTGTACTTTTTTTTTGGTACTTTTGTAAAAAAAATTTTTCAATGATTAATTTAATGGAATTTTTTTAAAATAAATTATTTAAAAACTACTTCCCCTTTGAAAGAGGAAGAAAACAGAACTAAATGTTAATTATATCCGAAATAAAAAAAGTAAAAAAAAAACTATTTATAGAAATCGCAATCAATATTGTGAAGAATGAAACATTACCCGAGCAGCATTCCATTTATATTAGTGTAAGTATGTCGAGTATATATATATATATAAAGGGAAAATGCAGCTTTATTCATCGCCATTTTTATTATCACCATGATCAATTAACGTCATCACCTTGGCGAATGCAGGGAACGATTATATATAGTGTTTTTTTTCAAAAAAAAGGTCACGCAGAGAAATATAGTGAGGTAAAAAAAAATATTAGAGAGAATAGTATAAGGAAAGAGAAATGTAAAGTAAAAAGGCAAATAGAGTTAGAGAGAGAGAGAGAGAAAAATTAGAAAGTGAAGTAGCCAATCAAAAAAGTACGGCATATATATATATAGAAGATTCAAAAAAGACAAAAGGGAGAGAGCAAAGAGATGGTGAATATTATAATAGCTGAACAAAAGGACAAGAGCCAGATCGCAGAGTGAAAATTAATAAAGAAAAAAACGAAAAATAAAAAAAAATAGTGTATATATAGAGATATATATTAATGTATATATATATATATATATTAAAGTAGACGGTAGTAAATTTCCAGAGTAAGCGAGCGAGTGAGACGTTACCTAAGTCCCGGCCCCAGGAACGCTGCTGTTGCCCCACTAGATCATATATCACAATAGTTTTGTCACAACCATGTCACTTTTCTCACTGTCACAGTAATTACTGATACGGCTCTCAAATGCTACAGGAAATTTTATAGAAGGGTGGAGGGGGGGGGGCCTTCAGGAAGAGGACTTCCTATTCTAATATTCGTTTTTATTTTCTTTTTTTTTTTTTAATTTTCTCTAAATAAAATGTTTCACAAGTCACGTGAGTCACACATTTGCAATTCTTTTTTTTTCCAAAAAAACAATTTTTTTTCTAATAATTTAAATTAATATTATTAATAAATAATAATAAATTATATAATATTCTTAAATAATAATATTAATTATTAATTATTAATTATTAATTATTAATTATTAATTATTAATTATTAATTATTAATTATTAATTATTAATTATTAATTATTAATTATTAATTATTAATTATTAATTATTAATTATTAATTATTAATTATTAATTATTAATTATTAATTATTAATTATTAATTATTAATTATTAATTATTAATTATTAATTATTAATTATTAATTATTAATTATTAATTATTAATTATTAATTATTAATTATTAATTATTAATTATTAATTATTAATTATTAATTATTAATTATTAATTATTAATTATTAATTATTAATTATTAATTATTAATTATTAATTATTAATTAATTAAATAATAATATTATTAGTGCGCGTGTAAATTATTTTGTTTTTTTGTTTTTAATTTTTTAATTTTATATTCTTTTTCGTGTATATATTTAATTTTTTTCTACAAAGTTAATTTTAATACGAAAATGTGTCATGTGACTTGTGAAAATAATTTCTGCTTTTTATATTTATTATTTTCTTTTTGAAAAATGAGAAACAAAATTATTTTGAATATTATAAGGGGGAATTTTTTGGCAGAAATTATAATTGGGTGGGAATTTTGATATATAGTATAAAGAAATTGATTTTATATATTTTTTTTAATAAAATAAAAAAAAAAAATTGTAAATAGAATAAATTCATGACTTACAGTTTTTACACTTGCATTTCTTGATTAAGGTTTCATCCTTGATGTCCTCGTGACATGCTTTACAATAGAACCAAGCTCTGAAAATAAAAATAGTAATTATTTATACGTATTATATGAAAACAATTTTTTTTTTAAAGAGAAAATCAAATTTTTTACTTTATAGAATTAAAAATTATTTATGAATGAAATTTAATTTTTTTTTTTGAAACATTTACATTTTTGCAAAATTATTCTTATAAGTAGTGATAAAAATAGATTCAGTTTAAAAGAAAAGGTTTAAAAATTGTTTATCAGTAGTAAAAGACGATTTTAGTTAGACAAAATGATTTATAATGTTGTAAATTTTCCCTGTGAAATAAAAATCAATTTCGATAGGAGTTTCTTTTTAACTTTATATTCAGTAGTAAAAGTTATTTTCAGTTAGACAAGTTTAATATATTTGTTAAAATATCAGTAATAAAATTCCAGCTCAGTTAGACAAAAAACATTTAAAAACTATATTGTAAATCAGTAGTCAATTTTAGTCAGACAAATTATATTTCTCTTAAAATCAGTCGTAAGTAATTCAGTAGTAAAAGTCAATTTTCTGTCAGACTTATTAAAATATTTCAATTCTCTTTTCAGTAGTAAAAATCCTACTTTAGTCAGACGAACTTATTAAATGCTTCTCTTTTTTAGTGTAAGTAGTAAAAACGTGTTTTAGTCAGACAAATGTATAAATAATTTTATATCAAGAATCAGTAGTGAAAGCATGTTTTAGGTAGAAAAATTTGAATAAATTATTGTATCAGTAGAAAAATTGTGTTTTTGTCAGACAAATTATAAATTTCTGTTTATGAAAAATCAGTAGTCAAAACATGTTTTAGTCAGACGCACATATTAAATTCTTCTTTTTCAGTATAAGTAGTAAAATAAAAATTTAATAAGACAAATTTATAAAAATTATTTTACATTAAAAAAAAATCAGTAGTAAAATCGTGCTTTAGTCAGACTGCGGTTAAAATTCTAGTAATTTCACTAAAAATTGTAAAATTAAAATTTAAGTCAAACAAAATTGATAGGAAATTATGAAAATTTTAAATAATCAGTAGTAAAAGTAAATTTCTAGTCAGACATTTCTTTTTAATACTCACCTTTTTACTTCGTCGGCCGATTGAGCAATGAAGAATCCCTGAGTATTAGCAGCGATCTTGGCACCTCTTGGATTAATCGAGATCTTACTGTCAGCACCTGCTTCTCCTCCTTTAATCTCGATAGCGAGCAGTAGAAGCTTCAATTTCGTGAAGCATAATCTAGAATAATTTCATGACTTGTAAATATTCATTTTTTTTTTTTCACAAACATTTTCAATAATAAGAAGTATATGATGTACATGCAGAATGTGACCAAAGAAATAATAAAGTTTTTTTATAAATTATTTTTACTTTAAAAAAATGTGTATTTAATACTAAATTTTAATTGTCTTTGCATTATAAAAAGAGTATATATAAATGTCAACAGTAGCATAAAAATAAATACGTCTTTTAATTTTATAATTGAACAAACGAGTATTTTATTATTTCTCATGGAATTTATCATGTATCCCAATACTTCATTTCACTATATAAGATTTAAAAAAAAAAATTTAAATTAGTATTTTAGTATTTAATTTTCTTCAAACAAAAAAGGAGATATAATATTTTTTTGTAATTCAGTGCTTGATGTTTACGATTTTTGGAAATTGATAAAGTAAAGTTTAACATTATTGGAAATTTTTTTCAAAAATCAAAAAAATACTTTTGGCAAATCTATACAACGTAAAGTAATATTATTTATAATAATAAATAAATAATTATTACTTATAATTTTTCTAATTAAATTTCAATCGATATTAAAAACAGTATTATTTTATTATATTAATTTTTATTTACTTTTTATTTATTAACAAAAAAAAATGTTAACCTTTACTATTAAAAATAAAAAAAAAAAAAAAAAAAAAAAAGACAACACAGTGATGGAAATAGTGTACATATAAATGATGAAAGTATTTTTTTCAACTACAATTATAAAATAATAAATGTATTTTTTATATATTTTGTGAATAAATTGACAAAATGTTTATAAAAAAGAAAATAATAATCTGTGTTGTCTGTATTATGATTTGTGAACAAACCTGTATTTTATATCAATATATAAGAAGTTGTAATCGATGTTGTGTGAAACAGAAGTAATAAGATTTATTTTGTGATTTTGTCGATTATTATAAATGATTGAATTTTCTACATAATGTAAAAGCGACACTATATTTATATATATATTCAATATATGCACAAACAATAATATATAGCGAAAGCAAATGCAGAAATATGGCGTGAGAACATATCAAACATACCATGCAATGTGTTGCAAGTTGAGTAAATTTAATTCAAAAAAAAAATTAATTTATTAATATTACATTTTTTAATTTAAATAACATTTTTAATCGCATAATTAATTTCCGCTTTTTTTAAAATATTTTCATTTTTCTCTAGAACATAAAATTTTTTTTTTTACAATAAAAAATAAATAAAAATAAAATAAGACAACTGTGTAAATTTAAATAAAATTTATATCTATTCATCAATAATGATTAAATTAATAAATGATAAAGAATATATATATTTATTTATAATAATTTATATCAGTTAATAATAAATAATGTATTAATAATATATTTTTATTGTATATTTAATTTTATAATTTTCTAAACTTCGAAATTATTTCTTTGAATATAACAAAAAAAAAAATTTAATTTAAATAATTAAGTTTAATACCATAATAAAATTAAAAAAAAAAATCGCCAATACAATTTAAATTATTTAAAATTTTTTAATTTAAAATTAAAAAATGAATTTTCAAAGTTCAACGAAATATTTTATGATGAATTTAATTTGTGCATTGGAGGAAATATCAGGCAATTATTTAGAAAATAATTTTCTATTTACCAAGAAGCCGAAGACATGCGAGGAATGGAAGATCACTAATAACAGCTGCAATTTATATCTAATATATTGTCACTCTGCTCTAAATCTACATATATATATTTATTGTTATAGGCTGGCAATAATATAACGGCGAAAGGATCACTACATTTTATAATAATATAGGGAAAAAAAAATTATATGTTTTAATGATATATATAGATAACTAATAATATAACAATAATAAAAAAATAATAAAAAAAAAATAATACAGGTCGCAAATATGAACTCGTATACATGGGATAAATATGACATATGTATACGATAGGTTACGGATGAGAATTAAAACTATCTAGAGGAGATTATTATCTAAAAAAAAAAAAAAACAAGAGGGAATATATTTTATATATTATAGGCTTAATACTCCCACACACGCAAACGAAATATATATAAATATCGTGATTCAGAAGTGTGCCAAAAAAAATTAAATCAAACCTTCAACCAAATCCATAACTATTTTTTTTTTTTTTAAAAAGTAGTGCACTGCTAAAAATTTTTTTTATTGCTTTGTTTTTATTGACAAAAAAAATTACGTTTCTTCTTCAATTATATTTTATCATTAAAATTATTCCTTATTTTTGCAAATATATGATAAATTTTGAAAATTATTCAAGAAGCATTTTCCATTAATTGCTCTCTAAATCTGAATTAGTAAAAATGTTTACTAATTTAAATTAGTGACTCATTTTTTGCTTTAGAATTAGTTAAATTTTACTAATTGTTAGTAAAAGTTATGAATAATTAGTAAAATTTTACTAATTCTAAAGCACTAATTTAAATTAGTAAACATTTTTACTAATTCAGATTTAGAGAGTTTATTTAATTATCCAAAAAAATTATTAAAATTCAAAGATTGAAAATTTATAAATACTTAATCAATTTAAAAATAAAAATATAATTATCACACAATATTATTGGGAAAAAAAGAAAATAATTTTTTTTTTTGGCCAAACAAAAAAAATTTCTAACAGCATAGTGCAATACCAGTGCATTTACAGTGCATATATTTATGTTTAAAAAAAAATTATTATCCGCATATTAAAGATGTTAGAGAGCATTCTAATTAATTGAAGAAGAAAAAATTGTTTGTGCAATATTTTAAAATTCTAATTAATATATATATATTAAAAAAAATAAATTTTTTCTATTAAAATTCAAAATTTTATTATAATAGTGATTAAAAATTAAATGAATGATTTTGAATTCTAATGTGTATATATAACAATTCAAAGTGCAAAGAGAAGAAAAAAACTAAGAGGCGTCTCCTTTACCAAAATTGTGCTATCCTTTTTTGTTTAGATTTGAAAAAAATGTTACGTTTATTTAGAAAAAAAAAAAACGTAGAAGAGCAGCAGGCATGCGAGTACAGAGAAGGAAAATGGTTAATAATAATAATAATAATAATTGAATCGCTAAATATACACACACATACACACAAATGCATAATAACAAGGGGACGGGCACTGATTTTGGAATAAAAAATTTTAGTGTTAAGTAAAAAAAAAAAAATTGAAAAAATATTAATAGAGATTAACATGAAAGTTATAGCGAAAATGATAAATGTCAAATTTGAAAAAAGGGAATTTCATTTTTACTATTCGAAACTCAATTCGAAAATTCAAATACCAGGAACTTGTTTTTTTTTCTCATGCTGATTCCTATACATTTAGGATAAGATGCTCTAATATTAATCCCTTAAAAAAAAAAAATCAAATATCTAAAAATTTTTAATTAATTTAAAAATTTGCAATTTGAATTAAAAATATTTTTTTTTGCAAAGAAAAAAAAATACATTTTTTTTTTTAAATATTTAACTATTCTTTAAATTTAGTAATATTTAGTGGATTTTTTCTTTTCCGAAGTGAAAATTTTATTTCACTCTCATTATCCCCAGCACACTTAAATTCAAGGTCAAGTTGACATTACTTCTCAAATCAGCGCTCATAAAATTCATCTTATTATTGAAATATTCTCAATGAGCAGAAAAAAGAAAAAATTTTTTTTTTTTTTTTTAATTTACTCTTTCCCTCTGTTTTAAAAGACTAGTACTCGTCCCCTAGAAAAATGCATCCGTGTGCTTATGAAGAAGAAAAAAAAAAAAAAAAAAAAAATTCTCGCGATTACCCACTTGGAAAGATTCCCTGGAAAGTGCCTCCTGGAGGTTCTATCATAATTCCGCCGGAAATTCCAACGTAATTCCGTCAGAGTTCCAAAGAATTTCCGATGGGATTCCGCCGGAGTTCTGACGGAATTCCAATTAATTTTTTTCAAAAATTTTAAATTTAAAGTTGTATCAGAATTCCGCCGGAAATTCCAACGTAATTCTGTCGGAATTTCATCGGAAATCCAAAGAATTTCCTATGGGATTCCGACGGAATTAGGACTTTAAAATTTTTGAAAAAAATTAATCGGAATTCCGTCAGAACTCCGGCGGAATCCCATCGGAAATTCTTTAGAACTCCGACGGAATTACGTTGGAATTTCCGGCGGAATTCTGATAGAATCTCCAGGGGCACTTTCCGGGGAATCTTTCCAAGTAAGTAGAAAAAAAAGGAAAGAATGAAATAAAAATTACTCAGGCTCTCACGATATTGGCAATAACAATATTTTGACGGGAGAATTCTACACAAAAAAGATTAATGAAAAATAAACAAAATAAAATAAATAAAAAAAAAAATTAAAGAATCAATAAGAAAAAAAAAGAAAAAAAAGATAAATGAAAAAAATAAATAAGAATATAAACAATGAAGAAAAAATAGAATATAAGTTACACTATGTATGTAGATAAATATAATGGTGCTAGGCGAAAGAAAAACTCCGGAGGTCAAAAAACGTTTGTTGATGCATTATGTATACATTGTCACGTTTATGCTCTTTTATAAAAGAACGTGTCGGAGGCTCGAAACAGAGAGAGAGAGAGAAAGAGAGAGAAAGAGAGACAGAGAAAAAAAGAAGGTGAGAGTGTAAGAGTGTGAAATTGTGTAAGTCAATGTAAAAAGAAAAAAAAAAGAAGTGGGGGGTAAGTTTGCATGTGTGGCAGCCGGTGGCAGCGAGAACTTACTCGCTGGCTTGGGGAAATGTCATCCCGGTAAAGGACGGGGAGAGGGTTTCCGTGTACATCTCGCAGCCAGTGCCCTGCAGGTAATCATTCTGCCACGCTTGAGTGTCCGGCGACTGAAACACCAACCAACCTCCACGTCATCGACCGTCAAAAAAAATATACCTTCTCACGCTCACCAATTAATGTTTCCCGAAAATTTTTCTTTTTAACAACCCGAAATTTTCAAAAACCGAAAGAAGCCAAAAAAAAAATAGTTCACAAAAACCAAAATTTGATTATTATAAAAATTTCAGTAAAAAATATTTGTAAAGCGAAATTTTCTTTATTTTCTCTTTGACTTCCTTTGATTCAAATTGCTAAGAAAATGTATGTATGTACATAATAATAGAAAAAAAATTGTGATATATAATAGAAATTAATTAAAATTTAAAATCGTTGATGAAGAGTTAACGTCATCTTGTGGTATCTTTTGACCTGCATTAAAAGAAAAATTATACCTGCATAAATATGTCAATTAGTAAAATACACTGTTTATTTTTTTGGTAGAAAAAAACATTATTAGTGATGTATACTAAATTTTTGTTGATTTTTAATAAGAAAATAATGATTTTTTTTTTTAGTCAGAAAACGTTGATTTTTAGTGAGAAAATAATTTTTTTATGTCCTAAGATTTGTTTTCTAATATGATTTTTTATGTATATATGTATATTACATTCGATATGCAAAATTAATTAATTTTCATGATAGAACAAAAAAAAAAAAAAATTGGGGAACTTGTAAAAAAGAAGTAGTGGCAGCTGGCACCGTTCAATTATTCACCATTTTCGCTTCTAAAAAGCCATTTTTCTTTCCGAGGCAAAAAAAAAAATGCATAATTTTTGAATAGTCATTTTGTAATTATATAAGTAGTAAAAATAAATATACAGTCAGAAATTTGAATTTTTTTCGTTATTTTATTAGTAGTATAAATCGTCTTTAGTCAGACAAAAAAAAGTAGAAAATCAGTAGAACAAGTCAATATTTAGGTAGAATTTATAAATGTTTGTAATTTTTTCAGTAGTACAACTCAATATTTAATTTGACATTCAATAATTTTTTGTTATTTTATCAGTAGTACAGGTCAATATTTAGGCTGACGTTTTACAATTTTTTTTTAATTTTGTCAGTAGTACAAGTCAACATTTAGTCAGACATTCCAAGTTTTTGTAATTTTGTCAGTAGTACAAGTTGGTTTTAGTCAGACATAATAAATCATAATTAAAAGAATGTAAAAACCAGTAGTAGAAGTAAGTTTTTAATCAGACTTTTTAAATTTTTGTAATTCTATTAGTAGTACAACTCAATGTTTAGTTAGACTTTTTCATTTTGTAATTTTATGAGTAGTACAAATATTTAGTCAGTCATTCTAAACATTTGAAATGTTTTTCAGTAGTACAAGTCAATATTTAGTCAGTTTTGTTTATTTTCTTGTGAGTAGTTTAAATCTGTTTTAGTCAGACATAAGAAAAAAAATTAGAAAATCAGTAGTACAAGTCAATATATTTAGGAAGAATTTCTAAAGGTTTGTAATTTTTCAGTAGTAGGAGTCAATACTTAGGCAGAATTTGTAAATGTTTGTAATTTTTTCAGTAGTACAACTCAATATTTAATTTGACATTCAATAATTTTTTGTTATTTTATCAGTAGTACAGGTCAATATTTAGGCTGATGTTTTGCAATTTTTTTTAAATTTTGTCAGTAGTACATGTCAACATTTAGTCAGACATTCCAAGCTTTTGTAATTTTGTCAGTAGTACAAGTTGGTTTTAGTCAGACATAATAAATCATAATTAATAAAATATAAAAGCCAGTAGTAAAAGTAAGTTTTTAATCCGCCTTTTTAAACTTTTGTAATTTTATTAGTAGTACAAGTCAATATTTAGTCAGTTTTGTTTAATTTTTTGTGAGTAGTTCAAATCTGTTATAGTCAGACATAATAAAAACAATTAGAAAATCAGTAGTACAAGTCAATATATTTAGACAGAATTTCTAAAGGTTTGTAAGTTTTCAGTAGTAGAAGTCAATATATGGTCAGACTTTTAAATTTTTGTAATTTTATCAGTAGTACAAAAATTATGCAAATTTTTTTTTTGTCACCTTCAAATATTTTCAAGAGCCAAACACACATTCAATTTTAGTTTCTTTGTCCAAAAAAAAAAAAAAAACTTAAATAAATATTTTACAAAAATTATCCATTTTATATTAAAACATATTAAAATTTAATGGAAACAAAATTAAAAATAAATAATTCCCAGTAAATTACAATTAATTCCCCCCCCCCTTCATTATTGGCCTAGATTTTACAATGTCATATATATATATATATTGGTCGTGTGTGATGCTGGCTTTTCCACAATTGATTAATTCAAATAACCCCTCGGCATAAGGGGATGTTCCTAATAATGGAATTCAAACCCGATGAATTCCCACTAGAATGCATTCTCATTCGAATCTCATGAGTTATCGATTGAGCTCAAAAATTCTTTTATTTTCGTACAACTTCATCATCATCATTATCATCCCTTCGTTTCTCAATATACCATTTTTGCGCTGATAATTGTTTACGCGATTTTTTATAATCCGAGTACTCAGATATTTAATCCAGTAGAAATTAAAAAAATATTTTTTTCGCGCAACAATTTATTGTAAATATACAGCCCCAATAAAAATCCCCATTATCAAACAAAATTATTGCACTGTAAAAAAATATAAATTATTATATTCTTTTAAAATTCAATTTTTTTCCCACTAAAATAAAAAAAAAAAAAAAAAATTCATTGTTTATTTAAAATTATCAAAAATGATAATATTATTTTCATAAAAAAAAGGAAAATGTTTATCTCTTAAATAAATAGTTGATGTTTGGGGTAATCATTTCTGAAAGTCAAATGACCTTCTCTATATACGTGAAAAATAAAAAACCAAGTTTTTGTTAATTTTTTTTTTTTCTCTCTCTTTTGTGCCTATAGAATATTCTTATCACCTAAAGGCATTCTTGAATCTATATGAAATTTGAAACGTTTCAAAAAGATTTGAAAAGCAGATTTAATATAGATTTGAAAAGCAGAAGGTTTGATCAATATATTATTATGAACTTACTTTAACCTGCATCACGTCTGCACCTTATTACAGGGAATTAGTGATTAACTTCATCTCGTCGATTTATCTCGACATTATATTTATATTATATATATATATATATATATATATATATATAATATATTAATATCAAAGAGCATCTTTTAAAGAAATATATATATAGAAGGTGAAGAAATATAGATATATATAAATGTATATATAATAACGACGTTACTGAAGCAATGATAGGGTGGTTACATTGATTAGGTGTATATAGCACAAATACGGTTTTATACATTGTTGACACGTTCATAAAAAAGAGGTTCATATATAGCGGAGTGGAGCGTAGTGAGAGACATAGGCGAGGCGGAAGCTTCATCCCCTTTAAACCGATTCAAGAGACTGTCCAATTATATATATTATATTTATTTTCATTATATAAATTAATATATATAATTTAAGCTCGTGTTAATATTCGCAGTCCAAATAAACACAATAGAAAACCAAACACATAGCATGCGCTTTTTAATCGTAAAAAAAAAATTAATAGCCAGGCTGCTTTTTTTTATCATCTTCAATGTTTCATTTTTTGCTTCTGTTATTCGAATTTTTTTTTTCATATTTTCTAAATTATAATAATTCCTAAAGAAGAGCAGTTAAATTATTCACCAAGAAAATAAAATAAAATCTTTAAATTTTTAAATAAAATTATTTTTGTATTCTTTTCAAAGTGATGAAATAAATGATTATGATCAGCTTCTTGACATTAAAATTCCCCTAATTGATTTTAAAATTAAAATGAATTGAAAGTAAATTAAATTTGAATCAATGGCAATTTAAATATTATTATATTATTAACAGTGTGATTTGATGTTAAATACAAATTGAGTTACAATAAATTTTTTGTAAAAAGTATTTTTGTAAAGTGTTGATTATTTTTTTTTTTTAGAAAGGCAGACACATTCGGCTTTTTTTAGCAATAAAAAAAAAATACACGCAAAGGACAAGTCTCTTGAAACGGAAAAATTTACACTCTGCTGGATGTCAAATTTTTTTTTTGGATTTTTTTTTTTTCTTTTTTTTTTTTTGTTGCTTTTTTTATGAACCGACTTACTCAGTTGCTTTGGCAAAGGGCATTCCAATGAAGGTTGGGCTCAGTGTCTCGGTGTACATCTCCATTCCTGTTCCTCGAAGATAGTCATTCTGCCAAGCCTGTATATTGGGCGACTGATACCAATCAACCAACCATTTTTTTTTTCTAAATATTAGACGCGCGCCTATGCATGTTCTCGTGCTTGACATTCACAGTGAAACAGTTTTCCCACAATTATTATATATGTTAATTATAAAAAAAAAAAAAATTTTTTTTTCCTCTTCCCCAATTTTTTACTTACAAAAAAAAGGTTATATTTATTTTTTATTTAAAAACCATTATTAAAAAATAATTAATAATACTTCTCCTACGAAGGAGAAAGCAACAATAATAATAAAAAAATTTTTTAAAAAATTATATATTTTTCGTTATTGTAGAATTTTTTTAATATTTGTTATTTCATCATTGATAAATTTTTCCTAAAAATAATAATAAAAAAAAAAAAAACCCTCGCGGTCACTGTGAACAGTTTTTCAAAATATTAAAAAAAAAAAAATAAAAGAATTTTTTAAATCGCGTTATTATTCGGTACATGCATAGAAGAGAGCGGATGTTTTTTTTTTTAAATTCTAATAATTAGAAAATAAAGGACGATGTGTACTGACCGTCTTAAAGGAACGCATGGCAAAGAGATTAGCCATCATTGTACTGAATCCTGGCGCTAAACAGGATTGTGCGATGAAACCCAACTTCAGTTCAGCTAGACAAATTACATCGTCACCTTGCTTCCAGTCCCACGATGGAATGTTTAATAAATAGGCCTAGAAATATTAATAGTAAAATTATAAAAAAAAAAAAAATAAAAGGAAAGAAAATTAATAAAAAAAAAAATAAAATTACAATTATTGAAATTTATATAAAAAAAGAAATATTCAAACAATAGTCCAGTAGTATAAGTAAGTTTTCAGTCAGACATGTAATTTTCAAGAATTCATTTAATTTACATTCCAGTAGTTTATGACTGTTTTAGTCAGACATGGTTAAGATTCCTACAATTTTAGTGTCATCCCCAGGTGGAAAAGTTCCCGATAGTGACTAACGGTAGTCATTACCGCTCCCGCTACCGGAATATTCACTACCGGTAGCCACTACCGGTAGTCACTACCGGTAATTTTTTCGGAACTACCGGTAGCCACTACCGGTAATTTTTCCGGGACTACCGGTAGTCACTACCGGTAATTCTTCCGGTACTACCGGTAGTCACTACCGTTATTTTTTTTTACTACCGGTAGTCACTATTGGTAATTTTTTCCGGGACTACCGGTAGTCATTACCGGTAATTTTTCCGGGAATTACAATCGAAATATATTTTTAAAAAATTCAGAAAAACAAATTTTGATTGTAATTCCCGGAAAAATTACCGGTAATGACTACCGGTAGTGACTACCGGTAGTCCCGGAAAAAATTACCGATACTGACTACCGGTAATAAAAAAAAAATTACCGGTAGTGACTACCGGTAGTACCGGAAAAATTACCGGTAGTACCGGAAGAATTACTGGTAGTGACTACCGGTAATCCCGGAAAAATTACCGGTAGTGACTACCGGTAGTAAAAAAAAATTACCGGTAGTGACTACCGGTAGTACCGGAAAAATTACCGGTAGTGACTACCGGTAGTCCCGGAAAAATTACCGGTAGTGACTACCGGTAGTGGCTACCGGTAGTCTAGGAAAAATTACCGGTAGTGACTACCGGTAGTCTAGGAAAAATTACCGGTAGTAACTACCGGTAATCCCGGAAAAATTACCGGTAGTCCCGGAAAAATTACGGGTAGTGACTACCGGTACTAGCTACCGGTAGTCTAGGAAAAATTACCGGTAGTAACTACCGGTAGTACCGGAAGAATTACCGGTAGTGACTACCGGTAATCCCGGAAAAATTACCGGTAGTGACTACCGGTAGTCCCGGAAAAATTACCGGTAGTGACTACCGGTAGTGGCTACCGGTAGTCTAGGAAAAATTACCGGTAGTGACTACCGGTAGTCTAGGAAAAATTACCGGTAGTAACTACCGGTAGTGAATATTCCGGTAGCGGGAGCGGTAATGACTACCGGTAGTCACTACCGGGAACTTTTCCACCTGGGTCAGTAGTAAAATACAATTTTAGTCAGACATAACATTTTTAGAATTCATGTAATTTTTTTTTAATTCGGTCATATTGGACTTTAATCAGAATTTTAGTAACAATAGTAAAGTACCGTTTTAGTCAGAAAATACGTTTTAAAATTTTTTGTAATTTTGAAATCAGTAGTACAATATATATATAGTTTTAGTCAGAGTTTTTTTTTTATATATTCTTGTAATTTTTGTAACAGTAGTTACAGACACTTTCACCCAGACAACAGTTTTTGAAATAAGTAGTAAAATAAATTTTTAGTCAGACATAATCATTTCGAATTCCTCTAATTTTGTTATCAGTAGTTAGGGAAGTTTTAGTCAGATAATTTAAATCCTTATCGATTCTATAATCTCAGTATCAAAATCCATTATAATCAGACATAATTTTTAATATATATTTCTAATAATTCATCAGCAGTAGATAAAGGACATTTTTAGTTAGACAATTGCACTTTTTCTACGATTGCGTTTAAAATAAATAATTTGTATTATAATAATAAAATTTTCTTTTTAAAAATATGGGCAATAAATACCTTATTATGATACTGCATGAGCTGAATGATAACACGGATGTCGTCTGAATAATTTTTGATGGAGATGACTCGCATGATGTTCGCTGCATCCTCAGCGTCTGGATCCTGACAGTATTTATTTGCCAATACCAAACACGCATCAGCTTCGTGTACCTTAAAAAATTGTAACAATCGTTATTTTAAATTGTATAAATTTTTTTTCCAAAAAAGAATTTTTTTTGAAAATTAATAATAAATTCTAATTAAAGGGGGGGAAAAAATGGACATTTATTTTTAATGATGATAATAATTTCAAGATGAAAACAAAAATTTTATTAAAAATATGAAAGAATTTCAAATATCTATCAAGAAATTTGAAATTTAATTATAATAAATAATTCAAATTTAATGAAGTATAATTATAATATGGTAATAATAAAATATGAAATTCATCAAAAAACAAAAAAAAAAGAAAATTTGCAGGAAAAAGATCACGTGGTGGGAGTAATAGTTCACAGACTAATTCCCGTAAAAATTGACAAATATTTTTAAAATAATAATAATAATAACAGACGGGAATAATTATCTTGAGTATTTGGATATAAAAAAAAAAAAAATTGGACAAGTAAAAGTAGATAAAAATAAAGGGAAATTCTCGCCTTGGTTTTTTTTTTTAATATATATATATTTGTACTGGAATTATTTGTTGGTGATGTGTCATGCTTTCCGAGTGCAATAAATTTTTTTTGGAAAATGTTATATATATTTATATAGGTATATATGTTGATATGATAAATTTTAGAGCTAAAAAAAGAAAGCTGTTTATTAATTATACTAAGCATATACAAAAAAAAAATAACATTCTACCGTATAATAAGAAAATTTTCTGATTATTCTAATTAACTATCAACTATATATAGGAAACGAATATAAGGAAGACTATATTAAAAAGGCTATTAAAAATATTTAAGAAATAGTATACTATAATAAATACGCAATTTTCATTAACTTACATTTTTGATATAATAATCACGGTGTAGATTGGGCTTTTATTTTAAACTATTTTTAATTATTTCTATAGGGTATTTTACAGTCTATTAATAAAGCGACAGGTCACTGTTCAATTTATTCATTTAATTTATTTTTATTGAAAAATATCTATAAAAAAAAATTGTTTTCTACTATCAAATCAAAACTATATATATATATAATTCTGGAGAAAATGAAAACTTTTTTTCAATACAAAGGTTTTTCTTTTGTAAAGGACAATACATTCATAAATATCATAATTCGACTTGAAATTATGAAATAATTTAATAAAACAATTCTCATTTTGAAATAGGTTAAGGATTGAATGAATAAAATTGTAGATTTGCAATTCAAATGAATAAAATGGTAAAACGTTGAGGTTATTAGGTTACCATTAATATGAAGCATTGCAGATGATAAAAAAGTATAGTGGAAGTAACAATTTTTTTTTTTATAATAAAAAAATACATACAGTGACCTTTCGCAGTTTTTTTTTTAAATATGTAAAAATTAACGTCAAATAAGAATTTTTTTTTTTTTAACGGAACATCCATCGTGCTTTGGCTCTAGCATGAAAAGCTCGCTCTAACATGCTCTTCTACTCTCTTAATTTGAATTAATGAGAATTCATTAACTAAGTAAATATTTCTACTAATTTAAATTGGTGAAAATTTATACTAATTTTGAGTCATTTTTCACAAAAATTTTAGTCAAAAAAAAAAATAGTAGGTACTTAATAGTAATATTTTATTTTAAAAATATTAAAAATTACTACTAATTTTAGTAATTTTTCACTGAAACTTTAGTTTTAGTAAATAGTAATACTCTTAGTAAATATTAGTATTTTACTAAAAATTTCTACTAATTTTTAATTATTTTTTTACAGAAAAATTTTTGTAAATAAAATATTACTAAATCAAATAGAAATATTTCACTAATTTCAAAATTTCTACTAATTAGACTTAGTAAACGAAACTTTAGTAAAAAAAAAAAGTTAACAAATTCTTACTAATTAAAATAAAGAGAATATATAAGAAATAATATTTGTATATAATTATAAATATCTGTCTCTAAGGGGACCGCTAATTGTAAAGAGAAAAGAAAAGAGAAAGATTAAAAAAAAAAAAAAAAAAAAAAACTTACATCTGATTACATTCAGAGTTTCAACCTTTATATAGTGCAAAAGGTAGTAAACACTGAATACTAAAGATATAGAGATATATAACTATGTACCTTTACGCTAATCACTATCTCTACAATGGTCGTTAACATCAAGCTTTCACAAAAACACGAGCACTTACCCTCCTGGGTCGGCAGCAGGCATGGGTCTATATCCGAGTTAGAAAATTAGCCTCAAGAGGGAATTTTTCTCAGAATACAAAATTTATATACATCTATTTATATATATATATATAAAGTACTTATAATGCTTATGCATAATTCACGTACATGATTTAAATATATAGGTTTTATCGAGAAGAATATTATATATAAGCGAGTATAATAATTTTTTATAGGGATTCTCTTTATAAAGTATATATTTATAATATGTATAAAAACTGAGGATCTAAAGCGGATTCGGGTTGGACGGGGGGGGGGGGGTATACTTTATTCTTCAAATTCAACCATAATATTTATCCATTTACTATATTGAGGGGGAATATTTTTCATTGACGTTCGTTTTTTTTTTTTTATTATTATTAATATTATATATAGGAACATAGGATTAAACACACAGGCAACAATCATGTCCTGGAACAACATTACTTGATTGTCTTGCTTTAAAAAAAAAAAAAAAAAAGTTTCAGAACATTTTATAAATGCATCCTCATTGAACAAAAACAATCACACGACAATTTTTATTCTTTAAATTAAAGATAAATATTCACTGGTATTTTTTTTTTACGAAAATAAAAAATGGGTTATTTCAAAGTAAGGGGAAACAAATCTTTATGTCAGTAGAAAAAGTAGATTTTAGTCAGACGAAACTCTTTATTATTAGTAGTAAAAGAAATTATATGTCAGACATACTTATAGAAATTTTTTAAATTATCATAGAAAACTTTAAGTTAGACATAATAATTTCTTGTAAATTTTATGCTAGTAGAAACAGTAGATTTTAGTCAGACGAAACTTTTTATTATTAGTAGTAAAAGAAATTATATGTCAGACACACTTATAGAAATTTTTGAAATTATCATAGAAAACTTTTGAGTTAGACATAAAAATTTCTTGTAAATTTTATGCTAGTAGAAACAGTAGATTTTAGTCAGACGGAACTCTTTATTATTAGTAGTAAAAGAAATTATATGTCAGACACACTTAGAGAAATTTTTAAAAATATCATAGAAAACTTTGAGTTAGACATAATAATTTCTTGTAAATTTTATGCTAGTAGAAACAGTAGATTTTAGTCAGACGGAACTCTTTATTATTAGTAGTAAAAGAAATTATATGTCAGACACACTTATAGAAATTTTTGAAATTATCATAGAAAACTTTGAGTTAGACATAATAATTTCTTTTAAATTTTATGCTAGTAGAAACAGTAGATTTTAGTCAGACGAAACAGTGTTTTATTGTTAAATTTTTATACAGTGATAAAAGACAGTTTTAGTCAGACAAATTCTTTGAGAATTCATTTAATTTTATTTTGTCATTAGTAAAATCAAGTTTTAGTCGGACGAAATTGTTTAGAATTTTTTTGCATTACACTCAGAAAAAAATTTGGTTTTGAATCAACCAAATTTTGGTTAAATCAACAAAATAAATGCATTGATATACAGTTAACCAAACATTTGGTTGCATAAACCAAACGTTTATTTAGATTTATAATCGTATTTATTTATTTAGCTCAATCAAATTTTTTCATTGTTTAACAAATTTATTAAAATAAAACAAACAGTTATTTAGATCAAATATAAATATTTATTTGAATTAAACAAATTTTGTTTGACATAACCAAAAAATTGGATAAATATAAAAAAATGGTACATTTGGTTCAAACATATCTTTTTTTCTGAGTGTAGTAGTAAATGACAGTAATAGTCAGACACTACTTTGTAAATTGTTGTAATTTTAGAATTGGTAGTAAAAAATTTTTATATTCTAATTATTATAGCAGTAGTAAAATAAATTTTACCCAAACAATACTGTTTTGCATTTCGATTTAGTCAGCCAAAATCTTCTTTTAAAAACAAAAGAAAAGAAATTTCGTTTGACCTTTTTTGCAAAAAAAAAAAAAAATTATCGCAAACAAAGACCAATTAATATTTTACAGACAAGTAAAAAGAGAATTAAAATTGTCATTGTGCCTTTTTTGACGACGAGGAAAACGAGACAAAACACAACATTGGTTTCAAAAAAAAAGTCAACATAAAAACAATAATCAAAAAATAATTTTTTTCTTTATTTTAATATTTTTTTTTTTTTTTTTTAATGTAAAGGATCGTATTTTTTTTTCTTTTTTTGATGGCTTATTTTTTAGAACTCACCTTGACCCGCTGCAGATCAATGGGGTTCATGATGGTCCCCTGAAAGAACTCGACGGTCGTGAAGTGTCGTTTGAATAGTCCTTCCAGTTCGAGGTCTGGTGGCTTCCTATTTCATCCAATCCGACAAAATGATATAAAATTTGACTTTAAAAAATATAACAACATTCACCTCTAAAAGGTTCAGCTCAGTTGCCATTGCGAGTGTAAATCATAAAGCAAATAGCTGTCGAACTGATAAAAAAAAATTTTTAAAATAGTATACAGCTTAAAAAGTAAATATATATATATAAATATGAATAAATGCTATATTTTATGCTTTTTACTATATGAAATCGTTAAGTTTTTTTTTTTCATTTGATTTTTAATTAAAAATTTTCTCTCTAATATTACAAATAAAAGATTTTTTTTTTTGGAAAAAAATTTACAATTTATAAATGACAATTGTAAAAGTTGAAAATAAATTTCATTAATGGGAAAAAGCATAAAATTTTTTTTTTTTAATATATATAAATATATAAATTTAATTCTATCTCTTCCCTGAGACTTTTTGACATTAAATTATTTTGCAGAATTTCAATAAAAAAAGAAAAAATTTGTTTACTCTTTAAATCTGAATTAGTTACTTTTGACTAATTCAAGTGCGTCGATTTGTTTATTAAATGAATTAGTAGTTTTGGCTAATTTTTAGTAAACAATGACTAATTTTTAATAGAGAACTACTAGTTATTAATTATTAATTAATTAATAGTAAGGCCCACTATTTAAATTAATAATTAACTAATTGTTTGTAGAAAATTACTAATTCATTTAGTAACTATTTCAATTTGTAAACTTTAATAAATAAAATAGTAGTTTTCTACAAAGAATTTTTATTTTTACTAAAAATTAGCTACAACTACTAATTCATTTAGTAAGGCTACTATTTCAATTAGTAAACTTTAATAAATAAATTAGTAATTTGCCACCAATTATTATTTCTTTTTTTACTAAAAATAAGGGAAAACTAATTAATTTAACGAACGAATTAGTCAAAAAGTGACTAATTTTAATTTAAAATATACATTTGAATAAAAAAAAAAAAAAAACAAAATAAAAATTGTCAAGTGTCAGAGAAGAGAGAAAAAAAATTAAATATAATACTAAGTAAAATCTACTGCACGGTGATCCGACTCCATAGCTCAAATACAGCATACCATGCAGTCGCAGGCGTTTGCTTCTACAATAGCTGCCTCTCGTCGCCTCAATTTTTATTGGTTAAATCGAAAAGGGGAATTTTTTTTATAAATTCCAATAGTTTCCCTCATGACGAAATATAAATAATTTATATATATGTAATACATATAATTATTTATTTATATTGTCGTGAATGATCATATAAAAAATTTCATCCCTATTATATAGCGATAAGAGACAACCTCATCTCACGTGAAGTAATAAATCTATAGAAAATTAAATGAGCATAAACAATCCCACAAAAAAAAAATATATTTTAACGGATCGAATATGCTTTTGTGTATTCAATGTTTAATGTATTGAATTTATATTTTGTACTATTATTATTATTGTCATATATATATGAAAGTACCATATTTTCTCCCGAAATTTGAATTAGTTAAAAATAACTAAACATCATAATGAATTTATTAATTTTTCTTATACTAATAAATACTAAATTACTAATCTCTAATCATATATTTATTTTTATTTATTTATACTTATTTATATTTATTTATATTCTTTTATATTTTATATTTGTTAATTAATTTTTTAAATAGTCAAATGTTTGTAATAAATTATAAAGAAAAATATAAAATTATTTTTAAGTAATTTCAAATTTTAGAAAGTTTATTAGTAAACATTATTGTGTATCATATATATGTTATCATGTATATCATACGTATAATAATATTAGGTTACGTTATTAAATTATATAAATAGAAATTGTATAGTATAATAATTATCGTATAATATTGTTGTATATTGTCGATGATGATGATAATAATCAAAAAACAAGATTCCAGAATGGCGAGAGAGAGAGAGAGAGAGAGAGAGAAAATGGGAGAAAGAGAGAGAAAGTGTAAGAGCAATTAGTAAAATTCGATTATTTCGTATAAATCCAGATAATAATTCTCCCATATAAAATCTAGAAATGAGATATAATACGCGAACGTGGGATTAAATATAGGATTGAAATGGGTTTTAAAAAAAGAAATCACGTGATTTTTTTTTTAGGTGGGAATTTTTTTTTTTTTTTTTTTTTTTAAGAGAGACGTGGTTTTTCTAGGGTTGCGGGTACCTTGACGCGTTCCAAGTCCACGGCATTCATCATAGTTCCCTGAAAAAACTCCACGGTCGTGTAATGCCTCTTGAGAAGACCCTCCAATTCGAGATCAGGTTCTTTCCTGCAAGCACAGGCCACTTCCTTACGACAGGATGATCAGCAAACTTATTTTTTTTCAACAAAATTTTCCCCTCGACAATCCATTTTTATTTCACTTTTTTCAAAAGTAACTTTATCGCATGTAACGGAGAATGTAAATTGTTTGAAAAAAAAAAAAATTATCTCCATTTGTATATAGAAATATATATCATAGAATAATAAATTTAAATATCAGATGACAATATATAAAATATTCACTAAAAAATCATCGATGTAGAATTTTTAGTTTTTTTTTTTTTTTAAATTAGTAAATATTTAGGTCGAATTTTCAAAAGGTTCTTAATTTTCTCAGTAGTACGAGTCAATATTTAGTCAGATTTTTGTCATTTTATCAGTAGTTTAAATCGATTTTAGTTGGACATAATTTTCTGTAATATTTTAAGTAGACAAAAATTTGGTTTAGTAAAAAATAATGATTCAATTAGCTAATCAGTAGTAAAAGTAAATGTTTAGTCAGACTTTCTAATTTTTTTTTCGTCATTTTAGTTCAAGAAAAATTTATTTGGATTTTTTATATATTTTTTGTAATTTTATCAGTAGTACAAGTAAATGTTTAGACAAATTTTCTATTTTTTTTATTGCAATTTCCTAAGTAGTACAAGTCAATAATTAGTCAGACTTTTTAAATTTTTATAATTTTATTTTTATTTTTCATATTTATTCATATTTATTATTTATTTATTTTTCAATTTTTTGTAATTTTGTAAGTAGTCAAAGTAAATATTAAGTCAGACTTTTTGAACTAATTTTGTCAGTAGTACAAGTCAATATTTAAATCGGCTTTTAAACGTTTATTGTAATTTTATTAATAGTATAAATTGCTTTTAGTCAGATTTTTAAAATTTTCTAAAATTTTATTAATAGTATAAATAAATATTTTTCAATGTTTTATTATTTTGTAAGTAGTAAAAGTAAAATATTTAGTGAGAATTTTTTTTAATTTTTGTAATTTTCTCAGTAGTACAAATAAATATTTAGTCAGACATTCTAAAAAATTGAAATTTCGTCAGTAGTGCAAGTAAATATTTAGTCACATTTTGTAATTTGCTGTAATTTTCTTAGTACTTTAAATTTGTTTTAGTCAAAAATATGAACAACATTAGAAAATCAGTAGTCAAAGTAAATATTAAGTCAGACATTTTAAACCATTTTCTTTTGTAATTTTGTCAGTAGTACAAGTTATAAAATTTTATCTCCTACTATAAATTAAAATCGTACACTTTAGAGAATATTTATTCATCTGATGAATATTTATTTATTTTTTTTTTTTATTATTGTTGATATAAATTCAAAACAAATGGAGTTCGTTAAAATGAAATTCAAAAGAAAAATCGGACAATTCCATTTTTTTTTGTTGATTTTTCAGCAGGTTTAATTTGTGTTGCTCATCCTATATAGGAATTACGTGTTGTGTGTTGTAATATGTTGTGCATCGATCACAACGAGGCCTCGCAAAAACTTTTGTACTTACCACGCTATATAACGCTAAAAATAGATATTAGAAAATGTAAAGGGAATATTTTTAAACATACGATCAATCACCGATCAAGGTTAAGCCTCTTGGATTCAAAACTTCTTTTTCATAATTCTTCTCTAGAGCAAGAATATTCGAATCACTTTTGGAATTTTAGTGGCTATTATAATGCTCTTATAAATCTCACAACTTATTCTAATATAATACTATATATTTAATTCATTTATTTTATTAAGATAAATTTAAAAAAAAACAAATTAATATCAAAATCTATATGGAATTTTAATCCTTGACAAAAAAAAACGGTAGTGATCGTATATTTAAAAACACACTAAAAAGTGGAATTTTCCAGGAATTTATATATATATACAAGGGAAGAAAAAAAAAGTCGAAAAAAAAATTCATAAATTATTTTTGTGAACAAAAAAAAAGATTTTTCATACCTATGTAAGAAGACGACTTCTACGTCGACGTCCTCGCGATCCTCATGTAAGAAATCCTTGAGAAAGTGCGAGACAGACTCGTAGGTGATGTGGCCGCACACAACAATGTGTCTGGCAACACAAAATAAATGTTAGCTAAAAATCTTTTAAATTTTTGCAAAAGCAATCGTAATTTTTGTCGTTAAAAAAGCAAGCGTCTACAATATTTATATTTATAGGGTTTGGTGCAACATCAGATCTGCATTTTTATATAAAACTAGAGACAAAAAAAATAAATAAATAAATAAACAAACAGAAATAATCCGAAAAATTTTATTCATTCTAATTTTTTATCATTTTGCATAATTTTTTGAAAACATTTAATTTTATTAATAATATTTAACCAAAAATTATATAAAAATTTTTTTATAAAATTTCTAATAATACCTATTATTATTATTTTTTTTAAATAATTATTTTTATTACAAAAAATAAGTAAAAAAAAATTCTATGCAGACCTCATGTATTTATATATAAAAAAAAAATCACATACGTGTATTTGTAATCTACAATTATATATATATACAAAGAAAAATATCAAAACTATATATAGCGATTCTAAAAAAAAATTTTCTCCCGATATATATATACGTATTATTTATATTGGGAATTTCATATAAATATAAATATATATATGATTGTTAGTTGGAATAAAAAAAAAAAAATACTTTTTTTAATAGGATCAGTGTAATATATATATAAAAAAAAAGGAGCGAGAGAAAGCATATGGGAAGAGGATCATACACACATTGTCGAAAGATCGAATCGATACCAGTTTAGTCTGCTGCCTTGTAACAAAAATTCATCCGAGTTTTCTCGAAGATTGCGCTGTCCGAACCTTTTTTTTTTTTTTTTTTGTCTTCACAGTTATTTTTGATAATAGAATCGAGTCACGCAATCTTCATAAATAGGTATTTGAACCTTTTTTTAGTCCATTGGGGACAAATTTGAATTTTTTTTTTTTATTTCAAAAGTTTTTTGTTTTGAATTTTTAAAATTTCATTATTATTTAATAATAAAATTCTAATTAATGGCAAATAATCATAACTATTGAAAATATTTAACTATTATTATTATTATTCATTTATTTATTCTTTTTATTATTCTTTTTATTATTATTATTATTATTATTATTATTATTATTATTATTATTATTATTATTATTATTATTATTATTACTACTTTCATAATTAATTTTTATTTACTTGAAATTACTCAATTCTTTTTATGAATAACAATAAATATTTTTTTTAATCAGGTAATTATTTTATTGAAATAAAAAAAGGAAATAAATATTTATTTAAATCTGGAAATTTTATTTACATCTTAAATAAATTAAAAAATATTTCATTAAATGTTGATTTATTATTTTCTAAATATACTTTCTATTTTCTAAATTTTCTAAAAAATTGATTTGAATCAAATAATCCGTTTCTTGACTATTGCAAATTATTTATTTTGTATTAAATAATTATTTGAGTCAATTAAATTGGTATTTGTTTCAAATACAAAAATAATTGATTCAAAAAGAGTTTATTTATTTGAAATAAAAAAATATTTATTTAATAACAGTTTAGTAACCGATTATTTGAATGAAATTTTTTTTTCAACGTAATTATTAATTAGAAAGAAATATTATTATTTATTTTAAACATAATTTTCAAAAAAAATTATTTTTATATATTAAAGAATTTTTTTGTGACATTTTCCGAGAGAATAAATTTCAAATTTGCCCCAAATGTTAAAAAGGTATCGATCGACACGATACCAAATAAGTATATAAAGATATATTTAACGTTTAATTGGATACAATGATAGAAGGAAATAAATGATCAATGAGCCTATTTTTTTTTTTTTTTTTTTGTTCTCTCTCAAACAGGCTCAAAGACAATGAACTTACCAGGACTTGTTATTAGGGTATGATAGTGAGTCGTTTTAACCAACTAATGTAAATTTGAACACCTAAGTATGTACAAATCAATGTGCTAGATATAAAAGAAATGATTAATAATATAATTAATTTATATAGATTAAAAAGTTATATTCAAGTGCAGGCTTGTTCCTTTAGTAGATTTCGCCGAAGAGATAATTTTCAAGCATATAATATACTATATACGCATACCTATGTACCCAATGGGAAAAAAATTTTTTTTATCAAATTTATTAATCATAAGAAAAATTAAATTTTGTGCCAATTTTTTTTTTTTCTCACCTCCACTGGGTATATAAATATTGTGTGCCTACTCTACTATATTTTTGACTAATTTCTACATTACGTCGTTTATTATCATTATTAATATACTAAATAGTAGTATAAATTATTTTTTATTGAAACGATGAGGAGGAAGATGTGTTAGTGCCGAGATAAGAAGAAACTGTAATTAATATATTTTTCTCATTCCATGCTGTTTCTATATGTAGGCTACAAAAAATTTTTCTGCGACTGTGTATTTAGAGGAAAAAAAAAAAAGAAAAAGAAATTTTTTTTTTTTTTAATAAAATTTTTGTGAATTTAATAGCCACGAGTGAATTGGGTGCTTTCGTCTCTGGAGGCCAAAAAAAAAATAAATAAATAAAGAGAGAAATAGAGAAAAAAGAGAGAAAGATAGAAAAAAGAAGACGCAAAAAAAGCATAATCAATTGGAAGCGCGCGCACGATTTAAAATTACGAACTAAATTCACGCCATTTGGATATTCTCATGTAATTTACGATTAAGACCTGCAAACAACTGCTTTTTTTTGTATTTTGTGCACGAGACGCTCGATTTTACATTTTCCATTCGCAAAAACGAAAAAAAAAACAAAAAAAAAAAAGATACAATTCTCTGAAAAAAGTATACACACACATATATATATTATATAATTACTTTTGTGCCGCTTGAGAAAATATATCTATTCGCTGGAATAAGAGGAAGAAAACTTAGAATATAAAATGGTTATATATATATTTATGGAAAATCTGCTACAAAAGGAAATATAAAATACACAGTGAAAAATATAAATACCTATTTTCATAATTTTTGTGAAAATCAATTTTTTCAGTTTTTAATTTTTCAATTTTTACGATTTGGAGAAAATCAGTTAGATTCGCGATTATTCTTTCAAAATATATGTATTGTCCAAAAGATCTGTCTAAAAGTAATCAACGAGAAATTAACTATCAATATTATATTATTACACTGAAAAAAAAGAAAATTTTATTTTGATTCAAATAATCGCACAGAAAATTAAAAGGCATTAAAATAAGTTGCTATTGTTATAATCCGATTTTGCTTATTTTAATACCAAAATGGATTAAAATAAGTTAAAATAATAGCAGCTTATTTTAATGCCTTTTAATTTTCTCTCCGATTACTTTACTATTAACAAATAAATATTTACTTGAAACAAATAATTTTCGAAATTAAATAAAATTAAATTAAATAAACTGTATTTGAGTCAATTAAATTGTATATTTGATTCAAATACAGAAATTATTGCTTCAAATATTTAATTCAATTATTTGGTTTCCAAAAATTATTTAATCAAGTTATCGATTATTTGAATTTTTTTCAGTTATTAATTTAGATTTTAATAAAAATTCTTTTAAATAAAAATTAAAATAAAAATTTAATAAAAAATTTTTTTTTCCAAATAATATATATAGTTAATTCAACATTGATATTATATTGTGTTGACTCGAAGAAATCGAAAGGAACATTTTTCATATAGTCATTAGTCATTAGTGTAGCTTTTTTTTCGTTTTTGTTAAAAGACCCAAAAAAAAGGTTAAGCTGATATAAATTTTATATCTTGATGTTAATACAATTTATAGAGAAAGAAGCAGAGGTTGTGTTATATATATATATATATATATAAAATTTGTAAGTTTTATGTCGCGAGTAAGTATTTGATCGACTCGAAGTGCACCCATGTTCGCATCGTTTACAAAGCGACATTCAACTTGTTAAGAAGTTGCTCACATTGTAAGATCCCCACTCTTTTACTTGAGTCACTTCAAACCATTGACAAAGAAGGGTGTTGAAAAGCCACTGCAGCAGTCAATTTGAAATTCCCTTCAAAACTCCAAAAAAAAACTATTTTATTTATTTTCGACAGTTCTTTTGAATTATTTTTTTTTATTTTTAGAATAAACGTATTTAAGAAATTAATATTGAAAAAAAAAATAAAACACTGTGTAATCGATATGGAGAGAAAAAAGACATAGAGAAAGAGAGAGAGAGAGAGAGAAAGAGAGAGAAAAAAAAATTTTTTTTTACTATTTGAATATATTTTTTTTATCAAAAAGGAAAAGAATTTTAAACTGGATGCTGCAACAACCTTTTAACATCCTTCAGATGATTGTTAAACTGCAAAAAAAAACAAAAGTAAAATAACGCATTCAAAGCTCAACGAAGGAATGATTGAACAATAATCATTAATTTTTTGAACAAAGATCGATTAATATTTTATAACATTTGCTATTTCTGCAGTTCAACAGCCACCCTATTTTTTTTTAACAAGAGAATTGGAAAGCCGTTGAAGCATACAAATTTCCTCTTTATTCCAAAATACTCGAAATAGAATTTTTCTTTAAATTTAATTTTTCTTCTGCTTCAATTTTTTTCTTATTCTTATTTTTATTCAATAAAAATTCAAATGTTAAAAAAAAATACAATTTCAAGTATTTTGTTTGTAAACAAAAATGATATTTTTGAAAATGTAACGAGAGACGGCTTTCCAAAACCCTTATTATTATTTTTATTTTTATTCCAGACCTGCACTAAATAATATTTATATTGATGTGCAAATTTGCACCTATGTATTATATATTTGAGATATTTTTCAAAAAAAGGTAAAATGGACACGATAACGATCATTATATTAGTACTGACTAAAAAAAAACATCAAGGTAAATTACACTGATGTGGTTACAACAGTAGGTTTGAAAAAAAATGCATTCAATTTGGAAAAACGCAGGGTACATGCTGGATATTGATGACACACAATCAAAGATAAACACTGCCTCGTGAACCTTCCTTATTACAAAAAAAAAAATTTTTTTCCTTTCTAACTTCTTTCAAAAAAAAATT